TTAATGTCATGATGCAGGTGGCGACAGCTGGCGGTATAGGTACCAGTACATATAGGTAAGCTCGCGCCGCGGGAGCAGCTACCCAGTTAAATAGCAGTACGGTAGTAGCTATCATAGCAGAGGCGTACTTTCGACGGTTTGGAATCTTCAACTTCTGCCACACAGACTCCTCATGAGTCCTGCCTAATAGGGTATGATACTATGATACTGTCCAAGATCATAGATTGATCCACGAGCCGACCCACAGAAGAGTTGCCAGCTGGAAAGGCTGCGAGAAGAGAAAGACGGCTGCATGCACAGTGATCACAAAGTCCTGCTGCTTGCGAAGGCTAGGAGTGGCTAGTCCTAGTGGCAATCTGGTTCAAAAGCACATCCTGAGACACATCCCAATACCTAGTAGTAGCACTGGCAACAGCATAGAGCAATTGTGCTGCTCAATTAATGGCTCCTTCAACTCTGTCCGCCTTGCGAGAGGGTGGCGTGGTGACATGGGAGTTGAAGCTGGTCTAATTCTTAGGAGTACTGGACATCAGTAGAGCATGGAAGGAGTCTCTGTTCTTTATTTGAAGTTCATGCAGTGGGTGGCCAAGGAAGTAATCTGCCCGCTCCAAATCTAGATCAAGAATATACTTACAGCATTGAGTCCCCGGAAGCAGAGAAGCAGCTCTAAAGAGGAGGCGGGCTTATTGAGAAGCGGGACCCATAGGCTGCGCCAATATCGCAGAGAATCAGCTAAGATGCCGCCAGGTGTGGACATGAGCTGGCGGCAATGCTGGTACTTTTTGAGCACCGTCAGCAACTTCTGCGGTCTCCTCCTCGGGTCAGGCTGGGTAACCACGCCGCTAACCGCCACCCAAATGGGCCTGCTGCTCTCTTCCCTGAGCATGCTGGGTTTGGGCCTGGTCAACGCCTTTGCCTGCACGGTTATGCTCCAGGCGGCAGAGGAGTTTGGCACCCCGGAGAGCTACCACGACTTAACCCAAAAAGTGTTGGGCGCGAGGTGGGCCCTGCTTTTGGACGCGTCGGTCGTTTTGGCGGAGTTTTTCGGCTGCTGCCAGCGCCTGATCCTGATGGGCGATTTCGCGGTTAGCGTCAAACACCGGCTGATAACCCACCGGTCCATGCCTAACCGACCGCTGATCGTTCTGCTCCTAGCGGGGGTCCTGATCTGGCCTCTGATCTACACCAAAAAGATAAAAAGTCTGGACAGGCTCTCACTCGGCGCGGTCATCTGCACCTTAACCGGTTTTGTTATCCTAACCTACACGTTTATAGACACTGCCGCCGGGGAGGGGTTACCCGTTAACGACATAGTTTATGCTAACTGGAGGCCAGATATGCTCCTCGCCCTTCCCCTCCAGCAGTTTGCGTTCGCGGGCCAAACGGGGATCCTCCCAATCTACCGCGAAATGCGGAACCGCAACCTGGCGCGCGGCAAACTAATGGTCTACATTTCCTTTACGCTCTGCGGGCTGCTGTACGTCAGCTTCGGGATATTGGGTTACCTCCAATACCCCGGAACGCAGGAAGCCAACTTCTTCAACTTGTACGAAGACAAGTCAGGCGCCCTATACACCGCCCTATACTTCATCGTCCTGATTGGTGTCGTTGCAGCGTTCCCGTTGAACGTCATTATCGGGCGGCTCCATTTAGGCTACCTGCTCCTAGGCCCAAAGCGTGCGGAGGAGCCCAAGTGGGCTGCGCTCTTTGCTACCGTCTTTTTCCTAGGCTCGGTTGGGGTCGCTGTTGGCATCAAGAATCTGGGGGTAGTGCAGGGAATCGGGGGTGGGTTAGGGGACAGTTTCATTAACCTAGTGGTCCCAGGGTTCGCTCTTTTGAAGCTGATTGATAAAGGGCGGGAGGGCAGGGTTAAGCAAACCCAGAGTTTCGAGAACCCGGCTTTTGAGGGTGGGGGCGGGAGCGGGGAAGACGCGCCAAACAGATCCAACATAGATTCTAGTAAAGTCGATTCGAGGGGCAGAGACACTGATAAGCGTAGCCGAGACGCTCCTCGAGTGTCGCCTCAAGAGTTGAGTACGAGCAGTGAGACGGATTCACAAACCGGTTCTCAGAGTAAAGGGCAGCAAGCTGAGTCTCTTCGGAAAGTCAAAGGTAAAGATGACCGGGAGCAACAGGCCCCGGCCGGCAGCCAGGAAGCTCCTCCGAGCCACCAGTCTAGTTTGCGCAGGTCGCTTTGCAAGTTTGCAGCCTACGGACTGTTCGCGATAGCGGCACTGCAGGCCGCGGTAGCGACCGCGGGGAATCTCGCGTCTCTCTGCCTGGTCGGCTGGGATGACGCGAGCCTGACGTTCTATCCTTCGTAGCTAGAAAATATCTATTTGAGGTGATTCTTTGCTTATACGCAGAGGCAGAGGTAGAATAACAGATTGGCAAGTTAAATTTTAACCTTGGGCTCTTTGTCGACGTTGATCGTATAGTTTGAGTTGCGCGGAAGATAACTTTGCAAGGCAGCTCGGCCGGGCGGGCCTCCAATCTGAGCGAGCTAGCACAGCTGAATTGATCGACAGTGATGCCAGAACAATAAGTACAGAGTCGAATCTGAACATCAATGCCACATGGTTAATCCTGCAGCATTTTGCCTTTGCTTAAGCGACTAAGTGATTGGATCTGCATGATTTACAATCAGAATCCCGACTTTTGACAGTCATTGTGAATGCCCATGAAAGAATCAGCTAAGCCATCAGGTCAATTTCATGCATGTGCATCTAAGTCAACCTATTCAGATGAACACCTAAATTGCGTCTCTTGGTAAACTCAGGCTGGGCGCTCATATGCAATAAATTACGTAGAGCTTCGATCCTTTGACGAACATTGAGCAGCTGGACTGATTCAGCCGAGCATGCTGTACGTTTGCCCGAGGCTATATCATGCGCAAGAACTAACGGTTTGATTGACCCGCGGCTGTTTTCCTACATGTATCGGATCCTCGCTCCTGTAGCCTGGGACAATACAACGTAGCTCCTCAAAGAGTACCATAGCCCTTGCATGATAGATCTGCGAATTCGAAGCCTCAAACCGCATCGGCAGCTGCGCAGCTCGTTCTCAATAACGTTTTCTCTGCTGCCCTGCAACCCAACTTCGCAATGCAGGCCTGGCCGTTGTGAACGCCTCTGCCTGATTATACAAAGTATGTAAGTCGCACGTCGCTGCGCAAAGGTTCAGCTTCTGCCGATGTCGAGATCGCTCAGCTGTTTGGTATCAAGGGTTCGCCACTCGTATCAGCAAGATTCGATATCCTCAGAACTGGGGAGCAAACCTCTGGAGCTCGCACGACGTCAAACGAAAAGGGAGCTAGCGGGACGAAAGCTGGGAGCTGGTGGTCATCGGCTCAGGAATGTGTATGCGAAATGACGTCGTTAAAGCCGAACGATCCGCTTTCATCTTAGGTGCCCACATGATTGACATCTCCACAGGAAGCCGCGAGGAAAACCTCCTAGTCAAATCTTCTCAACATTCAGAAATCATTCAAATTCGGAAGCGTAGATTTCCATCTCCAGTGGGGGAAAAAAGTGTTCAGTTCCGGAGAGGTATTCGTGTCAGACAGGGAGTAAAATGGAGTAACCGCTGGGAGCCCCGGCGGCCCAGGCTCTGATCAACTGGACTTGCTCTCACCGGATAATCTTAACCGCGGGCGGCTGGTGAGTGGGGCCCTGTATCCGCCCTCGCTGCGCTCTTACTATTTGCTCGTAAGTTCCCGCTTCGAGAACTCCCATACCGTGAACAAGGCCCGGTCCTTCCAGGTCGTACTCCTCCTGCTAAGGCCCAGTCAGAACACTCTTTTAGATGACCGTTCTTGACTCGCTCAGGCTTCGCTCCTCCTTTTCCAACTCTTCTTTGACCCCAACTTGATGCAGTTTCATTTCCCCTGCCGTGCTCTCGCGTTCAGCCGTCACCTTCAAATCTTCCCTACCTGCTTTCCTTTCTTCGCGCCACTTGCTTCGCATCCCTCTCCATCGCACTTCCGCTCTGCGCAATTTCAAGGACCCCCCCAAGGTGTTCCTATATTTGTTCCTCGTCCAGTCCCACGGACACCTCCCTCCTCCGCTTCTTCTCACCTCCCTCTCCCAAGTTGATATATCTTCCTTTCGCGCTTTATTTCTGCCCGCCTGAGTCCCCTCAACCACGCACGTTCTTCGCAGCCCTTTCTTAGCTGAACCAATCCCCGCTTGATCTCTGCTCGCGAACCCACCGTCTGCCGACGCCCTGAGGTCCGCTCTCGCTTTCGCCTTGTGTACGCGGTCAGTGCTGGCTCTGTCGCTGGGGCATCAAAGAACTTGGTTCACCCAAAGCCGCGCCTTCTTTTGGCTCGGTGGGTCCCAACCGGGCCCTTTCTCGAGCCTTATTCGGCCGTTCCGGAGCCACACCTGGGTCCCGCCCCATTTACTACAAATTTAAGCCGACTTCCAGCCATTCTTTGAAGTCACTGACCCCCTGTCGCCCTTCTACGTCGCTTCCTGCTTGAATGCACCCCGGTCCCCTTCCCGACACCGTCTGGACTCCTAACACCATTCCTAGTGCTTGCTCTTCGTCAGCGGATCAAACGTAAACGGATTCATCGCTTGCTTCCAGGCCGTAAGGTTACCCCCAGCTTTCAATCCTCGCGACCCCATCCCTGCACTCCATCCTCGTTTGTTACCATAAGCATTTTTCGCCCCTTCTTCTCCCTTCTCTTTCCGTTTGGATCCCTCGCTCTTCTCAACGCTTTTACGTAGACAGCCCCCGCGATTTGCTGCAGGGGGGAAAGCTCGGTCGCACCCCTTGTCGCCCGGGTCCTTTGACCGCTCATCTCTCTTTTTCCCGCCCATCTTCCAACTCTAGACCAGCTCGATGGCAATAACTCCCTACATGCTTGCCGCTTCTGTTATGTGCCTCTCTTAGAGAGACACGTTCTCAGCACCGGCACCGTACCAAATTTTGCGCAGTTTCTTGGCTAAGCACGACTGCTGATTGTTCGGACACGTCTTCTTCCAAATATGGGTATTTTCAACGGCGTCCTCACGCTTGAACTGACTGCCCTTGCTGGATGCTTGAAAGATTATGGCGGGTTAGGCGCGAGACTGAAGGTTGTCGCTGAAGTCATGTCACGTGACAAACAAACTTCCTCTGTAATGTTGACCTCCTATTGGAGTCAGAGAGTCTGGAGAAGGGCGCTATGGCTTCTTCCTCCTGCTCAGTGCTTGTCGTCTACGAGGAAAGATGAGCGATTGGATATCCGGAGGATTTGCTTGAGGACATACATCCAAATTGCAGTTGTGCCTTGAACAAGTGGATCCAGCTTCACGAAGACAGCAGAACCAAGCTTTCTGATTTTGCAGAGCTCAGCCTACTGACCTGGGCACCGGAGTATCTCGTCGCGCGAAGTCCAGGCTTCAGAAGTTGCCGCTTCGCTTGCTAGAATTGGATTCGCCTCGGCCAATGGATCAAGCTTTCCTTGACAGCAAGAATCTGCTTCCCCCGAGATGCAGTTTGTCGTGAGCAAGTACTCAGTGCTCAAGGCACGAGCATACATCAGGATGCGACCGAAGTCGAATTGTACTTCTTTCCCACTGAAGAGTTGCAGAGCGGCAGATGTGAAGTGTATGTCCCATCAAAACTCACGGAGGCGCAGCTGTCGAAGCCGCCCTCTGGGCGTCACCAGTACGTCACAGATGCACACATGCAGCTTTTCTCAGACCTCACTTGAGTACATCGAAGAAGATTTCTGGCCTCCAAAAACAGAACTTGAACCGTTTACAATCCCTGCCCAAGCGTTGTGCTCTGTTGCTAGCTACGGAACCTGAAGAACCCTCCTTAAATGTCACGGCTCCTTTACCAGTCGACCGGGTCGAACGAGGGAAGTTTCTTGTATGCGCAGAAGCGTACTTGGGGCGGATGTTAATGTATACTAAAGGTGCGCCTTGCTTGTGATCCCAATGATTTCCGGATCGGGCCGCCCGCGAGACCCTATATTTTAAGTGCAGCCCCTCACGAAATCATGCCGGGCCGCCCACTCATCTTACCTACGTACAACTTGTTTGGCAAACGTCGTGGAGCATGCGCCTAATCATATATATGCCAAAAGGGGGCAGCCGCCCGGACTTCCGTTACTTTATCAATGGAGCCACGTACATTGAACAATGACTATTGACGTGCATGAGCTAGCTGGCTAAGTCCCCGCGTGCACGAGCGTGCTGCCGAAATTTGTACGTGCATGTTATACACAGTGGAGTCGTACTTGAAGAGACTCATCCTTCAATAGGCAAACTCAAGTGCATGGGGGCGCAATTGATTGTGCGAAGCCATAGAATCAATTGATGATCCATCGTCCTAGAAGTCAAAGCCTCATGCCGGGCCTATGCAAAACTGGTTCGCGAGGCATATCAATATTCGCAGATTGAAGACAGGCAACAGACGTACGCCGCGCACAGCATCAATGGACGGATCTAGTGTAAAGTCCAGCATGTCATGCTATCATCGCACCCGCATACTCTGCCAGCCTTAGCGACCCTGCAAGGCTTACGAAATCTCCAAGCCGCCATAGCCAGACCTTCGAAGTGTCGTTAGTTGTACAAATACAGCTCCCAGAAAACGGGTTCAACTAGACCACGTCTGGAAGAAAGCACTTCCAGAACACCGCCCTGCCTTCAATTAGTTGCATGAAACGACTTGGAACACTCTGCAAAATCGGAGGTCTTGAAAGAATCTCTCCGAATCTGTAGTACAGAGTCTTGGCGTCAGCCACGTGCCTACGGATCGATCCGGCAGCAAACTCCTGCTTCAATGTCATGTGAAAATTTCCAATATGACTTTCTCTACGAGAAGCTCTCTTGAAAATACGTGCACGATCCGTTTGATGCCCCCGTCCCGCATCCGCTTCGCTGTCGAGAGCCAGAATCCCGTGGAGGTGCCAGTTTTAGGCAACTTGGTTGGTCCTACTGCCCACGCGCCGACGGGTATCCGGATCTCGTGGTACCTGTGGACAAGTGGCGGGGTCAGATCATGGTTGCGGTTCGCTTAGCGGTAAGAACAGATCCAACGTCCAATTTGATATTTCTCATTTCCCTGTCACAGTCCTGTTACGTCCCCAACAGGGTTTAAAGAAGAGATCATTTTGGTGATCCAAGCGGGTTGTGAGACCAGCGAACGGGCGTGTAGACGACCAATCCAAACCAGAGGAACGTGCTACGTTCGCTGGGCGAGCGCCGTTCACCCGCTAACACCATGCAACTCGAGTCAGTGTGACACGCAAAGCTCGGGAGACGCAAGAGCAATTTCAGAGCCGACAAAAGGCGTCTCGATCAGCTCACCCCGGCGCAGTTGTCGGCCACGCGCTCGGCTCGCTGACGTCATCTACGAGCATGGCCCCGGTGCCCCCCGGTTGGGTCCACGTGATCTGCCGTACGCTCCTCAACGTGAGTTCACCGAGCGCGGCTTCCAGGGGGGCGGTCGTAGGATCGAAAGTTGTGTCGGGCCAGCTCTCCCACTTCTCCGAAATGACCCCACAAGAGCTGAAGGCGCCGTTCCTCTGGAAAGGGGTTAATGCTGTCGTGAGTGCTGGACGAGAGGGGTTAGGACTGGTGGAACAGGGGAAAAGCTAGACAAGAGGCTGATCAGACGGCGGGTTAAGGCAGGTTAAGGAGCACGCCGGACGAGCTGGAAGCGCCAGATCCTGCAAAAGGGTTAGGGCTGCAATTGATGCTAGATCAATGGTTCAAGGCCATGAAATTCTGGTCCAGAGCAACGATGGTAGTTGGATTGAACCTTGTGCAGGAAGGTCAGAGCTGCGCTTAGACTAGACTGATTCGATCAGGGCAGAGAAGAGCTGGTTCGAAGCGGGATGAAGAGAGGTATCAAAATTTACCGACCAGCTTTGCAACTAGGATCGTGTGTGCGACAAGCACAATCCAGACTGGCTGAAGGCCGATTCAAGGACAGTTTGACCTCAAAGGCAGAAGTTCGACAGGAGCAAGGTATGTGAAAACAGCATGCTACTCGCGAGGGCTGCCTCTTGAAGCCGTTCCTGAGCTTAAACAAGGTTCGGCACCTGGGCGGAGAATGTTGCAGAGGCTCGGCCTACTCTTTCAATCAGAAGCACAATAGATTTGAATCCAGAGGGTAATGGGAGTCGAGAGCAGAACTTCTCGATAAGCGAAGACGTCGATCTGACACCCTCGCTCAACACACGAGAAACGCAAAGAACGACTATATTGCACGTATGGACGCTTACCCACGTCGGTGTAACACTTGTGTGGTACTCCCCGTCGTCGTAGGACGTCTCCCAGCTGTACGAGTCCGCCTGCACAAGTTGCATCAAAGATCCAATTTACGCAAGGCTTGCCACAGTCCTCAGACCAGGCTCAGTGTCGACAGCCGGTGTCAGGGCCAGGACCTTTTGCGTCTTGAAGACCGTAATCCGTTCGGATCTGAAGCTAAATATTCGGAGCTAAAACCGGTGTAAGGAAGGACAAGTTCGGCCTGGCAAGCTGGACCCCGGAGCAGTTAACACTCCAGACAAAAGAACTGGACCTTCCTCCGGATACTTGACTCTGATTGGAAAGGACGACAATGTGGCTACAAGCCTCGTACAGCGAGAGAAAGTCGGAAGTTCGTCAGATGAGACGTCGTTCTACGAGTGCCGTTCAAGTAGGCGGAACAGGGACGAAATGCCTCCCAAAAGGACCCTCCGCGACGCAGATTTCTTACCAAATAGTCAACAGAGTCTTTGAGTTTGGAGGTTCGAAACGCCACATCTCGTCAGTATCTGCTCTGGTGCAATCCCTCGACCATTTGAACAATTCTTTGTAAAACGAGAACCCAATGGAGCTCAAGGCTGACCAAGATCAGGCTCAAGTAGATGACCAGAATCAGGTTAAAACGTCTGTCACAAGTGGCCGGAATAAGTGCCGGAACTCCATCATTCTGAAAGCGTGTCACAATTGAGACCAGCAGAAGATGGACCAAGGTTATCAGCTGCATCCCCACTCAACGACCGAAACTTCAATTGCCATCTGTGCCCACAGTATCTGGTCGTGCAACACTAAAAAAGAAGCCATAAGGATTTGTACTTCGTCTTTGCACCAGTCACTTCTTGCAGGAAATCAGACAGTTGCCGTCTGATCATGTAACCGAAACGCTCTTGGGTATGAAAGCTCTTGCTTCTGGGATCTTATGGTGCACAGGTCTGACTCGGTATAGATATGTTGAAGTCCATCAGAATGAGTCTCCAAACTTCCTACAACTGAGCCACTGATTCCAGATGCAACCAGTCTAGACCGGACCAGCTTCTGTCGCTCACCTTCTGCGTCAGGTCCCGCTGCACCAGGCACCGCGTATACGCATCAAACGTGACGATGCGCGCGGATGGCATAAATGTGTGCATGAGTCCATCCGGCAGGCTGCTAGTAGCCTTTTCCAGGTGCCAACTCATCTCCCACATCTGCTCGTCCTCGTTGAAAGCGCGCCCCGGAGACAGCTCGACGTTGTGGAAGTTGCGCTGAGTCCAGACCGTGCGCTCGGGGTTGCACCGCCCTTGTCTCTGTCAAGACAAAAGGATTGGTGAAAGTGAGACCGACTAGTACAAATTCTGCGAGACATTACTGCCGGGCGAATTTGAGAGCAGCTGCACAGCACGTTGGTGTGAAACAAATTGTACAGCTTAAGTCCTATGGAACGCTGAGGAGGTGGGTTCTGACTGCGCCAGCACGAACCTCCTCTGCGAGTCTAAGATCAGGTGTACACTCCACTTTGATTGCCTGGTCTGCCAAGTCATCCTGAAGGTTGGCAAATTTGAGATTGAATGGATTGTCCACGACATACTCATAAGCACTTTCTTCAAATAGCCGCTGAACTTCCTGTGCCCTGAGAAAGGCACCAAAAGGATCGAAGGATTACCTTGCCCCGGAACTGCTTTGTAACATTTCCCTCCAGATCGAAGAACCGCCAGTCCCCCCATGACCCTTTAAACTCCTCCCCAAATTTTTGAGTCCAGTTGACCCAATTCCAATCCTCCGGGGCTTCTCCATGCATTGCCTCTGCTTCTACTGTACTCGTTTGCATTTCTCGTTGAGTGGCGCGTGCTTGGGGTTTTGCTGCAGAATGCACTGGGGCGCATCAGTTGGACTCTTAGAGTGCCCTTCTTTTCAAGTGTTGCACGCTGGGAAATGAGAGTAAGAGTCCCGACATAGTCGGCATTGCACTAGTGCTAGGCTCACATGATTGTGCTAGGCAGCACAGATTCGCTTGTGTATGAAACATATCTTCCAGCTAATCCAAGTGCTATATGTAAATGCAGCAACCAGACACTACATAATGCAGAGCCAGCTGCACAAAAACCTTGGCCTGTTTGCTCTTACTCCAGCGCTTTGTTCTTAATACCCCAAAGGCTCAAATTCAATACTCCGTCATAGCAGCAGGCAAGCCAAACGGCGTGAGCACTATTCCTCTGTACCTGCGCTTGAGAGTTTCTTAGCAGGCGTCAAATGCTCGCGCGGGCTGTCCAGCCAGCTGTTCAGTTTCCTTATCAGACAGTGCGCAGACGTTTCAACACCTATGCTTCTGCTGGGCCCGGGATGCCGCAACGGAAGTGAGAGGGGGGCAGCCCTTTGACTATTGTGACGAGCGTTAAACGCTTGGGAAGCTGCAAATGTTGCGCAGCTTGCTCTGACAGGAAAGATTTGGGCAATGCTATCGGCTGACATACCTGCGCCCCAAAATGAGAGCGATTAAAATGCTGAACTTTCAACCTCTTAGTCTTAGCTGGCAACAATCTTTACAACAGACGGCCCACCGGGTAGCCAGGGCGGACTTGCACCTAGCAGGCTTTGCATTCCCGCCAAACGCAGATGGAGTGCACTTTCAACGTGGCATGTGCAGACACATCACATACAGACGGTGTCAGCTTGGCCTTGCGCAGAAGCCCTTCCTTCAACTTTCGTTCGTTGCCGCCCTGCTGAAATGCTTCAGTACTGATGTCAACTCCACTATGGTAGGTATAGGTAGTATAGGACCTACGACTTACAAGCTCTGTACATAGTGCATCACAAGTATCACACAGATGTCAGGTGCTGGTGCAGTGCTGCATCATGATTCATGCTCATGGTCAAAGACTGTCACGCTAGTGCTGCACTGGACACAATCGGTCATATTCACCCGGCGGCTCGTGGACTGTCGGGGTCGTTGCCCGGTAAATCGAAACCGGCTACCCGTTGTGGTTATCCTAGCCAACATGCTCGTCCCGGAGCCTCGGTTCCGGCCAGAGACCCCGACCCACGTTTTTCAAACACCCCTCAGGAGTCAGCACCTTGGATCACGTGGAAGTATCGGACGGTCAATGTACCTCGTTAGTTCGTGAAGCCTGGCGCGCGTGCAATCGAAGGGAAGGCAACTTACTGTAACAAGGCCACGTGTCAAGGCTGGAAAAAGTCAGCGTACCGTCGGTCCGTCGCAGTACAGACTCCAGAGTCAAGACTCAAGACTCCAGAGTACGGTAGGGTCCTACATAGGTACCGGTACCGGTACTACACTGGGATGAAAGCCCCGGGGCTCCTCAGCTCAAAAGGTTGATACCCCTCAACCCATAGTTTTGGCCCCTCTACACAAGGTGTCAAGCCTAACTACCATACGAACCCTAACTGTCCTCCGGGTGGTGAGTGGTTATGAACATACCTACTGCATTGGCCATTTGGTGGACACAAAGTTATCACAATTCACATTGTCTACGCGCATGCAATCGCGTGCGCATTGAACCTCAGTGCCTGTGCAAGTCTGCACAGTGCACACTGCACACATTGAATCAAAGTGCTAGGAACGATCGTATTGAGGCCGTCCGTTCGTTTTGCGGACGGGGTTCAATTTGACTGCTTGTACGGTACTCGTGTTTCTCCGCGCGGTTTGTTGAAAGCTTTGAAATTTTCCCACAGGTCTGCCCCGGCCCGGCCCGGGTGACGGGTCCCGGGTTCAAACGAAAGTTCAAAACATGCCCCGCCAAGTTGGCTCCTCTGCAATTCCGTTTTAGTCAGGGGCTCAGATTCAGACTGACGGAGGAGATCATCAAGCAGCCAACCGTTTCAGGCTCTTAAGAGGATTAGTGCCAGTTTCAAACGTGTGTGACGGTGTATTGAACAATGGCGCCAGGGGTACGAACGAAATTCAGCACGTCGAATTCGTAGCGTCCATAGGGCGAATTCGGTCAGCTTCCTTGTGACTTCGACGAGAAGTTGGAAGACTTGAAAATGATGTGTGGCTGTTGGTTCGCCCCTGATGATGTTTGGGATACGAGACAGCCGTAGATGCAAAAGGACTCAGGGTACAATATCCTTGCCAGAGGCTTTTCAATCGGAGCGACTACAGACGCCAGACCGTATGAAGCTTGTACCCAGACGTCCCCAACTGTAATATACAGTTCAAAGTCCAGCCAGGTGGCGTTGGCAAGATCAGCGCATTAAATGCTGCATGTCACTCGGCGCAAAAAGTGCACCGGGGTGAGGTACACTTTCAGAGATTTTCTCAGGATATTTGTGTCCCCCGTTTTCCGAGGCAGTCGCCGCGCTACACGACCATGTTTGGGCTGGCTCAATTCCAGAGCCCGGCGACCGAATGACCTCCGGGGATTGCTCCAGTGTTGAGGTGGCGACCGCATTATTGCCTGTGTATCCAAGGCTTGTACACAGACTCTGACAGGCCACTGCAAACTGTTCCAAATTGCCGTTCCAACTGCAAGGCACACAATCTGATTGCGCATATGGCTGACCATCTTCCCCAAGATACCTGCCTACACGCTCGTTCAGCTGCAGGTGCATTGCAAGATCTTTGTGAAGTTCCTCTCGTAAAAGGGTCAGGGGCGCAAAAGGATTAGGAGACAGGCTTTTGCCGGTCTTATAGTAGACTAAAGGCAGTTGAGGAGGTCGAAGGGTCAAGGGAGTTTGTTTTGCTCACGTACGTCGTAGCCATGTCCGCTCTTTCTGGCCCTCCTTGCCACATTTAGTTTTTGTTGAGGCCTGCTTGAGGCACCGACACTCAGCTCCCTGCTGACAGTCCTTAATTGCCGGCAAGCATGAACGTCACCAGTGCGAGAATGGTCTGCAGAAAGTCTGTGGAAAAGGTGGCCAAAGGTGGCCCTTTTGGTGGTTCGAAGGGACCCTCCATTGTCTCCAACGAGTCAGACATCTCAGGAGTGACGGTGGCTGAGACAGACAATGGCCAATACCTCCAATCCCACGGCGTCATGACCAGAGGCCAGAAGCGCAAAGCGGAGACATCTTTGTCAGAGGAACCATCCTGTCAGAGGAACAGGCCTGCAACCATTCCCACACCCAGCTCTTGCCAATGGAGCAGTCAAAATGAACCAGGGAGCACAAAAGTGTTTCTGAAGCGGGAACGCGTCACCACCGACTTCTATCCTCGGTATGGCGTGCAGACAGATATTGCAGAGTCCACATGTTCATCTGCTGTGATTGGGGAATCGGTCTCTGGTCCTGCTAGTGTTCCTTCCCAGCGGAGCTCCCATCTCTCTCGCCAGAACCAGAAACCCCCTGCTCAGGGCTCCCTTGAGGTCGAGCCTGTTGCTGGCAGCTCTGGTGTTGTGCACCTGGAATCATCGGAAGCTCCAAGGTCTGAGCTTTGCGAGGATGAGGACGACCTGCAGTTTCTTCGGTCTGAGGAGGAAGATGTCGACTGCTTACTTGCTGATGAGAGCCAGTCAGAAGATGGTTCACCTGATCGGCGCGGCTCAGACGCCACATACTATGATGCGCCTGAGCAGTTCAGAGACCAGGAAGCCAGCACATCAAGGAACCAGGAGTGGTACTTTTTTGAGGTGAGCAGCATTGAGTTTCTATGCAGAAGAATTCTGTGTGCTTCGGAATCGCGGTTGCTTCAATCCTTAAGGCCTGACAAAGGTGTCTGCGAGTTGCGTTCAAAGAGGGATTCTCTGGTTGCATTCTCTCAGTTATGCACTTGAATTGTTAAGTGAGCTCCAAATGAAACTTCTAGCGACTCGAGAGTGAATGCGCGCTGGTTGCTGAATGTAGTGGCTCTGCCGAAACAGGCTTTGCAGTCTATCCTGGGTGCCAAAGGTGGCACCTTTCAAGACTCTGCCACAAAAACTTGGATCTTACTCTTGAAACTCCTGAACAGCCAGGGATCTCAGAGCCTTAGCAAACCCTCCTCTTACGATGAATATCTGCTGACCTTGCAGCAATGCGGTGACTACGAAGAATCCATTTTTCTCAACTTGAAGGAGCGAGAGCAACGGCATCCACCACTCGGTCACTACCTTGAGCACAGAGGAACTGATATCACAGCCGACCATCGAGCAATAATGATCAATTGGCTCGTGGAAGTAAGTCAACAAGTCGAGCTTTATTGGTAGGGCTCCTTTGTCTGCCCAAGCTGATTTGCAGATGAAGAGCCAATTGTTCTAACATAACCATTCCTTCTCTTGCCCTGCTTGTTTTGCGGGGTCATGAGTGTACTTCTCATCCAAGAGTGTAATTGCTTTCAAGTTGTTAGTTCTGCAGTTAATATTGTTGCTAATGATTTGACAATTGGTGCTTGCAGTTTGTGGCGGAATTCAACCTGCAGATGGAAACGCTCTTCCTTAGCGTTGCCATAATGGACAAGTTTCTGAGTGAAGGACGGCTCCTCAAGAAGTCAAGCCTCCAGCTCCTGGGCATTGCCAGCCTTTTCCTGGCTGTGAAACTCGAGGAAACCCAGCCACCATGGTAGGTATCTGCAAAAAGGCCCCACCTTCAGTGGCGTAGACCGCACCCGCTTTCCCTGTAAAAAGCTGCATTGTAATTGACAGGCACGCAGCTGACCAACTGATTGCGCAGAGTTTTGTTGATCTGCTATGCGGGTTGAGATACAAGCAGTATTTGAGTTGCTGATGTTGTCATCAATCCGCTTACAGCATGGTGAACGACTTCTGCGAAGTCACCAACCTCGCCTTCAACAAGGAACAGATCATCGAAATGGAAGGCACCATTCTCAACTCCCTGAAGTTCACTCTCTTCATCCCTACTGCGTACAACTTCATCTGGTGAGTTTTGCATCTGTAGTCTACTGCAACCAGAGCGTCAGATCAGCCTACTTTGCAATTGTGAGGCCCATTATATGCTGTCAATCTTAAGTAGCAGCTATAAAAAACATCTACAAGCATAATGGTCTTTGAATTCGCGATTTAGCTCATCAGATCTGTTGCATTGCAATTGCAGTTTGGCTTATCAATCTCTGTTGCATTGCAGGCGGCACCTCAAGTTTGTTGAGCGTCCTACACAAGAGAAGGACAACTTTGCGGAGTATCTCATTGGTCTGGCGCTTCTGGACTATGACATGCTCGAATATCCGGCTTCGCTGGTGGCTGCCTCTGCGGTCTCGCTTGCGTGCTACTCAATTGACACCAAACCCAAGCATCAAAGCAAGAAGCAGATTCTGGAAGCCCTCTGGCCCGCTGCAATAGCAAGCGAGTCCGGATACTCGAGAACCGACTTGACCCCCTGTCTCAAGGTGAGCTAGCAAGCCATTATTTGATTTAACTAGCAGTTGCACTCCAAGCAGAAGTCTGTGGCTTAACTGCTTGAAGCTTGCTTTGTGCTTGGATATTCAGCTTTGCTGCAGCACAACTTGCTGCATGTACAAACAGAAAATGCTTTGCTTTCTGCTCTGGATTCAGCTGAGCTCTCTTGCCAGTATTTCTGCTCAAGATGGTTCCTGATTCCTGTATCTACTGTGTGCAGACCCTCCACGAGCTGCACAAGGGCGTTTACTACGGAAGAAGGCTTGAGAAGCTCACTGCGCTGGCTGAGAAATACCAGAACCAATTCAAAGATGGAGTTGCCCTGACCAAGCCGGTTGATCTGCCGACCTGGCTCTGAGAAGTGTGGCCATCCAGGAGATAGGCGGAGGGGCCTGCCGCTTGGGAAAATGCTGAATTTGGCACCTCATTGTAAAAATAGGAAGAGTTGACGTGTTGGCTCCCGAGGGATACCATCTCGCGAGACTGTTAGCCTCCCAGAAAGCAGCAGCCAGCATGGTTGCTGCATTGCGTTTGAAATTCGTTAACCAATCAGGGAAATGAATGTAGGCCAAGGTCTCACCTAGGTCTAACGCCTTTGACGGTCTTTGAGTCAGTCTTTTGTTAACGAGCCCTATCAGTTTATTAGTGGTGACTTAACAACACCAGATGCCAGAAATCAGCCGCAGGTAAGTTTGGTCAGATGAAGTAGGGCTCTCATGATAAGTCAGGATTGTACAGTCAGTTGTACGCAAGCTGACAGGTAGTGTGGATGTCCAAATCAGGAAACCACGTAGTAATGCCAGGAACCAACTCAGTATCCTGGACACAAGCTAATAAGTTTAATGGGTACTTACACTTTCTTTCATGTTTATTTCTTCCATACTTTTCCCGATCTCACCTGTTGCATGACTACTTTCAGGCATTGCAATGCACATATCTAACGTTCAATGGCACTGCTCCCATGTCCCATGGGCTTGACTGCTATGTCGAGTGCTCAGAAGGTGGCAGCAGCAGCTGTACGATGAGCCACAAATCTGCATAACTGACACTGGTTTTGCGTGACAAGCCGAAGCGATCAACTATCATATCAAACATTGAAAGGCTGCCGCCGAGTAGCACACTGTAGGTACTAAATGAGCAGACATGATCATTTATGTTGGCATGCATGCAACAGCATGTGCGCCCCCGCCCCCGATCTGCCTATAAGCCTACGAACTCAATAGACGTCTAACAGTGAAGGCAGACTGCTAGGGCAACAATTCGCGAACGGTCAAAGGCGCTTGAGTCCGACTTAAGATATGGTCACTCGAATCACGTGTACTAGCTAACTTATACGATCGACACTGTCGCCTTTGGCTCAGACTTGCATCAACAAACCGTCGCGATACATAGGCGTCTGTCAGTTCACTACGTACTCATATATACATATTAATTTACTCAACAATTGCAGCATTCAAGAGTCCTGCATTCAAGTACGCGCGGGCAATTTTATTTAGTGCAGCCTGTTCAACTCGAGACATGTCCTACAGATTTATCATATTTGGAGATAGTCTTATAAAGATTCTTTTGTATGCCAGTTTTAGTATGCGGCTTCGATCTATGCACCCGAACTTGTTCATTAAAACGCGGCAAGAAGTCAAATTAACGCGCTGAGACATATGCATAGATCACAATGTGACCGATCTGATAAGATTTCCTCAGGCCCGTTCCCAAGAGCTTCCTTGTACTAGCTATCCCATGGGTGGAGCAACACATCTCGAACTGCTTGAACACCGAGTGTTGGACATATTCCCGCCTATTTTTGCAAGTTGACCGAAAACGGTATTGGTGTACCCAGATTGTACCGTTCATGTTACTGCAGGAACTTTCACATACTGTTGCGGGACTGGCTGAACAATCCCCAGCTCCACCTCCGAGAACAATTGAAACCCCGCGAGGGTTCTCACTACGTGTCAGGCGGCAGGTCTTTTTCGCGACTTCTGAAACTTTGCAAGGCCCTCCCTTAGAGCACTCAGATTTACCCCGTCCTCCACCAACACGCATTTGACCCCCATTGGCGAAATCTGTAAAGAAGATGGAGTCTGTCATTTCAAAGAAAATAATAACCAACAGGCAAAAACCATGTACTTCTTGTGTATACCCGTTACTCAGACATGCTGAGCGGTGTCTGACGTATGAACACCGCATTGCAAGATATCCGCTGTGTTGCATACCGATGTCGAGGTCCCACCTCGGCAACGAAGGGAAGTCATAGACGCTCCCGGCGAACCATAGGTAGATCGAAGTGGGGCAGTAGCTCCTTTGAAGAGGCAAGCACAGCCCTTTGCAAATAGAGAACCACAAGCGGACGCCCAAACGGATGAGTCGGACCCCTTCGGCCTTGCTTGCACCGGTTTTCAACCCGAAGCTTTTGCGCATAACGAAGGACGTGTAGCCTCACCGTATCAACGTTCCGGTCTTCGTCGTCGAAGAAGAGCATGTCTTCATAGGGGACTTTGGTCCCTTGGAGAAGCGCCTTGAAATGCTCCGTCTTGTGCGTGAAGGTGGGGTAGATTTCCTGGTAGAAAGCAGGGCGAATGCGAGGTCAGAGATAGTGAGAGGCGTGGAGGCCGCTCAGCGCCGGGCACCTTGGCGAACAACCAGCGAGCGAGTCCACTTTTTCTGCGTTGATCCGCAAGGGGTATTTCCACGATGAACATGACCGTTTCGGGATTCAAGCTGATTCTACGCCCCGTGGAGCATGTCGTTTTCTTCTTTAGCGCAGCGAATCCAGGCTCAGAAGTCTACCTCAGTCTGCAAGGATTCAGTGTACTTCGTCACGCGTCAATCCAGATTCCAGAAGGGCGAACTTTGGACAAAGCCTGATTTCCGGACCTGGAAGCAACACGTGTTTCCGTTCCGTGTGCTAGGAACCTGCGTAATCTGGACGGTGCAAAACCAGTGACACAGGATCACAGGATAAATTCTTTGTTTCCGAGTATCTCTGGGCCGCCGTGCTTACGAAGTAACTTTGCAGGACCTGGATGGGCAGATTCCCAACGATCACGAACTCGACATCTATTCTAGCAAGGTTTGTCAGTTGGAGACGATTGATTCCTTCGAAGGCCAGAGAAACCGGATGCCTACAAAGATATGAGTCAGGAAGGGGAAGGCACTGCATTTCCCAAGGACTCGTTGAAAAGGCGGCCTCATCTTCAGGAGAACAATTAATTGCAAGAGAAGGGGACGGAAGTGACAACGAGAGACAGAAACGAGAGGATGGCAGGGTACGGACAAAGAAGCAACTGGGGCGAGAAGAATTGTACAGAACCCCACCTGCTGAGCAAAGAGTGACGTCAGCTGTAGCTTCCCCAGGAAAACGGTTGCGATGTTTGGAGAGGGCGTTCGACTGGCCACTGCCATGGGTATGCCCGCCTCTTTGAGAGCTTCGAAGATGCCTCGAACTTCGGGGTAGAGCCGTGGTTGAGACCGGGTCGTCTTCACCTCACTGCAGGACCGCTCGAAGATGGATCGTCAGGCCCTGCTTGAACCGCTTTCGTAAGGAGATTTTGACATTTGCGAAATAGATGATCTCGTGGACAGTGAAGTGCTTTGTTGGACAGAGGGGGCCTCTCTGGACGGCTATTTTGAGAATCCTCTTCCTGTGCTTTCACATGTGTATCCATTTGCACCAAAGGCTTTACTTGTTTCCTCTTTTTGTGAAAGAGGCCCAATCGTCAGGAAAGTGAGTGTAGAATTGTTGCCAATCAAGTTGGAGGGATCTTGCAAGGGGGGAAAGCAGGACAGGCTGAGGAAAAGTGCAACTTACACAAAAGTGGCGCAAACCTTTCCTCTGGAAAGACTAGTAAGGAAGCCCGCAATTTCCTGATTATTTCAAACATAGGAGCCCACTTTCGCCCAAGGCTCTCTTTAGGCTCACTTGAGCCCGGCTCTTTTGAACCACTTACCACCAAAAAGGCCAGATTGTGTAGTCCAGATCGAAGACAACCAGTGATGGCAGCTTTTCTGCCTGCTTAATGATGGAAAGAGCATCGGTTCTGATCTGCACAAGAGGACAATGGGATGTCAAGGCCCGACTTCATGCGTTGTACGGAACGGTGGTGCAGAAGCATCTCTTCTCTGACAAGACCCTCTCCTTTCGATCAAATCTTGCATAGCGGTGGGGCTGAAGGAAAGCCCAGTCATGAGGCGATTGGGACTCCAAAACACAGTTAGGAACTTGGTTGTTGGGCCTTTTGCCACCTCGTCATGAGTAGCAATGCACTTACAAGAAGTATGCGAGCAAGAACGGTCAGAATTGCTGTGTAGTGATGGGATGTGAATGCACCACCACCATCACTGTTGCGGGGCAATCTACACCATTGCTTGTAGGCAACTTACACCACCGTTGAGGCATAACACACAGAGATATTTTGGCAAATACATCACTTGACCAAGGTTAGAGTACACCCGCACGTCTTCCCTGAGATCTACGTGCGTGCTGGCACCATCAAGAATGAACACCGCCATACCGGTATCCAGTTGTTTGAGTCCACAGATGAGTACCTGAGCATCGCTTGGCATTGCTGTCGTGTACTCCCTGCTTCGCCTCCCACTGTCGCGTAAAGAACCTCTGAGATTGAGCAACACACCTGGAGGGACTAGATTAGGACCAGCTGTACTTAAATGATAGGGCCCTACTGCAGGCTGCTTCCAATCTGACAACAGGCTCCTAGAAAAGTAGCTACTTGCTGGCCCTGTAACTAGCTCGTTAATCAGTCGGGGCTGAAAGTCAGCTACTGCCTGCTTGCCCACGATGCTGCTGCGAGCGAGAGCGTTTTCTAAGCTGCTGCAGCACTTGGCAAGCTGTCTGCAATTGGTGCCGTGTTGCAAGCTGCGAGCAGCCAGGTAAGACCGCCAGGATTGCACGGCAGCAGCACCGCAGAGAGAAGGCATGGAGACCTGTCCCACCTGAGGAAGAAGACAGTGCGCTTCAAGTTCTATGTGACAAAGAAGGGGGGAAGAAGGCCGTGCAAGCTCTAGCTGGACAGTCTTTGAATGGGGGCCCCGGCCAGTTGGCAGCAGCAAAAAGCTGCCCCGTGGCATCGTAACAGAGGTATGCGCGAGTAGCGCGCGAATGTTGGCATATTCAAGTTAAGCCTGAGCGCTTGTACGCTGCGCGGCCGCGGGGGCCGCGGCCCTTCAAGTTCCGGGTTTCGCCTGCGCGCAGCTAGTCATATTATAATACATGAACTAGGGACCGTGAAAAAATCGTGAAACCTGGGTCATGCGTTGCGCGTGCGAGAATTTCGGTAGAGGTCTCATCAACAACCGCACTTCTGCTTGGAGGAAGGCACAAGGTACAGCTTGAGCCTTGTACACAGTGGGGGTGTACGAGACTTGCCAATCATTAGCACCGTAAAAGACGGTCGATTTCAAATCGATAATTTGTCCCAGATCTGAACAGCTCGCTCCGGTATTCTGGCACCCTAATCACCATAGTATATGGGTACACAAAATTGTATTCATATATTCACGCGCGGAGTGCAAATCTTGCGGTCTATTGTTTCTCATGTACAGCCACAAATCCTCCTGATTCGTGTATACCCATCCTTGCGTTTTTCAAACCTCCAAATAAATCTGCAAGGACAGGCAAATCGACGAATGACTGCTCCTGTAATCTGACGTCACCAGGATCGGACGATCCAGATCCAAATATAACTATTAATCTCAGATTTTACAGCCCAAAGGGTGTATCCATAAAAATTTTTCTAACAATCGAATTTTGCAGCTTGCAAAGGGAGGCCGCCATTGGCATTGGCATTTATTAGCAAGCTAGGGCGTCAAGTGATAAGCCAGCGAACTCCCGTCAATTGTTGGAATCTGCATAAGCTCCGCCCTGTAGATCCGTCTTGCGGCAGCCATGTTTGGAGCATTGTCGCGCGTTGCGGTCGCCCTCGTTGGGTTGGCCTGGCCGAGCTACCTGAGTTTCAAAGCCGTTGAGAGCCCCGGGAAGACAGATGACGTGCAGTGGCTGACGTATTGGACCGTGTATGCCTTCATGTGAGTTTCTTTGATTGTGCAGACTGATGTAATTGGGCATGGCCAGCAGAGTTGAATCGATTGGGAGATCTGACTGCAGACTTTGTATCAGCGTTTTTGTGACATCACCTTTTTTCCCCATTTATCGTGAAGTGACAAAGGCAGCAGGACGTACTGCAAAATTCACTTGAAAGCAAGCTATTGATATTTTTTTTGGCATGATGATCTCATTCTGTGGTGGAAAATGCATTTTGGAAAGAGGGCCCAATTGCGCGACCACCTGGCGGCAATCTTTGGAGACATCTCGATTGTGGCCTTGTGACAGGATCGTTGCAAGTCATAGCTGTTCTTCTACCGCAAGCAACAATGTAAACTGCTTCAATGTAAACTGGTGCTTCTTGAAAGCTGACAATGGCATCGTACGAAGCCAGGAAGGTCGACAGCATTTCAATAGGTGCTGGTCCATCAGACATTAGTTCTGATATGTTCAAGTTCTTCCCTGCAGCGGCTTTTTTGAGCAAGTCGCTCGGGAGTTCCTGGCGTATGTTCCCCTGTATGATGAGCTCAAGCTGCTCTTCCTCCTGTGGCTGTGGATGCCTCAGTTCAAGGGCGCCACTTTCATTTACGAGCGCTACTTGGCTCCCTGGTTCAAGACAAACGCCAAAACGCTGGACTCGTATGCATCGCTGGGGCAAAGCAAGCTGAATGAAGTGAGTGGTTGAGCAGGGCTACCAAGTCTCGCATCATGTTTGGCAGGAATGTTTGACACCGTTCTCATCTCACCATGGTTTTTTGAGTCCAATGCAACCACCAGAAGCTGCAAGCTGCTTGTAGTAATCTATCTTCTTGCCTTTTTGGAGCTGTCTCTTTATCAAATAGTGCATCATCAAAGTTGCAATCAATCAATGAGCACGTGCAGTGGAGAAAAGCCCAAATTTCCAAATTTCAGGTCCTGAGATTGTTAGCATCGTTTTGCAGGTTGTCTCCCCAGAAGCCCATAATCAACTGAACCAGTATATCCAGCAGCATGGAGTTGACGCCCTCCAAAGCTTTCTCCAGAAGCCAAGGTAACTTAATGTGGTGTGAGCTCGTCATATACATATGGAACATTACATAGTTGCAATGCATACACCTGGGTCAATAAATGTATACACGTCTTTGTAGTTAGGCTTCAAGAACTTCCTTGCAGCTGTAAATCTTAGTGGAAACATCCAATAAGTTCAGACTTGTGAAAGAACCCTTCAGGGCTCAAATACGCAACACTCTTGGAAGTTCCATTTTGATGGAAACGCATGCAAATGAGTCAGGCCGCCACCATTCGTTACGACATTCATCTGGCGGTTAGGACATGAGCCAATGGGCCAACAAACTCTATCAATCCAACTTCCATTCAGTGGCCCAGCATTTGAACCTTATCGACCACGCAAGTAAGGTGCCAGGCTGCGGGCATTACAAGAGACTAGAGCAGCATTGCATGCATTGTGATCGCTGTATGCCAAGCAGGAGTTGAAGACCAGATACAGCCCGGCGCTCTTACATCGCCGGAGGTCCAGCTTACGAAGTCATACATCGATTCTGCATAGGTGTATCGATGCAGCGGTCTACTGAATTCATTCTTCCTTTCGATATTAAGCTATAAGCTAGCTCGTGACAATTGAATACAACGGGCCCAGGGCCCCGCCGCGGCAAGAACTACACACAGCTCTAGAATTCCGCAAACCAATGATCGTCAATGCACATGATGCGACATGGTATGTTGTACTGTGACTGGCACCCAGGCCATCCATATTATCCAGCTTGACATTTCATCGATAAAGTGTACACAACATGACCTAGTATGTAGGCCTGCACCCCAGGCAGAGTGCACAATGGCTGACATAAAGTTGACCGACCAAAAGAACTTCGTCATGGATTCGCAAGCATTTTGCAGCATTGTTTGCAGACTCGGTTTTCAAATTCTATGAGCTCGTAATACAAGTCAAGGATAACCTCCCTACTCAACTCGACTACACTACCGATGCTGCCAGCACATGATCCGTCCTCCGTACTTGGCAATGTCCTTGAGCGTGACCAAGCGGACGCATTGACTGCCATCTTTGTTGACCCCTTCGCACTGCAGGCACTCGTTGGCCCCGGCCTTAACCACCGTACGACCGGGGGGCACTTGGAAGTTCTCCACAGGGGCGAGCTGCACAGAGAAATGAACAGACTCTGCTTCACGATGCGAGTCCGCTTAAGCTCCCAAGCCGCTCCCAAGAAAACCGTTGGTAGGAATGTAACGAGGTTCCGGTAACAAGCAAACCATTCCTTCAACATAGACGAAAGCCTCAATCGAGATCTGACTGCTCCCAAAGCGCTTCAAGAAAACCGGTGGTAGAAATGTAACGATGTTCTGAAAGCGAGCAACCCGTTTCAGATCAACGAAAACCTGACGTTCTGGTCTGTGCTGCTAACCGATTCAAAAATTCAGCCAAGACAGTGCATAATCTCGCATTGCTTTGCAAGTTATATCTGGCAAACGCTGGATTGACCTTTCAACAAATCTCAAACATAGCCCAAGCAGAAGTCTCACCTGTGGAGAGACACTAGCCGGCTCCGCAGAGCTTTCTTCTGTCCGTGCAGATTGCAGAGCGCCGACCGGAACCTTGGCTTGACGGGCCTTTTGATAAGCTGCAAAAGAGCAAGTGCAACGTCAAGAGCCGCTCCGTTGACATACAAAGTGTTGCTGTTTGCCAAGCGAGCAGCTCAGGAATCGTGAATTGGTCAGGCTGTCTTGAGGGCTTGGCAATAAAGCAGAACTGCGATTAACTCGGAAATTTCACCCTGTTCGTTTCACGAGTCCTGCGAAAGTACTGCCAACGATGGTCTCTCCCTAAGGTCCTGCCCGGTGTCTCCTCAGCGCAAAAGATCAAAAATCAACGGATCGGAAAATGATTTGACTTAAAAAACACAACGACCCATTGCAAGACCCGAGCACAAGAAGAGAACTGAAAAGGATACAGCACGAGCGGAAGTTGATCTTGCCGGAAATTCCCGCTTGAACTCGGCAGGGGACTGTATAGCACTAACAAAGAACGGCGAAGACAGAGGCCAAAAAAATACTGTAACGAACCGCAGAGAGAAGTGCGGAAAAAGTGGAAGGAAGCGTGAAAGCCCACCTTTGGCAAAAGTTTCTCCCTTAGGCCCGGCCGGGTACTTCCCGGCGGCCTCCCAGAAGTCGCCCCCGCCGCGCGCCATGAGCTGCCGCCGCCGCTGCTCGTCGGCCTCCGCTTTTTCGGTGTAGCGTCTCCGGGACACGCGGATAGCCTGTTCGGAGGACGCCTTTCGAATGCGCGCTTCAATAGCGTATGTCTTGAACGACAGGGCCTGCGAAGAGGGACGAAAGTCTCGTAAGCCTCGCTAAAGCAAGAGTAACTTTCGGCAACTTCTTAACGCGAATTGGCCCCTGAGGAGCAAGCCTTGCAGACGCGCACCTCAATTGCGTAACGCTTGAACGACTGGGCCTGCAGAAAGGAGAAAGCTTCAATAGCTTTGGCGAAAAGAAGGGTGCTTGTCGAAGCAACGCTGAGAGACACGGAGACCCCTGATCGGGAGACGCCTTGTGGATTCGCGCCTTCGGGGTGTACATATTGCGCAACAGGGCCTGCGCGAAGAGAGACGAACGGCTCGTATGGGGTGACGGAGAGCAATTGCAGCAGAATTTGCGAGATTGTTATCGTGCCGTGACGTACCACGCAGATGAGCCGCTTTGCAGACGCCCTGCAGTTTTTGAAGCTCTTGCATCTCTCCTGACTCACTGCGTTTGTTGTCGCCAGTTTCCGGGTTGGCGAGCCCGAGTCTCCTCTTTCAAAGACCCTACACGGCTTTTCAAATTGCGGATGACTTCGCAAACAGTTGAAAGCATCGCCCTGAAGTTTGATTCCCAGTTCTCACCTGCAGAAACCGGTTGAGGTCCTTCGCCTCCTGCATGCTGTCGTGCAGCCGTGGCACCCCCGGGGCCTGCTGGTAACCTGCCACGTCAGCAATTCTCCGCCCCAGCAAGCGGCCCATCTCGCTGAGGTCCACGTTGGGGTTAATCTCTGGTTCATAATCCGGGAACAAATCCTCCCCGATTGTTTGCATATCGTCCGGGTCCCGTCCGTCGGACTCCGCTGACGCCCCCCTGTGCGATGCTGACGTCAGCTCCTCCTCGTCGAAGTCGGGGAACAGCTCCTCCCCAATCTTCTTGATGTCGTCATCGTCACTGTCGGGGTCGCTGTCGTCAGCGCCTGCGCTGCTGGCTTTCCTCGCACCGTCTTTCCTCTCGTCCGGATCATCGTCATCATCATGAGTATAGCGCTTCCGCGGTTCCGAGCCTCGTGCACCGTTTGCCGTCCCCTCGTATGATACGCTCTCCCCTCCGACGTCAGCAGCCGCCTGGGCCTCTGAATTACCGACTTGTGAGTCCCCCCTACCCGACACCAAACCTCGGTTCAACTCCGCCACCCCCCCCTCGAACTCGCTGCTTCCTGCACCCCCCTGAAGCTCCATCTGCGCTTCCCGCTCGAGCCTCGCCAAATCCGCGCTGATCCTCGCCTCTACTTCACTCTCCACCTCTAGATCCACCCCCCTACCAAACAGCCCCGCTTCTGTGGCGGGAGGAGCACTCTCTAGATTCAAGCTCGGCAGGCCCTTTTCCTGTGCTAGCGTCGGATCTGCTTCCCGGAAGGGAGAGACTACCGTTTTGATGCCCTGCCCGTCGTTGGCCTCTGGACGAAACTGCTCGATGTAGGTCGAGGTGAAGATGCGCTGCGCCTTCTCTTCCACGGTCCTGCACAGAAATAGGTGCCAGCTAATGAATCTCTCTAAAGCACCTAGTCACTGACTTATTATAAGCAGAATAGCTGCCGTGGTGTATGAAAGCCGAATTGTTCCTTCCAGCCAAGGGGACAATCGCCTGACAGGTCGAGAGAAGTAACGGCTCTCTCCCACCGATTAGGCCTTAAGCGACCAGAAATGCCTTTAAGGGATTGCTTCCGCTAAACCTGCCACTTCTGCAGAGGGCCTGGGAGTACTGACACGGCGGGACAAGACTAGCGCTGCATGCCGCATTCCAACCCTTTTAGATTTCAATTTTAGGCCCACGTCCTTACAACTTCCGGAAGAGATGCAAGACTTGGCAACGACACCCGCACCACAACCTCTGTAGGTGCGAAGAATTTACACATTTGTCACAAGTCTCAACAAAATCTAGTCAGAAGAGTGGTCTTTCCATCGCTGCTATAGTGAGAGGAAGAGTCTGTGGAAAACTTCTTAAAAGACCCTCCTAAGTCTGTCAAACCCCTACGTAGCTTGAGAGCCGCCCCTCTTAAGCAACTTTGCTCTGCAGTACCTAAATATCAGTTGCACAGCACTTGGTTGTTCCAACAAGCTTAGAAGGTGAACCCTCTCAGACCAGCTTTGCTCTTGCACTTTATCTTTTCCATTGTGATCTGATTCTTTTCGACCTGCTGTAAATTGCTTCTGTAGGCCAAGGGTCCGGCGTAGCCTACTTGTAGTTGACGGGCATCGGCGGGATCTCCTCCAGCAGGTTCTTTTGCTGCTCCGGCAGACCGTCCCCCAGGCGCCCCGCCATCGTGTTGGCAATAATATCCATCGCGGTGCGGCCGCGCACCCGCGTGATGTCACCCCCAATCAGCTTCTGCATCGCCAGATGCAGGTACTCCTGGAAAACAACGAGAAGAATGAGTGGCAAGCGTTTCATGTGACGTGATTCTGACTGCTGACGTTTCTGGGAAAGAACAGAAGAAAACTACTTTCGGATGCTTGAGTACAGAAACAGTAGAGGATTGAAGGCAGGAACTGATGCAGCGAATACGTGCACAAGAGACAAGACCTGCCTTTCAATCTTGGTTACCTCCAGTTGTCACTTAGTAGGGGGATTGTCGACCAACCTCCTGTATGCGAAGATCCAGGGACAAAACGTACAGCTCTCTCTTACAAATGCGCACAGTTTGACCGTCCAACCTGGGAGGGTGAACAATCTTACCTCAGCCTCTTTCTGAAGCGCAGCCTTGCTTTGCCGCACTTTGTTCTTCTCCCTCGTCTCCTGCTTTCGAACCTGCAGAAGCAATGATGGTCAGCAATTCGCTACAAAAGGCAGAAGTAGAAAGGGTGAACAGCGATGCCTAGCCTCACATTCTCAAAAGCTGACCAACGGGCATGTGAAGCTTGCAAAACTGTAGCAGTCCAGCTCTCCTTCAAAGGACCAGCTTTTGGAGAGGGTTGAGCAACCACAGCCACATAACTCCGTCATCCAACACCAAGGCTTCGTCGTCTCCCAGCAGTGGAAGCACCTAGAGCGCTCGCTGCTATACATGCACCTTGTAGCAACAATGGAAGGCTGTTTGCGCGTCAAACCTCTAGGACTACATCAACTTCACAATCGAAAACAAAAGCATCACATGCACTTTACTGACAGCATACAATGACAGGGCATTTTAGCAATCAGATTCTGTTCGATAGATTGAAGCCCAGGTTTGAAGAACCGAGAGTCTCACCCGCCTCCAGGCCGCCACCCAGGCCTCCCGCTTCTCCTTCCCCTTGAGCCGCTGGATCCTTTCTATCGTCTCTGACGGAATCTCAAACTGTTTGTTCTCCACAATCCCCATGCTCGCAAGCTCCGCTTTCCGCTTCACCCGCTCTTCCTCAATCAGCCGCACACGCTCCTTCCGCTCCACCTCAAAGATGGCCTTCTGCCGTTTCGCCTCTATGCGCTTCTCCTCCTCTCTCTGAAGGTACTCTTCATACAGCCTGGAAAAATCAGAGTGCTTTGTTTCTCTATCTTCATAATCTGACAATCTACTTCATACTGTTCACTTGGACGCAGGATCTGCATGAAGCATCTGCCTGGACATGCCAAACGTTCACATACACTCTGAACAACCAGCAAGCAAGGGGCCACATTCTTCCAGCAGTATAGAATGTGCCCCCCCTGCCGTGTTAGCAATTCCTCATATAGTTCGCCACAAAACTGCTGCTTCATGTGGCTGGCACTATTATTTACCGCGTCACATAAAGCTGCTGACTTCTAATCCCTGGAAGGAGTGCCCCCTTGACGCTCCTTCTTGACGCTCCTTGGTGGTGTCAACCACACGTTTACGACAGCCAAAGCTTGCATCCTGCTTCACTGGCTTACAGACAAGCTCGCAGAAGCAACCAACACTCCCTTTGTAGCAATTGAGCAGGCTGTGGTGGCGGCCAAATGATGCTGACCATTGCTGGGCCTATTCTAATTGCCGCGGCCTCATTGAGATTGAGAACCCTACTGCCGAAGGTCTGCTTGGCACCATATCCGTCTTGCTTCTAACCACTTCGCTAAAGAGGGGTGTCCATAGTTGGCATGCGATGGACGGAGTGGTCGGGGGCTAGTCTGCTGCAAGCGCTGCGTAACAGCGCAAGCCAGTCAATCAACCCACAATCGACCCCTACAACGAGCAGCCAAACACATCCTGGTGCCTCACCTGTCAAACTCCTCCTTAGTCTGGGCTTTTGGTGGCAGCGCCTCCTCTTCCGCCGCTTTTCTCCTCGCCCCTGGCACCCGCTCCACCACTACGCGCTTCCCCTGATACTCTTCATCCTCCTCTTCCACTCCCTCCGCATCCAAAGCCCCAACTTCTTCCTTGACAAGACCCAGCTGCCTAGCGATGGGACCATCGGTGACTGGCGTTTTGATCCCAAAGGCCACCCCCGGCACCTTCCCCGCTGCAGCCATTTTCTGCCTGTGCTCCGCTTCTGCCTCGTCCTTGAACTGCCCGTGCGGCGTTATCTCCCGGTACACTCTCCGGGGCCGCTGGGGAAGAACCACCGAATGCGCTTGAGAAGCAGACGGGGCCGCCTGGCCATTCGGCTGCAGCTCGGTGTAGGTCCGCCTGGGACGCTCCGGCGAGCTCCCCAAATCGGACTGATAATCTCCTTCTCTGTCCTCGCCTTCATCTGCTAAACTGTCCAGGCTCAACTCCCTATGCAATTTCCTCAAAGGCCCACCATTATCATCATCAGCGCGGCCACTTGTCTCAGCCTGACTATCCACATCCGATGCGACTTCCGCCTCACTCTCTCCCGCCAGAAAGTCCTCTGGGCCCCCTTCAGTGCCCCAGCCCTCATCGTCCAAGTACTCTGAATTGCTCGGCACTCGATTTGGCTTTCTGAATCGCGAATTTTGCACGTACGTCCCCTGCGGCATCGGCTGTGTGCGCGCTCTTGTAACAACAGACACTCGCCTCCTCTGCGGCGCCCCCAGAGGAGTGCCATACGCAGCATTTACTGTACCAAAAGCACACCGGCCCGAGCATGATTTCTGGGGAGGGCTTGCCAGAAACTTTGTACGCTCTCCCATGAAAAGGCTGGTGGACACACCCAAGTCCTTTGACAGACATTTTCTACCCTCCCCCTTCACGCCAGGCTTCTTGGCCCCGGAAAGGCGGCGCAGCTTCCCACAAACAGTCTCACGCCCAAGCAGAGTGGAAGACCGGAAACATTTTGTGGGGCTCAACTGCAGGGACCGCTGCCGGACCCACGGGATGTCCATCACCGCATGAGCTCAACGTGAACAGCAACCAAAGGCTGAAGATACCGAGAGGTTGTCAAAAAGAAATTGGAATGGCGATCAAGCAACCCCTGGCTGCGTGCAATATATGACGTGGAAATGCAGAGCTGTACAGAATGTGAAAGCCTGAGCCGCGAAGCTTCTCTCAACGCTCACACGATGTCCAGCACACGATGTCCAACACAGGGCGGTAACGGACTCACTCCCCCTCCGGGCCCGGCCTCAGAGAACCGTCGCGCCGTCCGATCGAGATCGTACGCTTTAAAGTACACCACGCCTTCAGCATGAGGCTGTGCGCGAGCATTTCCCCTTCTCTAAGTTTAATTAGGTTTCGGGCATGAGCCTGATAGGATGTCCAGAAACTAATGTGCGTGAAAGCGTCATTCAGATTCAAATCGAGTCGTGCTTGGACGCTCAGCTTCGTTCGATCACAGTGCTGGAAGCGAGCACATGAAGTCTGAAGAAGATACTGTGTACATTGTACAGTAGTTATTTTGTCCCACCATTTGACGAATTTTGCAGTGATTCCTAATATGTAGCTGTAATACATCGATGAATGAAGACACCTTATCTGCTCTTCACTAGACAGTATCAGTGCAGACCCAGGCGGGAGATCTGTGTGTGGTGGTATTTACTATTACCACCACCACTGGTTCCCTTGCCCTGGGCCTTTGATTTAGGCTTTTTGATGGAAGGGCTTGCGAGCTCCCTGATTTGGTTTCCCCCTTGAAGCTCTGCAGGACGCAGCAGTCTAGTGAAAGACGGTGCCTCTGTTGAAACCAGCAAACGTGGGAGACTAGATATGTAGTGTGTTTAGCTCTTGTTTATAAATGGAGAACGACGAGGTCATGGAGGAGGATATCAGGTACGAGCATTCAGACTCGGAGCGTAGCAGCTCTGGCCGCAGCTCCGATCCTAGCTCAGAGGACGAAGAAGAGAACACCCCCAGTTCTGCCAGCAATTTACCTGCCAGTAAATTTACCAACGAACAAGCTCGAGATGAACACTCAACGGGAGCTGCCAAAGAGGAAAGGGGGAGGGGTGTTGCGATAAACGAGCTGGTTGGGCCATTGATGGGGCAGATTCCTGCCTCTACAGGCACCTCAGAAAGTTCTGTGGTGGCATGGATTGGGAGGATGCAGGAACAAAAGGGGCGGGTATTGCAGATTGCTCGGGACTGGCCTCCCAAGATGGGCGCAGACAGCATTCCGTATAAGCTCACGCTGTTATGGATGTCGGGGCTGACACCACCCGACGTGAGTCCAAGATTTGAAGCGACATTACCCATGCCAATCCATTAGGAGAAGCATTCCGACTTCTCTAAAAGATCCCGTTGGTTTGGCTTTTCATTCTTACGTTTTGGTTAATCACGCTGGCTTGCAATGCTATATCTGTTCCTCCGGTGGTCGACAGCGTTGTGCCTAGGATGGCACTCTCACCAAGCTTTTACCACTTTTGATAGCATTGCAGAAGCTTTGGAAGCACCATGCATTTCTATCTCCAAATAGATTGAAGATGCAGTCCGCAAGATTACCAAATCTTTCTCTCACTTAAACCAACCTCCTTCAATCCAAAAGAAAAGAAAGTCAAACAGTTTAGCAGAGGTAATTCTACCAGCCTAACGACGCTCTTTACCCTGCAGAACAACCGCTCCATCTTTGAGTGCCGCGTCGGCGTCAGCCTCTTCGACGAGACCTCCGGCGCTTTCTTTGGCAACACGTGCCAGGGGGTCTCCCGGCCCTGGGTGGCGGCCCCCCCGGATGTCCGCGGTGGGGCGGTGAGCAGCTGTCGCTTGGAACAGGACGTGTTCTTCCACACCAGAGTGGTGGACCCTAAAAGTGTCCTGGTAGTCGAACTGGTCGCCGTCGGTGAGTCGTTGTAGCCCTGAACTGCATTTTAGTGGTAAAGCCAATGTTAGTTTCGACAAACATCATGTTACAAATATGAGGACGGCTATTCTGCACAAGTTTCAGAGGAGCTTGTCGACTGCAGCAGACGAGTCTTATCAATCCACGGACTATCGGGTTGCATCATCCCTCTGTCTGAGCCTGTCCTTGTAATCGTCTACTGCCCGACCTTCTCCGGTTTTCTTGTGAATGCAACCACCTGTATCTATGACAGAAATGGGCGTTGATGGGTCGTTTCACTGGGTCGCTTCAATCGTCAGATTCAGAGACAAAGGAGCCATTCGCGACGCAGACAGTGCACTGGTTAATGCTCATCCCGTCAAACCTGGTCGCAGACCTTAGGGCCTCTCTGGACGGCTCACGTTTTACGAACATACAGATTGAAGTGGGTCAAGCCAAGTTCGTTGAAAGTGCGATAAAGTGCTTAGGTCACAGTTGAGTCCCCTGACTGTAAACCAAACTTCTTCCAGAGAAGAATATCCACGGGGTTGTGCTTGCGGAGTACGGCCTCGGCTGGTCCACCATTTCCCTCGCCTCGGAAGCGCGGCCCACTCCGCCCGCATCACTGCTCCCCGCTTTTGGCCTGGCACGTGAGGGGGCCGAAGTGCAACTAGCATGGGTCAAGTCTGGCACGCCGCGGTAAGAGTTACATGGTGGAAACGTTTCCTCATACGGTTCTTTCTGAAAGATTTGTATGCCCAATCTCGTTGCCCTGATGTTGGCCCTTCGAACGGCATAATAAGAATCTAGCCGCCATAACAAACTGTTGGATCCTGGTGCCACTAGTCCTATTTCCCGTCTGTCTAGGTAGCTGGCCTTGAGATACTTCTTCAATGACCGCTTTCGTTAGCAGAAAACGGAATCCTTTACTCAGAAAGACGAAGTAGGCAGACGCATTCAGAGCGTCATAGGTACTTCTCAGCAGTCATCCAATTTCACAAAAGATTCCTGAGAAGTAAGTACACAAAAGATCCCTTAGAAGTAGGTAATGAAACCAAAAAAGTGAACCCACAAAACACTTTCCGCCAGGTATCTCATGCTGCGGGATCTACCCCACGTGGCCCCCCCGGAGCAGATTCCCGGTTGCGTCCTCGCCTACGATTTGTCCCGGTACGACAAAATCGCCCCGGCTATGTCGCTGCTGCGAGAGAACGAGCTCGTGACAGATCGGGAGCTTGTACCGGGCATCCTGCGCGTGGGAGCAAACGGCAAGCCGACGCGCGCGCTCAAAGACGCGTTCTCGACGATAAGAGAGCCCGTCATCATGCCCGCTGCCAAGGTGCGTGCTTCGCAAACCGGAGGGAGATGCTATCACAGGCCACGCGCGTTTGACTGCCCCGTGCTGTCCTGTCGACCCGAGGTTTAAATCGAGGCTACTCCAATCGGTTTAGTGAAAGATAATGGTGACGGTTGGGGTGGGCGCAGGTGCGAAGCGTATACATGTTCTTGCTTTTTCAACGCCTATAGTGAATCTCAGAGAGATTCATCAGATTCGGAGGTTTATCAACTAGTCGAGACGGCATGGTGAGGTCGCTATGGGGCGTTTCATACGACCACCTGAACTGCCCACGTACTTACTCCAAACATGATCTCGCATGCGACCAAACCGCGGCGCTTGTGATAACTCACAACAAGCATATATCAGAAGGTTAAAACACGAGGCTTAGACAAAGAGTCAAATCAGAAGGTGAAATACAGCCTTCGTTCGTTCTGCGCAGGTGTTGCTGTCGAACCTCCGGCTGCGGTTACCGCCCGGCTTCCACGAGCTGCTCGTCACCGGCTCCGAACCGGGGGCCGAAGGGCGGGGGAGCGCCGCTCTACCGGGCCCAGAGGTCGCCCTCGCAGAGCCGGCAGGACCGCCCGGGGGAGAGCCCCGATCCATGTACCAGCTGCGAGTGTCGGTGCACAACGGGCGGCGATTCACGAGCTACGCCATGGTGAGGTGCATTGATTGAACGCGGGACCGGTGGAATAAAACCTGGGGCTCCCTATCGCAGGGACAATATTTTTCCTTTTGAAGGGGTGTTCGATACGTCGCAGAAAGGCGGGGGGTCCAATTTGTCGTCGAAAGCCGTGAACCAGCACCTAATGCATTGCGAACTGACGCTGCAACACGGTGAAGCTGCATTCAAGGGGCCCCTGGAAAGCGGTACAAGATGTGAGAAAGTCATCAATCCGGAACGTGAACGGACCTCGTATGCGCTCCATGCTGCTTTGGCCTCGCGAGAAGCTTTATGCGTGCAATCCGACGAGTTACGGGTCAATATCCAGCACCAATGCAGGCCCTCAATCTCCTGTGTCTCAGCCACTCATGGGCTTGGAAACAACATCTACCGAGTCTTGAAAAATAGGGCTCTATACTTGTAGGATTTGAAAGATCGAAAGTCTCAGGCAGCCTCCGACTCCCTTGAAACCATTTTATCTCCACGGATAATTCAGAAAGGTGAATGAAAGTAAGTGTCGCGCACCCCTTTCGCTCCCGCTGCTCACAAGGGCGTTTCAGTCTCACCAGATTGCCTCCTCCTAATATCTCCCTTGAAGAATTGAGATCGTCTTCCGCTGTACAGTGCACCAATCGGCTGCGCCGTTTTCCCGGCAGTCCGGACCTGGAACTCGCGGACACGCTCGCGCTGTCCGGCGTGTCCGAGGACGCTGACGTGGCACTCGTGCTGGAGCTGGCGTTCACGGGGCCCCTCCCCTGGCAAACCACCCACGAGTGCGACGACTGCGGGCCGGACGGCACGTGCCGCATCTGCGCACAGCTGGCGGAAGTAAGTACCGGGATAACGTCACCTCACCTCATGGATTTTCGTGAAAACTGAAGTCGAAGTTGGTTTGCAAATAGACGTTGTCCGACCGAGAATGATTTTGTTCGGTTTGGTGCGAGACTGTTCTCGCTCATCTGGATATGCAAGCCGCTCACAGGAGCTTCAAACCTTACTCCTGAAGTGGGTGTGTGCTTCAATATCTTCAGAATCATGCGTCACGCATTCAGAGAGCAGCTGCAGACATCCCGTGAATTTACGTGAAGCTATCATTCTTCGAAGAGCTTTCTGTGACCTGAAGTTCTCTCAGCATTAAAGAGCGTTGATCTGTTCTTCTCCGCGCCTCTATTTTAGTTCCAACCACTCACGTCGACTCCGTTTGCTTGCAGCCTCTCCCTCTCGCTTGGGCCCCCTTCTTCCCATTCGACACCACGTGGCGCGTCAGGGACGGGCCACATGCCGTTCAGATGCGCGGCGGACCCGGCGCTTGGCCGCGTGACCAATTGATTCTCGACTGGGCCGGAACTCTTTCTAAGCAAATCCAGACTGGCGTACCGACTCTAGTTGCCGAGTTCACCCTCCAAACCCTGGGCCGCGTCGGCCCAAACCTCGATTTCTCGGAGGATACGCTATCCGCTAGAGAACCATATAGTCAGGAGCACGCAAGCTTTGAACCGTCCAATATACCCGTGATCCCCTTACAGAATCGAAGAACCACGGTGACGTCAGACGAAGCACGGGCTCCTCCTGCCACGTCAGCGTCTGACAGGCCACGTGACAGTTTCCCAGAAGGACGTCCGACTCTTCAACAAAACCCGCTTCGAACCCGCGAAGTTGCTCTGCCTCGGTCGACGACCGCGGCCGCGCCGAAATGCCTAAACCCCGAGCAAAGCACCCGCAACAGCTCCTACACCTCGACCACGCAGTATACTCCAGAGCCGCTGGAGCCGCCACGTGTCAGGGCCACCAGCCCCGAGGTTTTGGCGGAAAGAGCCGCACGCGCGGCTGCCGAAGGTAGGCGAGCACAGAATACTGAATTGCAAAAAAAAACTAGGATCTTGTTTTCTCCGATTTCCGTCATCGGATGCTTGCAGAACCCTTTCTTTGCTTGTTTTGTACAGGTGAAGCCTGAAGTTCTCAGGATTTTGATGCTCAGCTGTGTATACGCAAGGTAGGTAAAGATACACCCAACGACCTGCCATTAGTGCTTGCACATAGATATAGAGAAATACGGACCTGTCGTGATTTCACGAGAAGTTTTCAGAGGAGCTTCTTCAAATTGGTAGAATCTGAGTTGCTTCTTTGATCTGCACAGTTGCAGCGACGAAAGCCGCCGCGGCCGCGGCCGAAGGCGCGGGGCGGAAAGTGCGCGAGGTGGAGCTGATGGCGAACGCGATGAAGGAGCAGCTGCGCGCGCTGACGGAAGCGGTCAGCCGAATCGAGTCCGTCGTGACGTCACCGAAAAGCAAGGGTGCGGAGGAGCAGTCGGAAGCCTCGAGAGCAAATACGAAAGGAAGGGAAGCTAGAAAAGAGATGGGAAGGAAAGAGCGGCGAATACGCGCAGCGGTAAGAGATTTGGGTGACCTTTAACCAGACTTCGGTCTTGTGGATGTTCTCTGAATCAATGTGTGAAGCTCTCTGCGTGCTCTGAGTAAGCCATGTGTGCTTGGATGTATTTAAGATACTGAATTGAGGGGATGCTCAGGTTACGTGACATACCCGTAGATAGTCCCTCGTTCTTCCCGGTCAGAGTACCTCCCCCCGCAGCGGTTTGTAGTATGCGACACATTCCCTTTTGCAACTTTGAATCTCGGCTTTGCTTTCCTCTTTGAAGAAGCAGTTTTTCTCCGTCTATAGGTCATCATCCAGAAGTATACGCGGCGTTTCCTCGCGCGCCGGCACTTAGCGCACCTCCAACGCGCAGAAACTTGCATTTGCGAGCTCGAGCAGATCCTTCCAACCAACTCAAAGCACCGACGAGAGAGCGATTCCGCGAGGTTTAAGGGCGGGCTTACGGAGCCCTCGCGGGGCGCGGCCGCGCCGAGCCGCGCGCTGCGCGCGCAGATGCACAAGGCGGGAACAACCGCGGCTCTCCCCGAGGAGATGCGCGAGGTTTTGGGGCGGAGGGAGAGCGCGCGCGGGCGTGACGCGGCGGGCGCGCGCGCGGAGCCGGTTGACATGGGCCTCGAGATGAGGGACGAGCGGAGTGTGAATGAGGTCGTGGTGCAGTTTTTGGCGTTTACTCCAGGGACGGTGCTGAGAGGGGGTCAGCCCAAGTCTGTGTACTTCACTTTTCAGGTGAGAATAAGGACGCAATATCATCTGCCAGACACGTAGAGATCAATTCAGTCAATGTCTGCTCAATTTCTGATTGAAAGCAACAAGCTCACTCTCCGCAGACATGGGTACCTATTTTCGCTGCCGTGAAGCAAGCAAATTTCCTGGCTTCGATCAGGCGCGTATAATTTTTTGTCCAAGCACGGTGGTAACTCAGGTAAATTCATGATTCATTCTTGGATCTTACTTTCACGATTGGGCAGATTCACCTTTACAATCCACATCCTTTGACCCAGATACCGCTTCATTCTGCAGCTATACGACTTCCCCCCATGTACGACGGAAACCGTTCCCCTAAGCCCCGCCGCGCGCGCGCCCGGCGAGCCGATCCTCCTCGCCAACGGCAGCCCAAACCCCTCAAACCTCCTGTACAAATACCGCATCGAAGAGGCGCCCGCGGCAGCGCGCGAGCGGCGCGCACACTTCGTCGACTACCTGCGGTCCAAGTCTCTGAGCGTCGACGTGTGGGACGGCGACTCGATGCTGCAGGTCGGCACTGTGAGTGTCGCCCTCGCGGGCCTGCTGCGGCAGGGGCGGGAAGTCGCGGAAGTCCTGTGCGACTGCCACGTGGAGCTGACGTCAGCTGACGTCGGCGGCGCTAATTCTGGGGATGCAACCACGCTGGATCAAACGACTGGGAAGATTTTGATACGGCTGGTAAATATGGGACGGCATCCGGCGGGAACCGTGGGCACCGGCCAGGATCAACGGCGGAGGAGCAGCCACGTGTCGTCCGGCGACAGGCGGAAGAAGACGGAGAAAGTGCGCGTCTTTCCTTCGGCGGATCTGGTGAAGGTGCGGCTGGCGGCCGGAGACGCGACCCGGGACACTTTAGGAAGCTCTAGAGGTTCCGCCGGCGAGGATTCGCAGAGGGACGCGCTAGAGAGTGCGAGGGCGCGGAAGGAGGCACGGCGCGCACGGCTGCGCGAGCTGCTCGCGGAAGGGAGCGGGCGCGAGGCGCCCGGTGTGAATAACCTCCGGGGCTGGAAGAGTTTGCCGGCGGATAAGGGGAGGGAGTCGGACGGAGACGAAGTGAAACGGGTGGACGTTCTGCATAAGACGGCGCCGATGAAAGGGATTGGGGAAGAAATGGATGCGACTGCAAGGGAGAAAGTGCTTCGGGAGATGGAGCGGTCACGGAGTATGAGGAAAGCGCAGGTAAGCCGGAGACAAAATGACCCGGGAATGAAAACAAGAGTTTACGGCCCGCTTCATGAGGGACTGAGAGTTCGAGTATTTTACTCTTTGATTCTCTCACCAGCATCAGGTCCCTCCCAAAGCGTTGACACTTTCAGATATTTGGACCTGGATACCCACACCCGCCACAACCAGACTGCGGTTGCAGTTCTGGCCCTCAAAGGCTCTGACAACCCTTAAACTGGGAATCCTCAGAACATTGCAAACGATTGACAGAGAGTGAGGCGGGGTGAATGATTCCGTTTACCTCGTCGAAGTAACCACCGCAGTTTTCCTGGACACCACTTAAAGGATATAGAACATCCAACCGTGAATATAAATCAACGTCAGCGAATAACCTGGTCCTTTGCAGGTGATCCAAGAGAAGCTCCGCGACAGTGCAACCAGTCGGCGCACCATCTATCCTGCTTACGGCGAGTTGGCGTTCTTCGAAGAGGAGTTCCGTAACCCATACGGGCAAGAGGCAGTGTTCCGGATAGAGTGCAGCGACCCCGAAATGCAACTCATACGGGACGGCCAGGAGTGGCGGGACTTGAGGTAAGGGTTTATCATTGAAATTTCTGCGGTAACCACTGTCTCCTTGCCAGATATGAGTGCTGTATTTTCTGAAGGATTCTGATCGTGTATAATGTGGCCTCCTTCTTCTTGTGGCCTCCTTTTTCCATGTGATGTCGCCAACTTCAGAGGATTGCCGTGATTGGGAGGATGGAGGAATCATCGGCAAAGGCTCAGAGAGTGTCAGTGTCAGCATTGAGACAGTCCTTTATTCTATGTTTGTTCGACTTGCACCCACCTGTTTGGTGCTTACGGAGCTTTGGACAGGAGGTCGATACCATCAAATTGCGATGCATCAAAAGAGACAAGCTGAACTTGGAAGACATTGGATGCTCAAAAAAGTGACGGGAGCCGTCTCAAGCCCTTTTCCTGACTTCTTCAGGTCCGTATCGACATCGAACGCGAGCGGCCCGATGCCCGAGGAGGACCTTTTCGACAAGGAGGGCCACCTCTTCCTGTCGCCCCACGAATCGTGTCGGCTTGCGTTAAAGTACCAGAGCGCATCTTTCCCGGACGATACCGGACCGCGATTCGGACAGGTTTCGGACGGAAACGGTTTGGACGTTGGAGGTGCTGAAGGGGGGCCCAATGAGAGCAGGACACGTGGCGGCAGGACGGGGCACTTATTGGAGGACCGGGGAGAAAGCGACGAAAAAGTGGTTAAAGTCTCGTTAGTGGCGATCAAAGACGGCTGGCCTGCGGACGTACGGGAGGTGGCGGTGCGCTTCGGACCGTTGGTGGTCGATCGGACATTCAGATTTTATCAGGTGAGAAAAAACTCAAGTCACGCCTTGGATCGTTGTTCTTCTCTGCTCTTGGCCAGGCGAACTCATTGCCACCCTAGCGCATATAAAATCAAACAGCAATGATCTTTCGAAGCTTCAGCGCACCGGTAGTCAAGGGAGAAGAGGAGCGCTGCGGTGACCAGTGTTGCTCGGAAGCAGGATCCAACGAAGGCGTTCATCAGAGCAGATTGAGATTAGGTTTGGAGAGGTGTGCTTTTTTGGCTCCTACCTTATGAGAAGCGCAAAGTTTGTTTGCCACAAGTCAGAAAAACAGAACCTCGACTGCGAACTAGAGCGCGGATCTGTTTCTCGCAGGCCGAGCACGACTTCCTCAAAGCGACGCTCCCGCTCGCGCGCGCGCCTCCTGCGGCCTGCGCGCGCAGCAGCGACCCACGGGTGATCGTCAGCCTTACGGACAGTTCCGCGGGCGCTTCGGACCGGAATCTGGACGGCCCGAACGACGGAACGGGGGTGCATCTGAAAGTGAAGTGCGGGGCGGCCCCAGAAACGGCGCAGTTTTACGTGACGGTGTACGGGGACCGTTACATGGGCCAGCTGCTCGCCACGTGGCGCGTTTTCGTGCACTCACTGAGGCGGCATGATATCGGTGAGGCCCGCCGCGTTTGTTGAGAAAAACAGAGGGGATTCCAAACGCTTCAGCAAAGCTTCGATGCATCTATTTGCATCCCATTCAGAGTATTGGCTGTTCAAAACAAACCAGAGCCTCGTGCGCGTAGAGATTGATAGAATGTTGCGCGGGCGCGACTTGGACCTGCTTTGGTCCCAGACCCAAGCTTCTGGACGTGCGTTTTCCGAGCCAATCTCTTTGATCGACGGAGTCTTTGGTTGTTCCGACATCCAAGACCTGAGAATGTGCGCGTAGAAGTAAATGTGCAACTTCATGGTACAAATTGACCTTGACACGTGTCCCTTGTCCGGTACTTCTGCAGGCGCCACGTTGGGACAGACCACCCGGAGCACCCTGGTGGTGAAGGGGGGCCACGTGACCCGCCACGTGGCATGCTACTGCACGGATCCACGACATCTGGAGGTGAGCTTGAAGAAACGTGCAAGCAACGGAGCGAAGCACCCTACTCGTGCTCACCCTTTTCAGGAAATGATGTATCTTGATGTCTTTAAGCTTCTGCTTACTTGCTCCACCAAACTTTGCACGTTTTTCCTGACATCGGTCTCGCAATGTACGCGGTCGGATGCGGTTCTCTCAGCTTCACGCGGAACCGTATTTCGCAGATACGGCCGCCGGAGCTTGTCCTTCCGGCCGGCTCGCTGACGGAACTGACGCTGGCGTACAAGCCCACCGGAACGGAAAAGCAAGCGATCCGGCTCCACGTGGTCGACACGCAGAGCCGTCAGCTGGTGGGAGCGTATATGATCGCAGCCAGAACGAGTTTGCCGCAGGTAAGGACTCCGGAGAATTCTTTCAGAAAGACCGAAGCTTTGAAATGGACCGCAGGATTAGCAGCCCGTGGTTAGTCGCAAGCCCTTTTACCATATATAGAAGCCATCAGGGTCTGCCGAAATGCTTAACAAGATACAGGTCCGAAGACATGGGTATAGGATAGGATCCGTCCCGAGAAGTCTTTTTGAAAGCAGCTAGGCTTCTTAGCAGAGCACAAATGTTCTACATCATTGGTAGCCCCCAAAAGTAAAGAACGAGCCATGCGCACTCAGTCAGCCGTCGCTCAAAAAGCACAGCAGGATCCAATTATTCTGATTCATTAAGAACAGGGGAATGAGGAAGATTCTGATTAAATACCTTCTTCTGTACTCCTTCTGCAGGCTTCCAAGATGTTCGAGGTCGAAGTCGCGGCCGGCACAGTTGCAAAAAAGAAGATCAGTTTCACCAACCCGTACCCGCACCCCAAGCTCTTCTATCTCAGCTCGTCCCATCCGCAGCTGATCTCGTTCCGTCCGGCTGACGTCCTCGACGTCCCGGCGGACGGAACGCGCTACATCGGACTCACCGTGAACGGAACTGCCGTGAGGGGAGCGCGCCTTGAAGAGGTGAGGGGTTGGAAAACATGAAGAAGCTCTTGGCAGACTCTGATGACCAATTTGTGTTGTCGTATTCAAACTTCAGAAAGAGCAACGCGGTTGCTAGAAGAGCAATGACAACGGCAAATCGAGCGGTGTGGATTATGGTGCACAGGGACGAGATTTCACCCCAACATCGGGACGCTTTTGGTTTGTGGATGCTTTACGCAAGTGCGCGGCGTTCAGTCTGTAAAGTCTGTATGGGCAACAACCCAAAGCGACTTAACAAAACTTCTGTAACAGATATCACTATGCATGCCACGACCTGGTAACAACAGTTCCACTTCTACCGTTTGATAACCAGAATCAGTAGTCTATCAATAGCTGGAAATTGGTATCCGCATTCTCTGAGGGACGCATGAAGAGCGATTTGAGCGAACTACCTCGTCGCAGATCGTTCCACTGAGTAGTCTGCATATGCCCCATCGATTGCTGCTTCTAGTCGGAGCCAGTTCTCTGACGCGTTAATCTGTCTGGCAGGTGCTAATATTCGTGAACGATGCGGAGGACAAGACAGAAGAGTGTCTCAAAATCTGCCTCAAGCTCTGCTAGCAAGCTCGCGTGAAGCAAGTTGAGAAGAGCACATGGTGGCCGCCATCTGCGCCAATGAGTCCCGGCCGTCTGCAGTGCACGTTACCCAGTCGAGTATAACCTGTCCGAGGACGTCACCTGGCATGCAAAATTGCACCATCATGGCATACGGTCAATCATGTTCATGCAATCCACGCAACAATTCCAAGTAATTTGCGGGCCCACGGGTTGCAATGAAATTAAACATGCCAGGCAGTTAGAAGGCATGCATATGTCAGCTATCGGGAAATTCGGCCTTTCACTTGAAGCTATACGTAGGTTCGCGTGGACTGCACTGTATTGGGCGCGCATGCACACGTACTGCAGGTCGGCCGGCAATCTCCAATACTGACATGGCAGGATCATGAGGTTTAAATGTTGCATGTAACAACAATCAACAGCTTCGATCTCCTCATCCGGCCTCTCTCAAGAGAGATCTACTTTTTCGAATCAGTCAAACATGATGACTGGCTGGCATGAGTGCTGACAGCTCGGGTCCAAAGAGGATGGGTCAACAGTCGCGCCCAAACACAATCGAGCTGAAATCCTAGATCCTCTTCCCATGTTATCAGATTGTGTACCTCAGTAACGGTTTCGTTTGTGACCTGCATAAGATCCTTGATACTCGCGCCCGCCGCCACCCCACCTCCTGTGTGTCCGTTCCTCTTGTCGGTCTTCCTGCCACGGCCGCCTACCCGTCGACTTCGACCTCCCCGTGTCATCTCCGTTGTACCCATGATAGCCTTCCTCGTACCTACTGTCCTTTCGCCGGTTCTCATACCCGTACTCATCGCTATACCTTCTGTTGCCGTATTTGCTACTTCCCCTTGACACCCCACCGGAGTTTCTGTCATCTTGATCGTAATCGTCCCTCCAGGACGATCCCGCTTTATAGCCCCCTCCTAACCACAGCCCCTCGTTCCCTTCTTGGGAGCGAGAGTTGCTAAAATAGTCGTGCTCGGGAGCATCCAGATCGTCGTAATCCTGGTCTGGATCGTAGCGGTCGTTGTAGCCGCCTCTGTACACATCCCGCTCGTAGTACGCAGGCCGGTGGTTCCTTGTAAAGTTGTTCTGCAGCAGCGACACGAGAAGAATCAGCAGGTGCTAGAAAGTCAGGAACTTGAAAGTCGATGCGTGTAGAATGATACTCCGAAATGAAGTCGAAGCCACCAACCAGAATCTCAGACACCAACCAACCCACCAACAAAGCGGTTTTCCTATCGTTTTGAGACAGAACCCGAGCATATTGAACGTTCAGCATCTTGACAAGATCGGTAAGCTAAGGGAAGCTGATAAACAAGCAATCTAGAGCTTCCGAACTCTTTTTTGATCACACAGATACTCTCGGCACCGCGCTTAAAGCAGTGCTCACCGCTCTGACCTCTTGCCGAAGGCCCAACCAACCACCAAACGAAAAACACAGCCTCGCAAAATTGCGTTCGCTTCTCGTACCTGCTTGCTGCAGCCCCGGGCAATGTGCCCCTTCTCCCCGCACCGGTAGCACGTGAGACCACCATCGTCGCGCTCATAATTGCCCCTGCCGCCACGCGCGCAACCGTCGCCCGTGTGACCGGACTGGCCGCACTGATAGCACGTGACCTCCTGCGGGCCGTTCTCTATGACATCAACGCACGACAGGTGACCGTGCTCGCCGCAGATGTAGCACCGAATCAACTGCAGGAAAAAGAATCGGGAGTCAGAATGTTCAAAATGGATTCCACAGGACTGAAGATCGTTTCACAGAACTGAAGATCGTTCTGCTTACCCAGGCTGTGCCGCAGACAAACGAGGACCATCTTGACCAGAGAATGGTCAGCAGATTGTCTGTTTGACAGGTGTTTGGTTCGACATTGACACCTAAGTTGATCCGAAAAAAGAAGGGTGTCACTAAGCTGAAACATAATATTACCACCAAGTCGCGATGGCAACAAGCACCGCTCCAACCGGGAGACGAGACACAACGTCGCATGAGGAGCACAGCTGCGCTTGTTTGACCGGTCTCTGCCTCATGATGCGTATCCTGAATACTGGGCAAACAGCAAGCAACAGCATGTTTCTGTTCTGAATCCAACAAGAACAGCACCCATCTCATCATCGTGCTGCAGAAGATAGAACGGTGCAAACTTAAAATCTTGCCTGGAGGTCCGCCTCATCATAGTCCCGCCAGCACTCTGCTCGAGTGTGTCCCTCCCAGCCGCACTTGTAGCACACGTTCCCCTCCTGACCCTCGCCGGAGGCCCAGCCTGCGCCCCGCCGCATACCCTTTTTGGGGCAGTCCTGTTCGATTGGAAAGCAACAATCTTCAACGGCTGGAACCACGAAAGAAAAGGGTGCGCCCAGAAAACATCCGTTCCAAGATGAGTTCTGCGAACAGAATTTTCAAAAGTTTGGTCACCAACTGAGCTGGCAAGCATGAACCAAATTCAGGAGCTCGTCTGAGAGAGGACAAAGCTGCTTCCCCTGTGTTCCGGGTGTAAGCAACACCCGAGACGACATAATGGGGGAGTTTCAAGAGCGCGAAGCATGATCCGGGTCGGGCATAGCTGGCTGGAAAGCAAGCGAAAAGAGGAAAACAGCACTCTTACCCTGGCTTCGTGGCCCCCCTTCCCACACACGAAGCACAGCTTCCCCGTTGGACACTTCTGGCCGAGGTGTCCAAACTTGCCGCACACAAAGCAGGGCCGCTCCTTCTTTGGCTCGGGGCAGTTCCAGGCCTTGTGCCCCGTAGCCCCACAGTTGAAACACCGCTGCGCGTTGTCCTCGGGTGGATCCCAGTAGCGCCGTCCACGCTGCATAACACAGACGGAACATGCTCTCTTATGCATCAGCTTGCCAATCCGGTGGTGGCACTCGTTCGTAAGTAGGTAATAGCAGAGAAGGTTGGCGACCGAGGTTGCTAATAAGCGGACTGAGCTCTGTTGAGACTGTATTCAAGTGATGAGTTCCTTGGAACAAGTTGTGAGGCTGCAAGTGGACCCCAAAGGAGCAACAGTCTGAATGCGTAAGGCCAGTTCAAGGAGATCAAAATTCCACAAAGACCTGAAAAAGTCCGGACTTGCTCAACATCGACAAGCGGCTGGTCGCCAGGAGCCCATCCTGTTGCCGAAAGCACCTGAGGACGTTATCCCCGACTCGTTGATGGGCTTCTTTGTAAGAAGCAACCAAGCCCAATCAAGCTTCCTCTTCCCTTCAAGCACAGATGCTTCTAGGAGCTGGACTCACCAACAAGTTGTTCATAGTAAGAGTGTCGCCAGATGGAACTGCAGGGGCGTCGGTGTCCGCCTCTCTGGGGGGACTCGAATCTGGCGCCTCCAGACTCGGGCCAGCAGCATTCACCTGCAAAGACAGAACAGGGCCGTGTAACACAAGGAAGAGTGGAGGGACGTTGAGCTGTTGAGCGAATATCCAAAAAAGCCTAGCCCCATGCCCCTCCTGAGCACCCGGGAGTGCAGAGATGCATCGCCCCAACTGATGTGAGAAGTAATGAGAGGTGTAACAGCACTGCGTTCAACAAAGAAAGATAGAAGGCATCATCAGAAAGAAGATTGTACAATGTTCAGGTGCACAAGTTCCACCCACTATCACACAAAAACCAAAACACATCAAGGAAGGACGGAAGGAGGCCAGTGACGGGAGTGCAAAATAAGTGCAACAGCTTGACATGCGCGCTGCAAAATGGGTTACAGCTTCAATCATAGCGTGCTGCCATTTGGGCAATCTACCTCGAAAACACTTAAACTAGCAATGTCACAGTTGCATTCACAACAGTGATGCCATCAACCTTGAGAATTTACCACCGACTTATGAACAAGGTCAATATTGATAGTTGAACTGCCTGACAGCCTCACTTGCATCCTACCACCAGACTAGCTGCCATTGGCATTTCTTTCCCTGCTTTACAAGGAAAAGAAACCGCAACTTTCCAATGGCGCGCAAACAACTCTCTGAGAGTATGTGTCAGCTCAGAATGCGTTAAGTTAGCTCCAAGCAACTGGCACTTTTCAACTTAACAGGGGACAGAGGCAGTTTAATACTTCACCTACACAAAGCTGGCATTTTACACCAGAAGTAAACATTTATAGCATCGACAACAGATGCTGAATGTGACCATGGCAGAATGTGCCCAGAAAACCCCGGTCTGTCACCTATACATTTGAACAATCGTAGAAAGGCAGCTCCTTATGTATAGTGAATTCATCATAATGCCCCACCATGAAAAGTTTCAATGGCCTGATATGAAAAGCATCACACGATCATGCGACGTAATCCATAGATACAACCAAGCACCAAACTCCGTCAATATCAGTCCCTTTGACTGCTTTAGAAAAACAATCAGTCCCCAAACCAAACAAATCTTCAAGAGAGAGCGTCCAAACCCTAATCGTGTCTGATCGTTCCACACGAGCAACTGCAGATAACTTTGCACAACAACGCACCTTGCTCTCTTTCCTCAGCTCATGTGACGTCTCATGTATTTCGAGGTCTGTGTCTGGCCTGTCCACATCATCAAGACCATTATCAGTACCAGAAAACCCTTGGCCTTTGGCTACGTAAAGACCATCTCTAGCATCAAAGACTCTCTCCTCTGCCTCTTCAAAAATCTGTCCTTCTTCTTCACTAGAGCCGTCTCTAGGCCCATCGCCCCAAGCTGGATTCACCCCCCGCACTTCAACAGCCGCTGATTCGACCTCATGGAATGCCTTCCTTTTCTTCTTCCTTCTCTCCCTCGGGCTCTCCTGCTCTGAATCCTGCCGGTGGCTCAAAGGAGTGCTGCTCCTACTCCTCTCTCGCTTCTCTAGTCGATCCAGAGCACCCTTCTTTTTCCTCTTCTTCGATGCCCTCGCCTCGTCTTCCAAAGCAGAAGCATCGCCTTCAAGTACTGGACCTTGCTTCTTTCGACTAGCCCCTCCTTCAGGTTTCGTCCCCAAAGCGCCATCCGCTTCAAACTTCTTCCTGAAGTTTGCCATGATGCCAAGGGTCAAATCTGCATCAGGACCATCCTCATCGTCGCTGTGGTCACCACCACCTCTCAACCGTCCCACACCTGGATGCGCCATGGCACTGATCGTTTTGCTGCACTGCCAGCAGATTGCGCCCGGCACAGGCTCCGACGCTTCTTCCTAGCTTGAGCTTCTTTCGAGCCTGGAAAGCAAGAAGCCCGCTCTTCCTAGTTAGGGGCGTCTGTGCGTGACGTGGCTCAAGCAACGGCGTCGATCCCCTACTAGCAATCCTCTTATCGCGCCATACGGGCCTGGCACCACCGGACGTCGTCGACAGTTGTAAGACTGAGAAAGCAGAACTGTAATCGACGACAAGACTTCGAACTATAGAATAGGCTATGCTGATCACCTCCTTATTGCGGCTCCTCCTGCTGTGCAGCAGCGAGCCTGAAGAAGACAGCTTGGAATGCAGTTCAATGCAAGGTTGCAGACTGCCAGAAAAGTTCTCATCTTCCGACAGTGACACTGAAAGCGCAGAACACCAAGGACATCTCGTTTAAGAATCTGCGCCAAGGGGTACCCTGAGCGAGTTTCTGATCACTAGAAATGGCGTCGGCGGTATGCATACAACAGTTTTCGCAGATCTGCTCGCTTTCTGCTGGGCAAGCACATGGGCAAAGGGGCTCTGCAAGCAGTACCTGCGCCCCCGCACATTGCAGCGGTAGCTTTCTTAGAAAAGAAGGGTGAGAGACCTCCTTCCTGCACTATGAGCAGGAGACTGAGCATTTGATTTTCCAGGTCGCCTTCCAACATCTCCGATGGTTGTGCTTCGACATACTTGATGCCTAATGGAGGGCTGGTTGAAGGAACCTTTCGTTTTGGAAGGAAGCCAGTTTTTGAAGCTCTCAAAATGGTCCAGCTGAGCGGATTGGCACATGGTGAAATGTACAAAACTTCACGCATCATTTCTATTGTCTCGCGCCAGAATAATAGATTGTGGAGAAGTCTGCAGAATTTGAAAGACGGTTGCGCTGAATCTAGCCCTCTCCAGCCACCTCCTTGGTGTTACATATGTTGTATTAGACTGCATTGGATTCTCTAGTGTGGACTCGAGGTCCAACAAGTACTTGGCATCTGCTTATCGACCTTGTTGCAGAGTTCTATCTCTGTGCTTGCTGACCATGCTTCCAGCTTGAATGCTACTGATTCTGTTTTTGTTTTGAACTGCTGATCAAACAAGTCGTCAAAAGGCTCGTTTGTATCTCACATCAGCTCCTCATGATAAGAACGTACAACTGTCCACCAGCAGCCCTGCGGTTTTAAGGAAAGAGCAAACCCCTAATGATTTGCTGGCAGTGAGTGCAATGCAGCTGCCAAATTTGAAGCTACATTGAGCCCCTTTTAAATCCCCCACGTGTGAAGATGCTGAAGTCATTGCCTAGGGCATTCAGCTGCACTCATGTCCTCTCTCATACAGGACGGTCAGACGGCCGGCTTCATTAGAGAATGTGGGTCACTTTCAGTCAGCCCGCCCTTGCCTTCTAAAGTACACACTTGAGCAAGGCCTTCTGAGCCCCTACCACAGCTTCTTGGCTCAGGGCAGCACTCCAGAATTTCCAGTGGGCCTTTCTGAGAGGGAGACAGGCCGTAGTACTTAACCAGACTTGCTCGTTTTCCAGGTTGACGCTCCCACTCCCTGGGCGCCTGACAACAGCGGCTCCCCACGTCGCTTCCTCCAGGTCTTCTAGATTAGTGGCGAGGGCAGTGTCAAAAGCACCACCAGGGGTGAGCCTTCATCTTTTGATGCCATTGACCAAGCATACGAATGAAAGTAGTACATATCACTTGTAGCCATAAATACTCCATTCGAGACTCCAAATCTGACCAGGACAAGTTTCTATGTGCCTTCTGCGCGGTGTAGCCTGTCTTGATCATCCATGCCTAGCGGCGTTCAAAAGTTTGTGTATCTTGCTGATCCTGCGCCAATAGAGATAGTTGCAATACTTTTTTGTCTGACTGCCGATGGTTCTGCTTGCAGGTGGAGCCCCCACGACAGGAGCCGAAGCTGCCGCAGAACTTGGTCGGTTTCACAGAAAACGCTGAGGTCTGGAACAGCCGGGCGGGCATGATTGGGATCTTTGGCATCGCGTTTGTAGAGCTGGTGAGTGGAGTGTGCTGTTTGCAGTTTTTATGGTGAAGCTTAGCCTGGCCAACCACAGCCACCTTCGGTACATGTCCTTAATTGTACTTGAGCTATACAAGATGTTTCGCTTGATTCTGTCGATCTTGTCAAATATGCTCCCACGTCCTTTTTACTGAGGAAGTGGACATTTGTCACTTGAGGCGCTTGTGCCCTTTGGTCCCACCTTGTGACGTGGTGCTACGAAGGCTCAAATTTGGTACAGTTTTTAGTTCACTGGCCTGAAGCTTTCGAGTTTCCCATCCACGTCTAAAATACCCCAATTAACCTACGTAGCGACAACCTTATTTCAGAACATGCACTGCATCTGTGACCTGGCAAACAAGGTCGCTCCAGATTGAAAGACAGAGGTCTCATGTTCTGCCTACACAACATCAATTATACAACATCAGCTAACAGAGCCGAAGAAAAATGCTTACCATTCGGAACAGTGCCCAAAGAGAGAAAATCATCTACCGAAACTGATGGACGCCTTTGTTCTCCGCAGATTGCTAACAGGGGAATCCTCGAGATGGTAGGTATCACTGTTGGGAAGGGTCTCGATTTACCACTCTAAGGATAGGATCCCCTGGTCCTGCCTCGTGTTGTTTCGGCGAGGTGCTTCTGAAAGTTGTTTTGCTAGTCTAGCAAAGGTAGAAATCAGTGATGGACAAACAATCACAATCGGATTTCGTAGCCATCGGCTGCTTCTGACTCTGTGGCTTGTAGAGGGAATGCTCGAATGCGGACATTGCCTGTCTTGGAGGGATACCTCGAAGTGTATGGTATTCAAAATTGATGAGACAAGGCCTTTGCTGAATTTACCGGGACGAGACAGCCTCAGATAAAGCAGCCTGCATTAGCTGAGCCAGTATCGCAATGTCTGAAACAAGTGGTCAGGACTTACGGCGGTACATACGCAGAAGTCGCATTCAAGGGTCGGGTCCGCCCGCTTCCTGCCAGTGCTGCAAGTGGAAACGCGGCCCAATCGCACGTACCTAGAACTATATTATTCGGGGACTGTGTGCAAGTCATCTAATCGCGTGACTCATAGCCAGGCCATATTGCTGTGGAATCACGATTGCTTTGCGCCGAATGTTGCAAGCTAGAGGCCGCTCATATGGCATGATCATCCCCTGTGGCCTTCAATTTCTGTGCTACGCCCATGGCTGGCCTGCATGCAGGCATGTATATGTGAACTGCATGACGCGGTGTACGCGAGCTTCGCCCTACCAATGCGCAAGCACTGCATCCTGTAGGGCTGTATATTTGTGCGGCTGTACGCCGGTATTAGACGGTACCTATATAGAAATGAATGATTTAGTACATATGCTTATAGATGTCATAGTGCGCCATGCCGTAACACCTAGTGACATTGCACGGACTGTGGTATACGTGCGCCTGGCGCACCCGGGCCAATACACACGTGCCTTCATCGCCAAGCTGACCCTTGGGCTCCATTTAAATAATACGCGTCACCAATTGGAGAGTCAGTGGTACATTTTTTAGCTATTGATATAGCAGTTCAGCTTCAACTTGATGACGTCACTTGTTCTGGTGAAGTCGAAGTGAGGCACAAGCAGAATCCTGAAGAAGGCTAATCTTTAAAGAGCAATGATAAAACTCACAATCTCAAGTAGTAGATCTCTGCACTACATATGCTCCAAGAGCTCTCGCTCTGTAGTCAGCCACGCTAAACTTGGCCTGTCGCTGCTAGCTACAGCCCCTCTGTAAACCTAGAGCTAAGTTCGCAAGAAGCTTTGTTAATCGTGTCCACGTTCCAACATGCTAAAACGCTCGCTCGCCGACGGAGTGATACGTGTAAACTTTCGATCTTTGCTTTACAATATCTCTGTGCTCATCACCGGCACCCTCCTTTGTCCTACTTTTGACTGCACACATGCAAGTCTTGAAATGTCTCCTACGAGGTCACTGACTCGGGGCCCGCACGGCAGGCTTCTTCCCGTGACAGCGCAGCAGCATACTGTCTCAACGATCAATCTGGCTGCCAAACGCAAGAGCAGCTCACTAATTTGTCATCGCGCTTTTGATCTTCAAACACTGAGTATGCAACTTTCTCGGCCCTCGCCTGACCAGTTCAATTCGCATTCTTCAATCTCCTTACGCCCCCCCTCTCCCCACTGTTTTTATATATCTTCGTAAACAACACCCTACGTATTTGATATGACTGTCACTGTCTGCACGTCACCTCCCTGCGTGTCACCGCCCTGTCGGACCCACCTCGCTCGCAACTTTCAACCCGCTCGTTACCCCGTCCTTCTCCCCCTCCCCCTCGTTAAAGATAATCTTCGCGCGCCGCTTCTTTTCCGCCTCAAGAGACGCCTTCTCGAAGCGCCGCTTTTGCTGGGCCTGCGCCGCTTCGCTCAGCAAGTGACGCGACAACTCATACACGCCGAAGCTGACGCTGGCCATGGGCAGGATCTTGAGCGACGCCGGGGCGAGGCCCCGGTACAAACCGCTGATGCCTTCAGTGCGCAGGATGTGCGCGAACGCGTCCGTCATGCCCGTGTAAAGAACGGCGCCCCCCGGCCCCGCGACTTGGACCTGGCGGAGAAAGTAAGGCGATGACGTCAGCAGGCGCACTGGAAAGAGATGTTTATCAGGAGGAAGAGAAGGGGCGGTTTACACACGATTGAAGAATGCTGGCGAAAGAGGACGTCTCGCGTTTAAGAGCTGCTCTCGATATAAAAGAGAGCTAGATCGATTCAAGGCCACAAAAAAATGATTGCGGAAGAGGACGTACCAGTAAAAACGAGCGACAAAGAAACAAAGAAACATCGAGTTTCAGCGCTTTCGGCTGCTAAGCAGTCCTCAGCTTTAACCGCCTCCTGAGGAGCTCGAGCACGAACGCCACGATTGACACATCAGAAGGAAAAGCGGACGCTTATGAATGCAGAGAGCAAAGAACATTGTTTTCTAGGGTAATGACAATATTGACTGGTAAGTTGTTTTTCTGTTCGGCTTTACTGTACGTTTTTCGTCGAACGCCGGCTATGTCGGAAGTCCACCGCAGACTCGGACCACTCAGGCCCGCACCGCGACGTCGTACAGCGTCGCCCGAACCGCGGCGTTCGCCGAAATCTATGGCTCTCTCTTCACTACGAGTAAAGAGGCAAGCCAATATTGACTGGTAAGGAACACCAAACACTACAGAGGAACGACACAGAGTAGGCTTCGGCGATTTCAGCGGCTAAGCGGTCCTCACCTGCAGCCGCCTGCTGACGAGCTCGAGCGGGAACGCCACGATCTGGCCCATCAGCGCGGACGAGACGCCGCAGAAGAGGGCGGCAGGAACGGGCACTTCTTCCACTTTGGCGAGTTTCCGGTAGCCCTTCTTCAGAATGTCGAACGCGCCGTACGTGATGGCCGCCTCCGGAATGATCGCCACGATGCTGGGGCGTAGTCCTATCAGGGGAAACGCGAGAGCGAGGTTATGGTACAGCTGTTTGCGTCAAACTTGCCATCAGGTTCCGATCTTCCCAAGCATGGTTCCTGATTTTGAGCCGTTCGATGCCTTCCTTGTCGTCGAGTGGACGGTCTGAGATCAGGAACCATGCTCCGAGCATTTGGAACGCGTTGGCAGGTTTGCGGCAAAATGCTGTAGAATGTTGGAGAGCCATACGTTGACGTGTGGAACAGCCAAGTGGGAAGCCCGTGGTTACTCATTGCTGAGTACGGCAGACCGTCCAGCGTTACGGAACCACTATTTCCTTGAAGCCCACTGGACAGCCGTTGCAAGTAAGTACTCAACAAATGTGCACCAACGTTCAGTGGGAGACCCCTCCACGAGGGTCTGAATGGTGACATGGCTACCGTTTTGCACGGACGTATTGGGTCAGGACGTGGTCCAATGACCGGCCAGAACGTCTTCTGATAACAGTAACAGACAACTGTTTTGTGAAAGTTATCCCGTGGCGCTCTACTGTAGATCCATCAAGGTCCTTGGTCGAGAGATTCGGCCTGAGCTTCGTAAAGCGACGGAAAAACATACCGCTCCGAAGCGGGAAGCATTTCGAGGCAGGTCAGGCGAGAGCGCCTTGTCAAAGTCTCGGGCTTTGCTTCACCAGAGAATGCGAGCGCGAGCAATATAAACATTCTAAACGGAGCAGGCCTCCGGAGTTCAGACAGGGAAGAATAGAGGAGACTGAAAGCAGGCGCGAAATGGCTTACCTTTGTAGAGCGCCCCGGCGCCTTCTTCCGTGGCGATACTGTGCAGGGCGTGCACCAGGTTCTTGTACTTAGGCACTGCCTGGACGGTCTGCCGGCTGCGGACCACGTCCAGGGGGTACAGAATGAGTGTCGAAGTAGCCCCTGCCAGCGCGCCTGCCATAAGGACCTGCGCGTTTGACACCTGGCAGCGCAGGAAGGGTCGCGTGTCAGAAACATGGGAAGAGTACAGTACTAAAAGGATGCATCTCTTTCTGTAGTGCAAAGAAGAGACATGAGCGGGCTACTGTGAAGCGTTGGCGAAGATCACTCCGGTCGTTTGGCGCTCTGCGGCGAGTTAAGATTGACTGATAGCAAAAACATTCAAACCTGATACTTTCGCATGAGAACAGAATAGACCGAGGTCAGTACTTTTTTGCCTCACGTTCAAAACGAATACGATCCGATGTGGATGCCGTTTTATAAACATCAGGTATTTAACCCCTATTCAGTCACTCGCAGACGAGATCTCCAGCGCAGAAATAAAGACAGTTTGGGCAGCGTGAAGAAGAAACAAAATGCCCAAAAAGCAGCTAAGCGAGTGTGGGTCCAATTTCCGCCTGTACAATCGTTGCTTATGAAAGCAAGCGTGATCGTACATCTCATAGAAGGCACTCACCGACTTCTGGCTGTCCCCATTCAGCAGCAGCTTGTAGGCAAAGCAATCAACGGCATTCTGAAGACCGCCCGTATACCTTTTGCGCTTATAGAATCGTTGATATAGAAGCAAGCATGATTGTACATCTTCAAAGCATGATTGTGCATTTTCGAAAAAGGTCTTACCGGCTTCTGGCTGTCCCCATTCAGCAGCATCTTGTAGGCCTCGAAGGCGAAGAAGTCGATGGCTTTCTGAGGGACCGCCCGGATGACCTGAAGCAGAGTAGCGGGCGGTCAAGGCCCGTCAGAGTCGGGGACGGCTGCCTTACAGCGGAAGACAAAGAACTGCTTGGCGCCCTATCTGACGCCTTCCAGGTGCTTAGACCAGTCTGGGCTCTCTCTCGTAACAGACTCTCTGGGCTTTCTCTGACAATAGGGTAGAATATCTCCCAAGACATCGTTGTTCCTTCAAACAAGCCTACTGATCTCCCGGCGCTTAACGAGACGGCGAAAGGAAGGAAGAGAAATAACTGAAGAGCGTAAGGAGTTTGCCTTTCCTAGCAGGCTCAGCGACAATCTGAAGATAGAAAAGCACAAATAACGAAACAGGCTGATTATTGAGCCGGGTAAGAAGATTCTTGGCATTCCCTGTTTTCAAGCTACTTTATTCAACAATATCTCCCCAATGTCAGTACTTCTCAAGCATGACCAAAAGAGCAAATTGCATCCGGAGAACTTCGGCGGTATACGATCTGGGCCGTACATAAGGCAACGAAGTCTGGAAACTCACGTTGGTCAGGTTGCCCTTGAAGAACGCGGGCCAGCCCCCCTTCACGATGTCCTTCGCGGCCGCCCCCATGTCGGATGACGATTTGATCATCATCTGCAGCCGGATCGTTTCTAGGGGGGCGGAGACAGTACGCGAGACAGCCCCGGCCAGCCCCCCCGCCACGAGGTGGTTCCAGGGGCTGCCGGCCGGAGTGGCGGCGCTTTCGGCGTCCTTCGACAGCATCTGAGTGAGAATATAAGAGGGCGCGGCTTTCAATCAGGGCTGACAAGGGACAAAATGAAGGCACGCGTGCTGGAAGATTAAGACGAAGATGGTGTTCCTTTGCCCAACCACGTGAGCGAAAGCCTTCTAAATGCAATCGGTCCAATCCTTGCGACTGTGGTTTCACTAAAGATCGTTGCTTTTTGAGAGTTGAACCTGTCAATTTTGCAGCTTTCGGTGATGAAGTCGCCAAAGCAACGACTCGCAAGCCCTTTGTTCCTGATCAAGCGGGGTGACGTGCCCAGATCAGAAAACGCTCATCCGGCTGGATCACACCGTTCAATTCAATCTAGGTACGAAAACGATCAGAACGAGTCAATTGCAGGCCGTCCTTGCGAGGACCACTTCGAAGAAGAATGCGAAGCGAATTACTGGTAACCTCATGCCCGATCGTGCTCAGCCAAAGATTCGTAGTGCAGCATTTGACGGGCATGTGCGTCTCCGTGACTTGCTTTTAGCTACCTCGTAACAATGTTAAAGAGCGAAAAAGAGTTCTGAAAAGCAACTTCAACGCCAGCTAACAAGCAGTGACGTTGTTGTACTCACAGCACTCCCACCGAGACAATGGAATCAGAAGAAAGTGGCATCAGAAGTCGGTAATGGAATTCGCCCGGAAAGATGCGGAGTACGGGGCCCCGGGACGGTTTCGGTACATATGAAGACGACCTCAAAAAGAAAACTGAAACTGCTAACCCACCTCCACATTGTAACCCAGGTCGACCACGCGGCAGCAGCTGGCGCTCAGCCAGTAGTCCATCAGATAGCTTGACTTAGGCAGCAGAGTGAAGAAGTCCCGGAACTCCTGCAACAAGAAACAAAGGTCGGGCCGTCAAAAACAGTGCAAAGATATGTAGCGTGGCTTCAACGCTTGAGCGGTCGCGGATCCGCTGAAGCCTTTGCTACGGTTGCTTCACCCAGACAGTGTCTTGAGACTTACACGAAGTACGAGAACGGGTTTGCTGGATGTGGGAGTGCATCGATGAATACATCTTCCATTTCTCCGAGACGAATGTAGCATCAAAGTTCGGCCTGGCTAAAAGGCACGTCGTTTGTTGAAGAGGTGTAGTTGCGACAAATCGGACCATAAAAGCAGAGCAGAGTCGTCCTTACTCGGTAGCTGATGGTCTGCTTCTCTTCCTTGGCCATGAGCCGGATCATCTTCTGAGCACACACGATCTTGGGCCGGAACACCGTCGAGTCCCCCTCCTCCTTCTCCCCCCCGCAGATTACTCGCACATGGCGGATGCCATCCTCGAGTTCCTGCAATTCTCTGATATGGATCTCAATATTGCTTTTCCTATGTTCTTATCTCGACTGATCAGGATTGTTGAGGACTCGAGGACGGATTGCAGTGAAATCTGACGTTCTTTTAGTGTTTCCATGGGAGTGTGCCTTCAGAGACTCGATCACACATAGCACGAAGCCTAAGAGAGGTGTCCCAGCCTCTCAAAAGTCGCTTTCTGAACAGTGTAGGGCCTCATAACAGGTTCAACTTTACATAAAAATTGGTGGCTCCTTGGCTTGCAGAATGTATGTAACACTCCTCTTTCGCCATTTGGCAACGGACAGCAGCGGAAGTACGCCCGGCTGGCGGCTATAAAAGTTCGATCAGCTCTTTTAATTGATCGTGTGCACTTCCTCCATGTAAGAATGCAGAGATGGGCAAATATCAGGCTGTAAAGCCACGCTTGCCTGGCGCGTGATCTCGCCGTTCCCATCGCGGTCCAGGGCTCGGAAGGCCTGCTCGATGGCTGCGTCCTTGGACTGGACGAAGCTCTGAAAGGCATCGAAGTCGACTGTGCGGGGCTGGGAGAGGAACGGCACCCGCCGGCTCTGCAGCCAGCCTGGAGAGGAGGTGTGGGATTTTGAACGGGGTAGCGTACAACAAAAGCATATCAATAGTGTGCTGCTTCGGTGACACTTGACAGTCAGCTGCGAAAGCAAAGTGCAGGAAGTCACCAGAAAAACACCTGGGATTCAAATCGGCCAAGGATGTTGAGCATGCTTTAAGGAGTCAAGTCAAGAAACCAGATATCGATTGAAGGTCTTGACGCCTTCTTCTGACAACTAAAATCATACTATTCATGAGCTGTGATGTGTAAGAGAAAATGAAGCAGAGAGCGAACAAGCAAGGGCAGTTTGTTCATTCTTGCTAGTGGCCAGCTTGCTGAAAGTGAGCTTCGCGCCAGCATATTGACCACAAAAGTATTGAGAGACAAAAAACCAGACAGTCTGAGGGCCCTCTTCCTCAACAATTTTTACAGCTTACGTAACCAATGTTGGAGAATTGCCTCACTTTTCTCAGCATTCTTCCGCTGGATGCCCGGCCACCGCAGCGGCTTCCTCAGATTCTTTACAAGGCCCGCCAGGGCTGTGTGCAGGTCTACGGCGTGCGACACCCCCGCTGCTTCCAAGAACTCCTTCACATATGTTGTGGGGAGGCCCCTCTCAGCAGCAAATGCTACCAGCTCGGACTCGGTCAGCTTCCCGTCCTGGTTCTTGTCAATCTCATTGAACACCGCTCGGATATCTTCAAGGCTTCTCCCAGGGAGACTGCTGGACAGACAGGCCACACCACTGACTGGCCAAAATGGAGCGTTGATGTTCGCTGGTTGGACCTGTCCCATACTTTGGTCAGAGTCACAGCAGCTTCTGTCTCTCAACCTTGCAGCTAAAGGACGGTCGCAAACTGTCAAGCCTGCATTTTCTTTTCTCCTAGAAGCCTGCATTTTCCTCTTTTCATTGCATCCAGAGGGGCTTGAGAAGCTCAGCACCTGCCATGACAGACCACTCATACCGCCACCCAGCCCGGCAGCTTCTTGCAAGCGGAGCACAGCTGCATTTTGCCTCCAGGTCCAATCATCCGACTCCATCTTCATTACAATTGGCAGCTCGCAGCTCCGAACCTGGGCGTTGCAAATTGTGTTGGGGGTTCAAAGGGTATGTTTGCGATGAAAGTTTAGCTGACGGTTACTTGAGTAGACTTGCCTTGGACAACAAGAAGGCTGGACTGAAACCGGAGGAAGAAATCAGCTTTCGAAGGATTTCAAAAGTCTTCAAGGAGGGTGAGAAGAGGCAGAGAAAACAAGGTACAGCAAAGCAGGTGCAAGGTGTACCTAGCTCACCGCCATTGGCATGATCATGATGGAATTGAGGGTGATCATCGCTTTGACCCGGAGCTCATGAAATCGACGCGAGCGCACCCACGTGGTGAGGGAGAGTTGACCAGCTCCAGCCTCCGGGCCGGCACCATGAACCGGGTCTACCCGGGGTGAGCCCGACGGTCGATGGTGCCCGGTTCGGCTGCTCTTAGGTAGGTACCTCCGAAGAAGAAGCGTTCAGGTGCCACGGTAGGAGGTCACCGTAGGACCATGGTCCATTGCCCAGGACCAGGCCCCGGGCCAAGTCCTGTTTTGCAGTCCTTTACCGGTACACGCTTCATCCACTGTAGACAGAGTTGCACTGCAGGTCGGACTGCTGAGCTTGCCTGGCGGTTGAAACGGACTCATGCAGTCCTGTGCAGGGGACCAGCACACGTCCGGTCAGCTGGCAGGGGCGTGCAGGCATTCTTCAAGTTCTTGCCTGAAGGCTGAGCTGCAGGCTGAAAACACCTAGGATGGCGTGAGGAGCTTGGGATTTGAAAATTTGGCTTGGGAAATAGGGGGATTGAACCCTGCTGCCTCCTTGGGCGCTGAGCAACACGATTGCATCCCCAATGCTCAGGTGATCCCATGAAACTCGCCAATTTGAAGTCATCCCAATCTCGCTTGAAGCTGCATAACGCTTGTTATGTTATTTGCTCTCTGCTGGACTTCTCCTTTTCGATCAAAGTTCTCATGGCTCTGCCGAAAATATGAATCAGGATCCTTTCGAGTTGCATGTACGTCAATAAAGGCGTCCATCTATCTGATTTTGATGAACTGCTGGACCAATTGAAATGAATACTTCGGATCTCAATCAAGGACAGGTTTGCCAGATTGATCAGACTCCTTGCATCTGTAGGTTCTACACCTCCCATTGTATCCTTTCCTTGTTTTCACTTGGATCCCATCTGTTGTAGTGGGGATCAGCTTACGGCTATGATTGGTTACCTGCTTTTATCCTGAAAGTATCTTCTTTGTGTGCAGCCGATAGGGGATAATTGACGGATTTCCCCTGGGTTTAGAAGCTTTTAGCTGCAGATGGTCGACCTCTGGCAGCACTGATCAGTTCCAGCCAAGTTCTAGGGTTTTGAAAGTCAGTAAGAATCATGGCTTCCAATTTAGGGTTACAAAGCTTAGTACCCATGGCAAAGTCAGGTGCCGCTTCTGCCGTCTTTATCATGGATGTGAAGGGACGTGTGCTCATCTGGCGGGACTATAGAGGGGATGTCTCGGCAACCCAAGCGGAGAGGTTCTTCAACAAGCTCATGGATCAACAGGCAAGTAATAAGGTCTGCTGTCTTATTGCACATTTGCTGCCTCCATTCCATGCTGCACCGATTGACGCCATGATCCAATTGGACATGTACATCCTTTTGCTTGAACACCTCGTGTCGGTGAGGTTTCTGAGCAGTACTGTCAAGTATTAGCAGCTCATCCATCCAGATGAAAGAGCTCCAATGATGATTGTGCTCTCTGGGGTCGTCGGTTGTTGAGAGGCAGGTGGTAAGATCAGGGCATACGCAAACCTTCCTTGTGTTCCTAATCACCCGACGTCACTGTATCTTACCTGCAGAGCGAGAACCCCTCATCAAACAATCCCGTTGTCTTTGACGATGGGGTGACCTACATGTACATCCAGCACAACAATCTCTACCTCATGGCTGTCTCCCGGCAGAATGCAAACGCAGCCAGTTTGCTACTCTTTCTGCACAGAATAGTGGATGTGAGTAGAGCCATCCCGAAGCCCCCACTCTTTTGGATGTATAGGAGTTGAAGCTGACAAAGATGATGGACAGGTGCAGCAGGAGTTTTCTGAAGTTGAGGTGATTGATTTGCTGTTGCTTCTTTGCCTCTGCATACAATCAATTGCTCACCTGATGATGTATGATGCCTGATTGCAGGTTTTCAAGCACTACTTTGAGGAGCTGGAGGAGGAGTCACTCCGTGATAACTTCGTTGTTGTGGTGAGTGTTGCACTAGCTCTGTAGTTAAGAATTGTTTCTGTTCTAACAATCCTCTGGAGCCTGAAGCATGCCCTATCATAAGGATTCCACCTGAGCTGGTTAGAAAAGTAAGGTTCAAGAATCTGATCTCTTGAAGTGTATCTTTGATTCCTTGTCTTGCAGTATGAGCTTTTGGACGAGATGATGGACTATGGGTATCCCCAGTACACTGAAGCCAAGATTTTGAGCGAGTTCATCAAAACGGATGCCTACAAGATGGAGGTTACGCAGCGTCCGCCAATGGCAGTCACAAATGCTGTCTCGTGGCGTAGCGAGGGCATCAGGTACAAGAAGAACGAGGTGAGGGTGCTTTCCGCAAATTCTCTGCGATATGTAGTTTCGGAAGGTCTGATTTGTGCGTGTACAACTGCTTGGACCATGTGGAGCTGCTGCAAGAGTGATTTGATTCCCCTTTGGGGCTGCTAAGCAAGTCTTGTCACTGCAATTGCATGTGGGAGTTTTGAAGCATGCTATCGCTCGTTATAGAGTGAAGCAGAGAGGCACGGTTGCACCTCCAGCTGCTCTCATCGTGGTGACCTAAGATCATCTCTCTGGCAGGTCTTCTTGGACGTCGTTGAGAGTGTCAACATCCTGGTAAACAGCAACGGGCAGCTGGTGAGGTCTGAGGTTGTTGGGGCACTCAAAATGCGAACCTACCTCAGTGGCATGCCAGAGTGCAAGCTGGGGCTCAACGACCGGGTGTTGCTGGAGGCGCAAGGGAGGGCCTCAAAAGGGAAAGCCATTGACTTGGACGACATCAAGTTCCACCAGTGAGTAGTTGGGGGCTTGATTTCTCAGTGCCAAAATTGTAGCCTTATGGAAAATTCTATGGGACACTTTGTCTAGATAGTTTTTGTGTTCTGGTTGTTTCCCTTTGTGTGAGCTTACTGTTCGTCAGCAAGCCTCTCCAGATAGTCTATTGGCTCTTGATTGCTTCCTCCGCCCAAACTTTGCTGCTCTTGTGTAGAGTCCGGTGTCGTGGTTTTGAGCTGCCACCTCGTGCCAGCCCTTTGGCCATCTCTGAAGCAGCACGGCCAGAATTGAAGACGCATGTGATTTCTTTCTATCATTGAATTCTTGCTGTCATCTTGAATCTTCCTGCTTTGACTTGCAGGTGTGTTCGGTTAGCTCGTTTCGAGAATGATCGGACCATCTCCTTCATCCCCCCTGATGGCGCGTTTGACTTGATGACGTATCGGTTGAGCACACAGGTGGGCCCAAGCTCTTGATAGGTGCAAGATCTGGCTGAAGCCGAAAGAATGTGTTGCAGAGTTGCATCGTCGAGCTGTCTTTTTAAATTTCTATGCGGCTCTGAGTAAATCCTGGTCGACGAATCGTTACTGAGAGCTGGCCCTGGAAGCAATGAGCTTTCGAAACAATCCTCTGTGTTGGGGATACCGATGATCCTTGGCAGAAGCTCCCTTCCTCCCCTGAAATATATACCCGAAACAATCATCATATGCAAGTCGACACACGTCACACTTGAGCTTAGCTACTTCGTTTCGCCACAGATCCGGCCGCTCGTGTGGGTGGAGTGCCAAGTGGAGCGGCATTCGCGCAGCCGCGTCGAGTTCATGGTGAAGGCCAAGAGCCAGTTCAAGGAGCGCAGCACCGCCACCAACGTGGAGATCGAGCTGCCGGTTCCGATGGACGCCACCACGCCGGCAGTGCGATGCACCATGGGGACGGCCACGTATGCGCCCGAGCGGGAGGCCCTGCTGTGGAAGATAAAGTCGTTCCCCGGTGGAAAGGTGGGCCTTAAATGGATGACATCTATTCAAATGCTCAAAACCGTTCCTTAAACTGATGCATCTTCTTCACTGAGTCCGACGGCGAGTCTGTTGCAGCACTATCGGGGATATATTTGGGGAGGAGCCAGACAGTTTGCGCCTGGTTAAGATAGCCTTCAGTATGCCGATGACTTCTCTCTGGTTCGGCTTTGACATCGACGAAAGAAGCTTTGCGATGTGCTGTGTGGAGCTCTTGAAGAAGATCAAGCGTTGGCTACTGCGGCTGAAACCGTGGATTGTGCAGAAATTGCGCAAAGTTTCGTCCTGCTGACGTGCTCGGGCTTTGCTTTTGCAGGAGTACATGCTGCGGGCCAAGTTCAGCCTCCCAAGTGTGGCGCCTGAAGAGGACACGCCGGAGAAGCGCCCACCCATTCGGGTGAAGTTCGAGATTCCGTACTTCACGGTGTCTGGAATCCAGGTGAGTTGCCACCTCGTTTTTTCATCGATCTACAGGGGTTTCGAAACTGTTCACAAGTCGAGTCTTCCGAGCTCTTCCTTTCTATATCAGTTCCATCTTCGATTGATTACACGTGTTTCCTACTTGATTGTGGACGAACAGGCACGAACCAGACATAGAGTCAGGCAGTCGTCTGGGCATAGGGGCGCAAAAGCAGGAATCTGGCAGCCCTATCGATTTGTTGAGTCTCTTTCACCTGGTTATTAGCCGACTCAATGAGATTATTGGAGGCGGTTGCAGATTGGAGTCGAGAGACATTTGCTCGGCATGCTTCAGTCCTCGATTTGTATTGTTGCAGGATGGGGTATACGTTGCAGAGTGACTTGATTCCACTTTGGCTCGTGTGAATGCCCTCCGCTTAATGCAAAGGTTTGCATGCAGGTGCGATACTTGAAGATCATTGAGAAGAGCGGGTACCAAGCACTGCCCTGGGTTCGATACATCACAATGGCTGGAGAGTACGAGATCAGAGTGATCTGATCACCGAGCTTAGCTAGATGATCCCACTGGATAGAACAAAGGCTGTAAGCTTGTTTGCCTTTTTGGTCGAGCTTGCAATCCATTGATACGGAGGGGGCTTGATTGCTCCTGCTCAGCTCGATTTTTCTTCTCTGGCAGCTGCATGGGTTGAATGGTGAATTGTTTGTCGTGGTTTCGATTCATGGTCATGAGACCTACGCGTTGAAAGATAGAATTTGCATGCCCGCTCAAGTTCTGCAAATATCCCGGTTCTGGGCTCGATCTGATCAGACAAGAAAGGATTTCTTTTGTTCTGCATATATGCATGAAACAGGCGCCCTTTGATCGTCGATCGTGTACACGTGCTTATTTGCCAAACGAGGTTTTTACCAGATGGTGCATTTGGCAAGAACATGACTTCTTGAAACCACGCAAGCTGAGCTTTTTGCAGCTGCACACTGAGCACCATCACACATGAAGTTTTTGCGTACGTAACAAACCATTGGTTTTTCCATATGTATTGCTTGCGAGCTCATGAATTGAAACTTATAGCAGGGAAAAAAGCATCACTGCAGTTAAACAGCAAACTTTGAGACGATCTATCATGAATAGAAGCTCCCACTCATGGGCTGGCATGAATTTCAAGTCAAAGCTTTCACTGTGCACGGCATTGCTACCTTGCAGTCAGAGCAGCACATGTCGATGCCGCTTGGTGCCACGCGTCAGAGCCAGCTAGCCGGCTTGAGCAGATTTTGAGCTTCAAGTTTCAGGATGATCCCCCTGGTGGTTTAAGTGCTGAGGTCGACCTTGGCTCGACAATTCCGGCAACTTCCAAGGCACGCATATTAACTTCCAAGAAAGTTTTAAGAGCTTCCTTTCCAATTGGTCGAAACTGTGAGGTAAGAGGTGCATCCGCACTGCACCTGTGCTGAGATCTGCTCAGATAGGTGTATATTAGGGGATTGCAGCTACGCTTCAACCTCCAAGTCAGATTGCATAGCGGACCCGTTCCGCAATGTCAGATCAAAGTCATGCGCCCACCAGCGCCTTTCCTAGCGTGCCTGCAGAGTACCAGGGCGTCTGGCGGAGGACTCTCCTCAGAAGCGCCGACGGGGCAGAGGACACAACCACCAGAGTGTTTTGGTTGCAGACCGCTCGCCACCATGTGGATATTAGAGTGCCGGCAGAGCGTCCGTCTTTGGGCGGAGCAACGTCTCTCGCGGAGCTCAACAGAGAGCAGCTGAATGGGCTAGCATTGCAGCAAGGCTTCGGGGGCGTGACGGAAGTCAAAGGCGACGTCTGTCAGTGGACACGGCAGGTGAGATTGAGGGGTGGGCGCAGAGCATTGAGTCGGCACGGTTTCCTTTAAAAATCGTTGGCTTTCTGCATTTTGGTATTGTTCTGCTACCACGTTAGGGTGGGGCCATGTGTTGATGCGCCTTTGTCTTTAGGATGAAGAACAGGCAATGCGTGATCCAGCGGCTGCATTACAGGCGGTGGTTTCTTGATCAGCATGTCAGATTGAGGAACCTCAGCAGACAATGATTCAGAAGCCGCGGCATTACGTTTCATGATGCATTCTGTTGTGCCTCTTGGCCATTGAGGAGGGGCTTTATGATGAGGTCTAGCAAACTTGTGGAAAGTGGTTTGATTGTACTTCCTCCACTTTTATTGACATGTATACAACGATCCGGTTGGTATTGTCTCTGAGACAAGAGAGGCTCCTTAGCGGTTGACAGTGAGGCCCCTTCATCACCAGTACCACTAGCCGGTTGAGATCAGGTTGCTGGAGGCCAACTTTTTCACGCGCCTGGCAGTGCATGAAAGCTCTCATGATGGACAAGGCAACTTGTCGGTCACTAGAACGTCGGCGATTGTGATCCTTTGATAGGCGCGACTCTTTGCCACGGTCAGCAGATTTTGATGAGGAGAAGCTTCAAATCAGAGAGGCAAAGCAGGCTCATGTTCTTACAGGCGCGTGCATAGTCCCCCAGGCATTCTATCAAGTTGGCGTAGCCTTCCTCACTCCGACGACCAGCAATGTCACGTATGTAACCCAGGTTTTATATATGCATTTTGCTGCTTCCTGGCCAAATAAGGCCATGTTCTCCGCAACAGGACGGCTTGCTGGTGTAGGCCTGAAGGACCCATCAGTGCATTAAAGCTGCCCCTGCTCTCCTCTTGCAGGCGGACTTTCAGCCGCCCACTGGAGACAATGACATTGGGCGCATGGTTTTCAAGGGCCGGGTTCAAGTGCTGGAATATGGGGTGGAGAGCGACTACTTTGAGGACTGGGCACGAGAGCCTGGGTCGGACGGTGACAGGTCGGCTGCTCTGTCTTTTGGAGAGTCTTCTCTTCAAAGAAAGTAAAGATAATCCTCTTTCTGCATCAAACTGTACTGTAAAGCTGGGGCCCGTCTGAGCTTGTCCGAGATTGTCATGTGTTTATCTTGCTTTGGCAGGCGCTGGCGGCAAAGGTAAACAAGAACTAGTTAGATGAGAAGCCAGTACGTGAGGCGTCTTTGCAGGGCGTTTCCTTGGGCGGGAGAGATTGAAATTCGATTTATGCTGCTAATGAGAACCTTGCCTGCCCACCCTCCAGATTGCATTCACAATGATGGCAGAAGCGGGCCCCGGCCCCTGCCAAACTCATAGGGGCTCAATGACCCGATCCTCTCCAAACAATCTCAACAGAGGCGGCGCTGGTTTCAGAAAAACGAGTCTGAGATGCGACATTATTTGCACCAGCTCTTCAGCTGATTCAGGACCGCAAACCTATCAGCAATGCTTTCTGTTTCGCTACGAATGCAGTACATACTGCTAATATATTTAATACAGTACCCTTCCACTCGATTGTGGGTAAGAGCATTTGGCTGCAAGACTTTTCTTTCAAGGCTCTTCTGCTGGATACAATCCAAGATCCCCCAAATTGCGGACGATTACGCTTCATTGGAGGTCGGATCAGATCTGCGACAGCAATATTGGGCTTGATATTTGTAGATTAGCTGGTGTTCTGCAATTTGCAAACGGACCATGCATTTGAAGTCGATGGTCGTTAACCTTCGTACCTGTTGCGTCCAAAGAAGGCAGTTACTGCTTCTTCAATGCCAGCAAATTTCTCATTGAATCGTCTTTATTGTTCCTACAGCTTTGCGTTGGAGCGACTTTCAGACGACGGCAAGTCGCCGACAGTCCCGCTCACCAGGCTGCTCGTCGCGGGGGGCAAGTTCATGTACATAAGAGCCAGGCACGGGGACACCCTGCCAAAGAGCGCGAGCTTCTCGGAGCTGGCTGCAAACCTCAGTGACGATGAGCTGCGAAGGGCATTGGACTTCGAGATTTCGTACGGTTCCATGTGAGCCCGCCTGCCAAAGCAAATCTTATCTGTTTTATAAGAATCTATAGAATCAGAATGAAAGCTAGTGCAGCTTTTAATTTCTCAAGCCCGTTGTTAGGGGGCAGCCCATGAAATATGGCGTTCTCCATGCAGTGAATCTGAATGCAAGTCAACGTATGTCTGCGTTTGGCTACCGGAAAGAAGCCGTGTGATCCACGGCACTAGTTGCGGCACTAGGCTTCTCAAACGCAGGTTGTGAAGAGTAAGCTGATACATAGACAGGTTCTTTCTTTCTTCATGTGGAATGCGCTTTGCAAGTGAGCACTCATGGTTCCAAGAGGCGATGACGCACGTGCATATCTCTAGGGTTGGTTGAACGCCTCCTTTGAAGCCCACACATTCAGGCTCTCAAGCAGCGCTACTCCCTTTTCAAACATCATTTCAACCAACCTGCTGGTAGTAGTAACACAAATACACCATCAGCTCATTTGTTGGCTGATCTAGAATGTCGCCGCCCCGTCTGCAGAGACTCGCCCGGTCCGGAACCGCGCCGGTGGATCGTCGACCTCTCCACTCTTCCATGGCGTGAAGGAGAAGCAGCCCTTTCCAGCGAAGCATTCCGAAACGTATTGAAACACGCTCCAGGGGAGGTTGTCAGCGAATCAGGAGACAACGAAGGCAGCAAGTGGAGAATCTTGGACTTGACACAGTCTTCTAGCAGCTCGTAGCCCCCAATTCAAGAGGCTGGCAACTATAACACCGCGGCGTCACCACAGTGCCAGTATAGCAAGCCAATTATGTGGGACATGTAATAAGAAGGGGACCACTCATGCTCGAAAGAAAGCAGGGCCTGGCCATGCTAAGTTACGATCTCAATCAGGTTTTAAGCAAGCACTCGTGCACGCAACCGTAGCGCTAGTCACACTCTACCTTACTAAAAATATTCACCGTAAGTATCAGATTGTTAACTTTGGCCAAGTGCACACATGCAACGTGTCCAGATTTTAGCTGGATATGTACGCATGTGACTTGTGATCGAACTAAGTGCGGATGCACTCGAATCTGGCAGCCGCATGAGAGGCAAGGTCTGCCAATACAGATCATTGCAGTACGCAAATGCATGCACTGGAGCTCGTGCACGTCGTATGTTTGTAACTTGCAAAATATACAGGAGAAGCTGGGAAGAGTGATTACAAGCCATGCGCATTTGGACCGATTTCATTTTTGTTTTTCATCGCTGCTGGAGCATGATTAGTTGGTGACGAGCTTTGAAATGTCAACTCTATTGGAGGAAAAGTTCACAACCGTAGGAACACTGTAGGCCTTAAGCCCTATTTAGCCCAAAGTGGACCTGCAATAATGTCTCTTATGAAGTACATGACTAGAAGAACGATATGCGATCTTGAACGGCCCCATGCTGGGGTCGCTAGCAAGTAGTAGCTTTCTGGAGACAAGTATCTGTCTACGGGCCAGCCTGCAAAGAGCACGATCAGCAAAGTGAGGTGCGCACTCGGTACGTTACGTCAGACATCAAGGTGCTTGGCCTAGCGCCGACGGCAAGGACGATCTGTGCAGTACAGTCATGCCAACAGCTTTTGTCCAAACCGTCCAGCATCCCACTTCTGTTGGGAACTACTTGCAGCATGATATCTGCCATTAAAAGGACACGTAAGTAGCAGGCGCCCGTGATGACGAACTCCTCTGTCGAACGACACGTTTGTGGGTGTTTTCACCTGCTGGAACTCTGATCCCCTTATAGAGGTTCTGCACCTTTTTCCGTCAAAGTCGAGCTGCTGACGCACTACGTCCTAGACTGCCGCCTTGCGAGCCAGGTACGGGTCTCACTTCCTCAAGACACCTGCAATCAAAGACGAGAAGAGAGCGTCTCAGAAACAGAAAACGACGTCTGTCGAAGTAATGGCGCTAAGTGCATTTGAGGTGGCCGTTGGCCGGTGAATAACTCGAGGATCACCCAAGAGCGTGCCTCACGATCGTGTTTCTCACGGACCTTCAGCTGCAAGCTGCTGCCCTTTCGAGGCCGTCAGAGCACAGATTGTGCAGCAACTTTTGAACAGAGATCAAGCACCACGTGATTACGAAAGCAATCAAGAGCTTGCAGCTGCAACATTGCAATGCTGCGTCAGTATCAACCTAGCTGCAGAGATTGCCGCTGGGCACTCGAGCGAAGGTAAGTGTATAAGGCCTCTAGAGGCTCAACAATGGTTCAAAATTGGTCAAAGCAGTGCCTGCAACACAAAAATGGCAGGCACACGACCTGTTCCTAGTGGGATTGTTCTTACTCTTGCATACCAGCGGTCGCCTTACCTTTACAAGGCAGTACTGCACGTGAAGTCGTCCCGGTCTGGCTTTCCCCTCGGAGCTCCGGCTTCTGGCTTTAGCGTAAACCAGACGGCAAGATCGAGATCCCCCCTCCTTCGATTAAAATTTGGAGCTACGAGCATGCTACAGAGCCGCTGCTCTTACAGCATGTGCTTTGCAGATCTTATAAAGCTAACAGGTCGGCCGTCACTCATATGAGCTCGACCGGATTTCTATGAGCAGTTTCGAGGAAGTCGCAACGGCTTATTCACCCCCGCCGGATCGTCTAGCCCCTGGACTGTCCCCACGCCCCCCCGTGCCTCAGCCTACTGTCTGTGGACCGCGTGATGCGGCCCGCCTCCCTGCCGGAGTTGTCTGCAGCTGTCGGGGTTTCTGCCTCGGGGGGGTGTGTCGCGGGCCGCTTGCGGATGAGCGCCCAGCGCTGCATCAGCTGCGCGGCGGTGCGGTCGGAGCCGAAGTACTGGCGCAAGATCTCCTCCCAGTGGCCCTCGCCGTGTTTTTGGACGGCTTCGAGCAGGGTCTGCAAACGGGGAGGAATGGATTAAGAAAACAAAGTTATGAATCATGTAGAAGATTCGTGAAAATGATTGCGCTGATTAGTTGTAAGAATTTAATTTTCAATTTTCCAAGGCACAAAGGTGGCCCGAATGTAACGTAGAATACACTTTAACCAACTGAAAAACGGCGGATGGGAATGTCGGAGGCCCGCTTCTGAGGGCCGTTTCCAATGATGGAGGGGCCTGCTTTGGAGACAGGCTAGACATGTAAGCTACATCTGAAAGAATTGGGTCAAAATACTCACTAGGCGTCCAAGTCGTGAGCACCAACGATTCCCTCTTTTTCCTCTTCGAACCAGCTGATCATCGTGAAAGTGACAATCTTAAAGCAAGCATGTAGAGCACGGTGGCCGTAGATCAAATCCGGTATCAGATTAGATACTACAATCCCCTCTGTTCCCTTATAATCAGCGCCGCGTATGCTTCACTCCAGAGACGTGGCAAAGAAGGCACAATCATACCTTATCTTCCTCTTCTGACCATAGGTGCCGCCTCTTGTTTGGCCCCAGAGGAGAGGGGTTTTGAGGGACGTGTGGGGATACGTGAGGGGAGTACTGGGAGGAGAGGGGGGATAGCCGTGTAGTGCCTGAGAAGCCAGGGGAGCCAGGCCTGCAAGAGATCGGATTATCACGAAAGGTATCCGAAGCACTCGGTTAGCTCAGCTGCAATCTAAGACAAAAGCTATGATCTCGGTGATCGCAGCTACCAGGTAGATACTCGTGAAAGACTACTGACCAGCGCAAAGTGCTGGATTGATGAGGGAGTCCTTGAGGACTGTTAAGAGACCGATCCAAATGTTCACTCGTTCACAGAGTCATGTAAAACTATCTTGGCACAGGTCAAGCCCTGACGATCCAGAACAATCTCGCTCTTCAGCAGGCAAAGCTCGATGCACGACCGGTGATACAAGACTGCACTGTGCCCCTCCTAGTAAGGACCACAAATGTCTTACGAGCTTCGTCAGTCCCTTGCCATGATTGTCTACATCAGCACCTACCTTGAACCAGAACTGGTTTGTGTCAAAATGTGCGAGGGACGCTTCTGCCCCAGCAGACTTGATCCAACTGGAGACACGCCTCCTGGCCGCATCCCCGTCCCCAGGGGGGCAGAGTTGCTTGGCCTGGCCGCAGGAGATGGCAATGTCAGGCGCCGCCTGAGAGCTCCAGTTGCAGCTACCTCGAGGCCGATGCGCCGCAGATCATTCTGCAAAACCGGAGGCAAAGTAGGAGACTTGTCAAAAGGGAGCAAAAGCAGAGGTCACTACAGTCGCCGCAGTCTCTAGCTTCTCTGAAGGTGCGGGGCGTTTCAAGAATCTTCTAGAATTTGTTTGCAGCACAATGCGTGGATGGTATAAGGAAGGGCAGAAGGAGTGGGGGCTGCAACTACATTTGAAAAGCAACCACCGATGCAGACTGAATCTGTGTCCTGCTTATAATAGGTTACCTTCACAATCAAATTCTGGCACGCAACCAAAACAATTGGCTTCCTTGAAGTAGTTGTGAATGTCATCAAAGCAGGAGCAGATTGAGTATGTTCTTAAGAAAACTGTAGAACCCAAGTCTGACCTTGACCCAGGCAGTGGCGTCCATTTGCATTGCAAGGCTGATTCCCGGCGTGCTCGGTTTGGTGACGTCCGTTTCGTCAATGTCACTATCATCATCCTGGCACAACAAAGATGAGGGCTCAGTCAGAAGAAAGCTCTTGCAAGGACCAGGTAAGTGCTCTTGCGGCAAGAAGTTGAAAAACAGATGCCTACAAGCTGGTGGTTAGTCCGGCAGAACTTGTTCAAAGAGAACACCCCAACATGAAGGTACTGTAAGGTTAGAGTACAAATTGTGGACAGGGAAGCAAAGGCAGGCTTGCTTTGGCTGGACAGTACCACTCCTCACCAGGGGCTCTACACCCGGTGCCAAGTTTTCTGGGATGGCATGGCCGTAGGCCAGACACCTCCAGATTGCCTGCGCCTCCCTGGGACCTTTGATAGCAGCCCCTATCCTCTGGTGGATGGCCACCCAGTTTATCTTTGACGATCCTTGCTTTGCAACCTCTCTCAAGATTGTGAGTACCGTGTTACCAGGGTACCTGCAAGTTGTAGCATTGTGCTTCATTGCACCACCAATGAAATTGTTGGAATGCAATGAACAGAGAGGAAACCAAATCACTAACCTCAATATCCCGAGTTACCAGCCTCGTCGCTCAAGAGACAGAGCAATTGCTGGACGAAGCGACTGCGGTCCCTGAGCCCCAAGCAAAGCTGAGGACTTCCGCCCTTGCATCCTCGCACCAAATCACCCTCACCTTTTTAGTAGGCTTTCTGCCTCCCGCTGCGCTAGCGCCCTGTGCTTGAAGTCTGTCTTCGGAGATGCTGGAGCCACAGGTAAGAAAGGCAGCCCCTGCGTACTGGGAGACCTTAGCATGCCACGTGGTCCTGGCATTCGAAGCCCTGGCGGTACGCTTGAAGCTGGTGCCACACCATGAGCTGTCTGCACACCGCTGAGTGCTGGTCTGTACGTTGGCCCAGGCAGAGAGTGGCCTGCTGACTTTGTTGGTGAAGAACCGAGAGCACCCGCAGATGGGCTAGGAACTCCGCTTGGCCGTGGCCGTTCGCCAGTGCTTGCCATTCCTGCTGCTTTAACCAAGCTGCTGAGATGGTGAAGAAAAACAGGGACGCACAAGAAGCACAGTTTCTGTCTCGCGAGCGTCACCACAATGACTTCAGTAGCACTCACTGTACAAAATGGACCCGAGGTAACACGACAGAGCTTGATGCAAGAGCGAAAAGTTACGCCTGCTTCCCTTTTTCAGGCCCAGAGGTGTATCAAGAATGCCATTGCAAGACCCTGGGCCTGAATACCTCCCCTAAATCCTGAATACGGTAGATCAGGAAGGTGAGCAGGTGCAATTTGCAGTCTGCTGCTCATGCGCGTATGTCTTTCATTCTTCGGGGCAATATTGTCACAGCGCGTTTGGTTTGAACTAGAACTCGGCTTGCTTGTTGCACGATTGATTGCGTCAGATTTCAGAATCTAGACACTGTAATTGAAGCTGTATAAAATAACAGCAAACAAAACGACAAAAAACCGCTTTTCTGCTGGCCCTCTTATGCAGACTTTGAGGTTAAAACATTCTCGCACCAACAGAATGCTGGAATGCGCTTGACGAGAAATGCTCGAGCAGACGCTTCTGGCTGCTGCCACTGGTGACCGTCTTCTGTGATGGCCGCTCTAGCTAGAGTACTCCGCCCTTCGCTCATCAATCGCCAGTTTTTGTACGAATGCAGTGCCCATGATTCAGGACCTTTCAAAGTGGGCTTTTGTCATCAACCAGATTGCCATTTAGACAATCGAGCAAGTCCACTGGCTGCTGGTCCTTTCGGCGGCAACCAGCTGAAAAGTACTCAGCGCAAATTTGTCATCGGTGGTGCTACATTGTCGAAGACAGGTGGTGTGAGAATGGAGCCTAAGTCAGCTAGCGCCACCACCGCCACAGTAAGTCAACCCTCTGATCTGAAATTATGGAGTTGATTACATGCACCAATCGGCGGTGCACGGAAAGGACAAATGCTGTCAACTTTCTTTACAATGGCAGCACCAGCTGGCAAGTCTCTCTTGATCTCTCAATGCTGGTAATTTTCATTGCCCCTCCTGGAAAGCAGTGTCTTCTTACTTTGAACTCACCTTGCTATCTGTGAGAACCTTTGAGAAGCTGCCAATGTCCTAGATGACTTGAGTTGTTCTCTACAATGTCTGCCTGGCATGTGCCAGATTTTGAGCGTGATCCTCTTTCTAATTGCAGAAGGCTTCAAGCCAGGATGGGGCTACAGCCACTGAGAAGAGTGTGCTGGTGCCAATTGCCAATGGCAGTGAAGAAATGGAGGCTGTCATCATGATTGATGTCCTCAGACGTGCTGGTGCTGATGTCACTGTCGCAAGGTAAAGTTGCTTCACATGAAAGGTTGGTTCACTCGCAAGTTTGACAATCATGGTGGCTTTAAGTGGCAAGCTCCAGCCATTTTCTGTCTTCTGACAACGGATTCAGGCAGCCAAGAAGGGGCATAAAAGGGCACCAAATATCAGGAACACATTTGTCTACTGTCTGGTTGCTTTGATGGCAGGTTGCCAGAAGCACCTGGGGAAAGGTAACAAGTCTGCTGATGGGTTCACTGAGTCAGACTACGCTTGTGCAGCGTGGAGAATGATCTCCAGGTCACTGCATCCCGTGGGGTGAAGCTGGTGGCGGACAGGTCAATTGGTGAATGCACTGAGCAAACATTTGACTTGGTGGTCCTCCCGGTAAGTGTTCCGATTTGTAGTTTCTTTCTTTTGAAATGTCTCAAACTTGGGCCGCTTTCATGACAACCACCTCCTGTTGACATTCTTTTCCCTGCATGAAATGACGCTTACTACATCACAAGTCTCTGTCTTTCTGCAAAGGCCTTTTCGCATATCAAATTCGAGGCAAGTCCAACAGGACCACCAAGAAGTCGTACCTTACAATTCCGCTTTAGTCGGTTACCATTTGACCAGCTGCACAGATTGGGGTTCAAAAGACAAAAGTACGACGAAGTACGGTGATCCAGGACATTGTGAGGTCATTTTGACTGCCCTGTCACAGTGGAACTTTTCAACCAAGGCTCTTTTTTTGGCAACAAAGGGCTGAACATCTTGAGACCTGTGATCTTTTCAGGGGGGCATGCCTGGTGCGGAGCGCCTGCGAGACTGTGCCGAGTTGAAGGAGATTACTCAGAAGCAGGCGGCCAGAAAAGCCCTGTACGGAGCAATTTGTGCTGCCCCCGCTGTGGCTTTGCACTCCTGGGGTCTTCTGGATGGCAAAATTTCCACTGCACACCCTGCATTCTCAGACAAGCTTCCCGACACGTAAGCAGACTGAACCTTGCTACTTCCGGATCGTTACAGGCAACCGTCGTTGCTGACTGTGTTACGGAATTCAGGCTCGTTTGCTCGGGAACATTTTGTAGACCATGATTTTCTGATCTTTCACATCTGGAAAGGACAAGTCAAATCGGAGGGCTTCTGCATTTCGGTCCCCTGGACTTGGATAAGATGCTTTCCTGACAGCGCTTTTTCTTGAGAAGGCCTTGAGGTAGAAAGTCAGTCGAGGCCTTTTGCAAAATATTGTCAGTGTCGCCGATTGAAGATGTCCACCAGTGTGTTGTAAGTTTTGGTGGCATGAGGAGTCAGGTCGTATATCGAAGCTTCTAAAAATATTCTCGCATGATTGTTGTGCTTAGGATGCCTTGGCTGAACAGATCCTTACGGTCATTGTTCCTGTTGTTGACATGTCGTCTCTGTTACATTGCGGATGCAGTCCCTTACTTGACCTGTATATGCCTGCGAGTCCAGTCTTCCAGCTTGTCATTCTTCAGCCTCTTTTAGTCGCAATTTGACATCGTTGTATCCAAAGCAGCGGGTTTTCGCAGGCAAAGTCTGATTGTTCCGCTCTATATTCAGAATCTTACCAAATGCTCTTGCGTCTGCATGTGCTGCCCCTTCCTCGGCTCAAGCACAAAGAGGAGGAGACTGATTACTGAAGGAAGAGTAAGCCGTCAAAAAACCTTTGTTATTCCATGTCAGGAGCGCAGTCGAGCAGCGAGTTGTGCGGGACGGCACTGTGCTCACCAGCAGGGGCCCCGGCACAGCCATGGAGTATGCGCTGGCGCTGGTGGAGCAACTTTACGGCAAAGAGAAAGCAGAAGCAGTGGCGGGGCCAATGGTGATGCGAAAAGGGGATGGGAGCGACGTGTTCAGGAAGGACTTCGGCGTTGAAACGGTGCGTGCAAAAGAAAGGAGCGGGGATACAGAAGGTTTCGGATATGAGGATGCTTTCGGATATGAGGATGGCTGACCACTTTTTTTAAGCTGCGAAAAGAAAGCTTCAAAGCATCGCTGAGTGGCCTCAAGCCTGAAACGACTCGCTGAAAGGTTGTACCTGCGTAACAGGGTGCATCGGCTGTCATCTCCTCAGGATCGAACGGCTCTGCAGGCAGAAAAGCCGTGTCGAAAGCTTGCCTGTATTTGTTCGTCGGACGACGAACTTACGAGGCGAACAGGGAAGGCTCTGATGTTGTGTCAGGAAGGCCCGTTGGCTGGCGTCCGTGAAGCCCCGATTCGCTGGCAAGACACCCTCTCTGGCCGCTGAGCTTTCTTTCCCAGAGTTTTTTTCAGATGCTCTCCCATGCCTCAACTCGGAAAAGATGAAGCGTAGTAGACCGCATAATGTTCTGCTGTGGAGCCTGCTCAAAGTTCCCTCTGCCATCTTACAGGTGTCGGTTGACGAGCGGCCCAAGGTCCTCGTGCCGGTCGCCAACGGCAGCGAAGAGATGGAGGCCGTCATCATTATTGACGTGCTCGTCAGGGCGGGGGCTGAGGTCCACGTGGCAAGCATAGAGGACTCCAAGGAGGTGGGAAGCGAAACGGCTGGTTACATAACGGAGCGGCCAGGCTGTCTTTTGCAACTCGTGATTTTCTGTTGCACGTGGAGACGAAGTGCTTCAGGTGGCTTTTCGGGCTATGCTTCTCATAAGAGGCGTGTTCCACGCTCCAACGTCCCACGCCTTGGAAGAACAGGCGTAGCGCGGTTCCAATATGGACATTCGGGCCGATGTTCGCTGATCGTCGGTTCTGTCGTTAACAGCCTGCTGTAGTCGAACAATGGGTCAGACGGAAAAGGTATTAGTGCACAATTCTGCGGCTAAGAGACGTATAGCTGAAGTTTCGTCTTGTAAAATTGGTGCAGCTGGTGCTCTCGAGGAAGGTCAAGATGGTAGCCGACCGGTCAATCGAGGACTGCACTTCTACTAAGTACGACCTGATTGTGCTCCCGGTAAGATAATTTCTTCGGAACTTTGCGAAACGCAGCGGGCTGGAAGAATGATGATCTCGGATGTTGTATTGGACGCCGGAAAGGGTGGGAGAAAGCTTAGAAGTGTACGGGGCAGGATTTGACGTTACTCAGGCTTGGGTTCACGAGGTCTTGAAGGATCTGGCACTTAGCGTTGGGAGCCTTGAAAGGGAACATGTTTCGCATGTCACTCTCCAAAGAATCTTCTGCTCGCCGTTTCGAAGTCCACCGGTCCATCTGCTGATCTGAGGCCCCATCGGACCACACGGAAAGAATGGTATGATCCATCTCCTGACGGGTGGGGCTCTGGAATTCAAACTGCGAGCAGGTAGCTTTGCAGTTTCATGACGATTCCATCGTTATCGGAGGAAGCTTATCTGCTTTCAAAAATTGTTCCAACGTGTAACGGTGTAAAAGTTTCTTTGCTGCAGGGTGGCATGCCAGGCGCGCAGCGACTGCACGAGTCCGCGCCCCTCGACAAGCTCCTCCGCGAACACGTTGCTGAAAGGCGGCTCTACGCTGCCATCTGCGCCGCTCCGGCCGTCGCTCTCGAGAGCAAGGGTCTGCTAAAAGGAAAGAAGGCCACGGCGCATCCAGCGTTTGTCGACAAGCTTACGGACAGGTCAGCAGTCTGTCTTTTTGCTTCTAATTTGATCACGCATGAACTTAACGTTCACGGCTTGGCGACGGTAGGAAAGTCGGATCTGTGCGCAGGAGGGATCCGGCGGATGGAGAAGGATGTCGCAACACAACAGTCACGCCGTCTCATCCGGCGCTCAACATTTGCGTGCGAATATTGTAAAGGCTGGGATTGTCTTTTAGAGTTCGCTGCGAAGCCGCCTTACCGATGCTGATGTGGTGGCTGTTCTATCGTCCGCATTTTTGGGTTGTCCGCTCTGATTGGCTTACGTGATTGTGATGCTCTGAACATAAGCCCACACCTGAAACGCTTTCGTACCTCGTCGTACCGCTGGGCAGGTCTGCTGCGGACGCCCGAGTGGTCCAGGACGGGTTAGTAGTCACAAGCCGGGGGCCAGGCACCGCCATGGAGTTCGCGCTGGTGCTGGTGGAGCGGCTCTTCGGGCGGGAGAAGGCCGACGCAGTGGCGGGGCCCATGGTCATGCCGAAAGAGGTAGTAGCAGCCGCAGTGCTGTAGAATGCAAGGCTTAAGTGAGAGACCGAGCTTCTTTCTTGATTAGGTTTGTACAAACGAGATCATGATCTGTTCGATATACGTCGGTCACCTTTTGCAGATTGAGCGCAGAGGATTGTTGAGTCCTAAGTGTACATTGACAGTAATGCATGCGAAGTACAGTGATAGCAATCAGGATGAGCTTATAGAAGAGAGCACGGTCGATCCAGGTTGGGCCGCCCCCGTTGCATCTGTTCATCCAATCGCATCGGCAGTATATGATTTCCAATCAAGCCCATTCAAGCTAGCTGCTCGAGCAGGCATCCTTGTTGCACGCGCCGGGCTTGTAAGTTTCATGGTGCAAATCTGGATCGATGATACCTTTCGATGTAGGCGCGCATTAGTACATACTAGCTCATGTGGTGCAGTCACTTTTGAATACAAATGGCGGCCGACTTAAATTTATCTGATACTACGTACAAAGTTGCATCAAGAGTATATCTTGTTATGCAGACAAAAATCTAAGAATGGCATGCAAGGACTCCATTAGTTAAGTATATTGAGCTGCATGCATTTAATGCCATCTTAGTCCTTCAATTGTTTGATTGATGTTTTGTTTGCATGATGGCCTTCGACAGGGCCGGACATCTGCATGACGATCCCTCGCATGTAATTGATTGTTGCCAACAATCCGACCAAACATGCACATGCATAACGTAGCTATACTCAGTCAACCGCTAAAGAGATCGCGAACCGCGAAACACCTAACTTTTGAAACAATCTTGAATGCATATGCAGACGCTGGCACCATGGCTATCTGAAATGGATGATAAACAATATATGCCGCAAGGGCTGCTACTGATTGTTGGCTGTGGAAGGCTGCCATGACAATCAGATTGAGAGAAGGTTATATGCAGGTCTGCATGTGACCATGAAGCCTTGTGGGTATGCTTTTGATTGATCGAACTGGGAAAGATTTTGGAAGTCATGTTTCGAACCGTTCTACAGCTGTACGAATCTCACGACCTTGCAAAGTCACAAGGCCACAAGGGACCTCTAAACAGGGTCACGAAGGGTCTGTTTCCAACTTTCAAGGTTGAATCGGAAACGTTCTAATTTGGATTAAAAGAGGAAACTTTCTATTCGCACGCAAGCTTCCGGGCTAATCCAAGTCACAAACCTATCTCTGCTTGACCCACTCTGTGTACACCTCCGTACCAGTCCCGTCATTTGCAAAGACAGACCAGTACCAGTCGTCCACCGTTTTCAAGAACTCGATGGGCACGCTTTTTTTCGGAGCCCCGACAGGGACCCCCAAGCGCGGCGCCACGATCTGATGCACTCCGCTCCTGACGAGACCCTGCTTCGCCGCTTCTTTGACCGCCCCGCGCTGCCTCAAGTACGCCTCAAAGTCCTTGCTGTAATCGTGCCCGAAGTTGGGGAGGGCGGTTCCGTCAAACTGCATCATCTGCGATTGCACCAGCTCGAGAACCCCGGGGCACTTCTTGGCGGCTTCCCCGACCCTTCGCGTCGCCGTCAGATACTCGTCCGGCTTCATACCCGCGAAAAGTCGCGCCGTACCGGAGCTCACATCCGTTGTCCAGTTCATGAACAGCCCGACCAGCACGCCCCCCGGCGCGAGCAACCGGCCCCAGTCCCTGAGCACCCGCGTCACGCCCACGTAGTTCTCGTCACAGATGTTGGACACTTCCACGCGTTGAAAGAGGCCGACTTCCGTTGCATGTCGGGGCGCGGGCGGCTCCGTTCCCTCCGACTTTCCTCTCCTCTTTCTCTGTTTCGTCGATCCGGAGCCGCTCTTGTTCGTAACACCTCCCGGCACGGCCGGCACAGTTTTTTCCCCCGCGTCGAACACCCCGGTCACTCTCAACCGGTTCGCCAAGTCGGAAGCGTCCTCGCAGAACAGCTCGAAGACAATCTCAGCCGTTCGCATTTTCTCCACCACGGACGCCAACCGTTCTCGGAGTAAGAAAAAGAGGCTCCCGTGCAGGTCGTTTTTGGGTACATTGTGCCTTTTTCCGGCCTCCAAAACCTCATCTATCCGCCAACCCCAGAGCGGATCCGCCAGATGATCGAGCGTGTATCCTGCTTCCGGGTCGAGCAGAAACTTGCTGGGCGTGTTATGGTGCGCGTTGAAGGCTCCGAAGGGCAGCAGCAAGCCGAAGTCTCTGAACCGCGCGATGGACGCCCGGTGGAACGGCCGGAAGCTCTGGAGCATGCGGTCGACGAAGTCTGCCCGCGAGGGATCCCCCAGCTTCGCCGCCCGCTGGTCGGCCGCGCTCTGCAGCGTCAGCGGCGACGTCATCATTTGGACTAGGCGCGCCCAGACCGGCCTGGCAAAGCGCGCGTTGATTCTGGACCGGCTTTTTTTAACAGCCCACGACGCTTTGGAGTCGTCTTCCAAGACTTCCTCCAGGTTGAGATTGTCAACGAGCAGCGACAGCGCCAGATCCTGCGCCTCCGTGACCGCCAGCGAGTGCCACACCGCGATCGCCATGTCTATTCCGTCCTCTCCCAGCTGCCCAAGGATCTGAAGCAGCACCAGGTTCCGGGCCGCCGTTTTCGGGTTATGGTCGTTCGCAATAACCCGCACTCTGCCCCGGTACCCAACCGGGAGTCCCGCGATTGTGCTGACGACGTTCCTCAGATCACCCGACGCAGCAAAGCAGAGCCGGATGACGTCATCACTCTCCTGCAGGAGCCCCCGGGCGGCTTCGGAACCAGGCGGCCCCAGGAGAGAGAACGCCGGGGTGTTGCCCCAGAGGTGCTCGCTCAGGGGGCCCAACTGGGGGATCCCCTCGGTGAGCCAGTTGGGGCGCCTCCCCTCCCGCTTCCACCGGGGCTGCCAACCGGGCCCCACGTCGGAGTGCTTGCAGTCCCGCTTGTGAACCGGCCAGTGCTCCTTCTGGCACTCCTTGCGGCAGTAGCTCACCAAATGGCATGCGGCGCACGCATGCGCGCCGCGAGCCTCGCAGACGCGGCCGCAGCTCGGGTGCGCGTTCGCACATGGGGCCGCCGCAAGGGGCAGGCCGTGAACCCCCGACCCAATTCTTGTGGCGTTCGCTTTCACCGTCTCCAGCACCACCTCTCGGTGCAGCTCCTCAAGCCCAGCCCTTTCAATGGAGCGCTCGAACTCAGCGAGAGAATGTTTGAAGGCGTCATGCAACTCCTGAACCGGGCTTTTCGGGGCAGGCGCCTGCCGCTGTGCTGTGCTGGGTCGCGAATAAACTTGCCCCACTTTCGGAGCGTTAAGCCCCGCCTCAGCTGACTTCGCAAGCGCGAGCATGCGCTCGTGGTGGTGCTTCAGAACGCTGCGCTTCTCCTGAGGAGATGCAGTCCCTAGTCCAGCCAGCTTCTCTGTAAAATGGGACATCTCTCGGTCCAGCAATTCCTTGGCACGGCTAAGAGCAGGCTGATCCGCCATGGTGCCTTTCGGCCGCCGGCAAAACTTCCTTGGCCTGAGCTTCAAGTTGAAGGAAGGTGTATCCCAATACCTCCAACTCGCTCAGGAGAATGCGGGGAAGAATCGGCCAACGAGACCCTCAAATCTATTTCGGCTTTGATGACCGACTTCGCGAGTCTCGTACTCCTTCAATGCGATGTCCTCCGATGGCCATCTGCTTTGATATCTGCTATAGGACTCTCATAGGATCTCCTAAGTAAGTGACTTCTTTAGGCAGTTCGGATAAGCTGGAAAGCATGCACTTCGTCCGTCATTCAACCAACGAGCTGATGACGGATCCAACGGCCAGCATTGAGCAGCGGAAGTCCCACGCTCAGCCAGCACAGGCTCTCAGTATCCAATCGCAATTGCGACTTCCCAGCCTTCCGAGCCTTCCTTCTCTCAGCTGGTTACAACGTTGACCTGATTGAAGGCGATGCTTGCCTATGAGATTGAGATCCAAGAATCAATCATGACGTTATCCGAGCTAACGTAACAGGTGATCAGCCGACAGATTGCTTGCGCGAAAAGTACGTGCGCCATATCGAAGCAGAAAAGCATCACAACTACTTTGGATAGTCTCGTACAAGAAATCGGGGGGATGGAGTGCGCAGGAGCAGGGAAAGCGCGCACCCGTCCGGCCACCCTGCACCAACTGTTCGGTTGCATTGGACAAAACTGCATGTCACCAGCTTTGGCCAAGTTGCAGTGTGGCCGAATGTCCCCGGCCCCACAGTGTTGTCAGCGTCACAACAATAAGCGCAGCCTCCGGGCCAGCCTGGCGGCTAGCGGCCGCGCGATACGCGCCAACTGCGCGCGTCACGACGGTACTACTTCCGAGTCATGATTGCCCGGTCGCCGGCGGCCGGCCGCGGGTTCAATGGCCCAGGCCCCGCGCAACGCGGCCGCGTCCAGGAACTCGTCGGCATCCATGTCATAGTTGAAGCTTTCATGCGCAATTGAGAAAGGGCACGGCATTCTTCTAAAACTTAAAAGGTGAGCTTGGAACGTGGGCGCTTCAGAGTGGGCGCCTCAGGATTCTAGCTCTTGCTTTCTAGAGCCCGACCCTGGAGTCTGGTCGCAAGAATGGCCACCAGTCCGGATTTGGAGCTCCGCTTGGGTTCGTTATCAATCGAGGAGGACAAGAGCCCTGAAGCAGCAAAGACTCCATTGCAAGCAGATGAATCACCTGAAGCGAAGGACGGGATTGATCTCAACGAAGCCCCTGCCGCGACACCGGGCAAAGCAGGCCCGTCTCAAGAGCCAAGGGTGGGGCTGGTGTACTCTGAGCAGATGATGTTGCACGCGCACCCAAAAGGAGACCACCCGGAGCAACCAGCAAGAATCAGCTCCATCTTTGCTGAGCTCAAGAAAGAGAAGCTGGTCTCAAGGTGAGAAGTGACGTCCACTATGTCAATTGCATCGATGTGCCTGCCACAGCATTCGCCCGAATGTTGTTATCTTCTGCAGCAGGTTGACAGGAACGCGCATGTCTACTACGCAGTGCGTTGAATACAATGCACACATGCTGTTGGACAACTGTGTTTTCTACTTTATACATTCCCCCTATCGGTGATGGGTGGTGGCATATCACTCGGGAAAAGCACCACCCGCCTGGCAGCTTGACCTTGCCTGCCCCCACAGATCTTTTGCAGATGCCCGTGAGAGATTTTCAGCCACCTCATGAAAGACGCACATAAACCAGAAACAGCTTACGGGATTACAGTCTACAGTCACAGTCTACAATAAGTCACCCAGGTCTGAGGAGTTAAGATGTAATGGAGAGGATTTGCGGTCTTCTGGCGAAATTTCAGAAGCCCTGCACAAACTTCTGCTCCAGTTATTGGCACCTTGGAAGCTCGTTTACCTTTAAGTTCTCAGGTCGTCTGGACTTTTGACGAGCGATGGGCTGCTTGCAGAATGATTCGGGTGCCAGCACGCGACGCTACCGATGAAGAACTAGAGACGGTGCACACCAAGGGGCACATCACTCTGATGAAGGACATCTCCAAGAGGTCGTACGGGGTGCAGGGGCGGACTGCTCTGGCCGCAAAGTTCAATTCTATCTATTTTAACGAGGGATCCACCGCGTCCTCCCTCTTGGCTGCAGGCTCGGTGGTTGAGGTGAGTCAACTAGCAAAACTTGACGCAAGAGAGATTCCAGTGACCACTTCAAGTGACCAATGATCCAAGTAACCTGCTTCATGTCACGCTCCTTTGCCACAGATATCGAATCTCCAACAGCAATGCGTCCATGGGTTGAGAAGTTACAAAAAGAAAAATCCTTTAAGGCTTTTAACTCTCGTCCACATTGCAGCAATTTCCTCTATCCACTTGCCTACCACCGATCTTATTGGTGGACCTTTGTTCGATGACCGGTGGACCGCTGTTATGCTTGTTATGTATCGATACAAGAAATTCTGACACAACGGGATCTAATGTTACTTAATGTTCAGTATCCAAACCAACAACTCAATTTATCTTGAGACCATGAAACATTCGGACAGTGTTTCTGTTGGATCCGTTTCCTTCTTTCTCTTCGACTTTGGCCAGCCTCCAGTGAATTACTTTGTGCCAGGTGGCGGTCCAAGTCGCCCAAGGCAAGCTGGACCGCGCAGCAGCGGTAGTCCGGCCTCCCGGCCATCATGCAGAGGCGGGCTTACCCATGGGCTTCTGCCTGTACAACAACGTCGCGGTCGCTGCGCACTGGCTGGTTCACAAGCTGGTCAGTGTGGAGCACATCTAGAAGGCTCGCAATCGTTGCATTTCATCGCATATGTTTGTTGTTGCGAGCTCATGACGGATACGCTGTTCACCAATTGCCTCCTGTCCCTGAATCCATGATTTCAGCTGAATGCCAATTGTAAGATACTCCAGACAGGCAACCGCAAGCTCATGAATCCTTTGTGTGGACTTGATATTAACTTTTTACCGTGGGCGTTGCAACTGACGTCTCCTTGTTTGCGCCTTGCAGAAGCTGGTTAAGAGAGTCTTGATCGTCGACTGGGACATCCACCACGGTGAGTTCTTTGTGCGGAGAAATTCTTCGTTTGTCTTTTCCTCGTTCATCGATGCAACTGTCGAGGTTCTCGAAGTTTCTGCGCTTCTTACGTCTGAGCATCATGCCATGAGACAAGAACGATGCTGTGACACTTCGACGCCTTGGTGCTGTTGGCCTTCTTTTCCAGCGTTTGAGCGTTGGGTTCTTGCCTGCAGGGAACGGCACCCAGCACATGTTCTACGAGGACCCCAGCGTTCTATACTTCTCCCCTCACAGGTATGGCTCGTCTTTGAGAGGAGTGCGATTTTGCCTGTCAGAGGTACTGTTTCGCAAATCTCTTGCTCTCAGCCATCTCTTCCTGCGACGCAACTCCTACCATTTGTCTATGTTTTCTTTTCGGGGATGCTACTCGTCTTCTGATTCGGCTGAAGGGAAAGCTGGATAAGAGAGAGTCGAGAACGACCCACCTTACGTCTTTGCATTCTCTCCTGCAGTTCTTTTGCTGCCTTGAATCCACTTCTTGCTCTTGTTAGATTACACCCTCATCCCCCACCTTATCTCGTTTCAGCAACGGATGTTCATCATGAATCATCCGCCGCCAGACACATGTACGGAACGCTTATGTCATTCCAGGTACGACTTTGGTTCCTTCTACCCCTGCTCCCCGGACGGAAACTTGGACATGGTCGGGGCGGGCCCTGGCGAGGGCTTCAATGTGAACGTGCCCTGGCCGTGGGAGGGGTTTGGGGACGCCGACTACCTGGCGGCGTGGGACCGCGTGCTGATGCCCATCGCACGGCAGTTCGACCCCGAGATTGTGCTCATCTCGGCGGGCTTCGATGCAGGCGAGTTGTTAAACGTTGGCTGTCTTTCCCCGCGAGGTTCGCTCATCTCGGCCCGATAAATTGCAAAGTCAGCATGTTGCAACGCCAGTCTGAAATGCTTGAGGTGCGAAATATACGGAGATCGACCGATACTTTGTGCTCCCCGCCTTCTGGGAACGTATTGAACAACCCGTCGAGAACAACATGTTGTCTCTGCGTATAAGGAGCCCGAGCATGACGATCTGCTTGAAGCGTTCGACTTTCAAATGTGTGCATCTTCGTGTTCGCTCATTGCGAAGTCCCACGTCCTTGACGGGCCACTCAGTTGACATTGTGGGCCCTGCGTCGATTGCTTGATGCGCACTTCAGCTTCAAAAGTCACGGATTTATGTCGTGCGAGAACGACATCCTGGTATTTCAGCCAAAACTTATCTGGCATCACCGTCCGAGCTCGCGAAGAACTTCCCACTAAGCCTTGTTGAATCTTGGATCGCTGTGACCTAACATACTGGCAAGTCTTCCAACTCTTCCCACGTTCACTCTGTGCAGCCAAGGGGGATCCCCTGGGCGAGTGCGAGATCACGCCTTACGGCTACTCCCACATGACGCACCAGCTGCTCGAGCTAGCGGGGGGGAAGCTGGTGCTGGCGCTCGAGGGGGGGTACAACCTGGAATCCATCTCGAAGTCGTACGCCGCCTGTACGTCCGTGCTTCTCGGGGATCCCCCAATGGACGCGCCTCCAGAAGACACCCCCCTAAAATTGCAGTCCTGCACCTACGAGCTGCTGGATCAAGTGAGGTTTTTGGAGTGGTTCTTGCATGAAGATTAAGCTTCGTTGGGGAAAAAAGAGTATCCAAAGAGGTTTTAGGTGTTTGCTTTGAGATTGCTGGGAGAGGTTCTCAGCACCCAGTAGCATTGTGTGTAGCATTAGGCGCCAGCGATATCCAGCAGCGAGAGGCAGCGCCGATGTTTTCCTAGCCCGGGAATCGCAAGTCGAGATGACGTCTTTCGTAAATGCTGATCTTCATGATTTAGATGGTTATCTGGACCCCCGGGGACACCCCATCAGGATTGCAGCATGACGAATACTCAAAAAAATCAACCCGAAAGTATCACCCCTGGACGCTGGCCTTCAGCTTTCTCCCGTAGGGGACCAATTGTTGTTTGTTGACGCAAGGAAAGCCGCCGCTAGAGTGTTAACTCACCGTCGTTTCTGTTCGTCGCGCTCGTCACGACTTGACTTGAAGAAGGGACCGGTCTGACGCCGCTGTTCTATGCAGGTCCGTGGGGCATTGGCTCCGTATTGGGACGGCTTGCATCCCGAGGTGCCGATTGTCATTGAGGTATGTGCCGCTACGTGGCATCTCAATACTCCTTGTCTTTTGACCAATTTCGATGTCGCCCGCACTTTTTCAATCTAAGCTGCGCCTTTCTATATTCACTTTTCGAGTTGCCCTTCGGCTTGCGTAGACGAAGTCTGGTCGTCACGACATGGACTTATCGAATACGCATCGTGCGCCGCAGTCGCTTTCATTCATCTCGAAATCGGTTGCAGCAAGCTCATTTGCTCGCCTGAACTGGATGTAGGTCCGTTGCGCAGTACGACGGACTGTCGTCTGTGATTATTCCTAAGGCAGCATGGATCGCTCGCAAGCTGTCGAGACTCGAACGGCAGAGTTGTTTCGTTGTGACAAGCAATTGCGTTGTTGAGAGTCGACCGGCAAGATCGGTTTTTTGTCGATTGCTGTAGTGAGGAAATGCATTGCTGAGAGTCGAACAGCAGACTTGTTCCGTTGTGAGGTACTGTAACAAGGAAACGGGTTGTTGAGAGCCGAACGGCAGAATTGTTTTGTGATGAGAGAGTCTTACGATAAAACGCTTTTCTGAAATTGAACGGCAGATTTGGTTTTTTAAAATATGGAACAAAGAAACCCATGATTGAAAATCGAACGGCAGATCCGCTTTATTTGGATATTTTGAAACAGAAAACTTCTTCCTGCAGTCAATTGAGATCTTGGAAGTCACCGAGGTAACCGAGGTACCGGTAGGCGCCCCCGTGTTCATCGGCCCCCCAGTCGTCATCTCCCCGAGCGAACCCAACCTAGCCGCCCGAGACGGAGCCCCAGTCGAGGACTTAGAGCCCAGCAGCCCAGAAAGCGACGAGTACGCGGACGAGAGCGAAGTCATCGTCGTCGAACTAGAGCGGACGACCTTTTCTGCCGAGAGCGTGGGGCCTTCAGCGGCGGAAGAGAGCACGGCCGAGGGATGGGGGGAGGAAGCTGATCCCCGGGACCGGCGGATCGCGGAACTGGAGAGAGAGGTGCGCAGGCTGAAAGAGCTGAATCTGAAGCTGGAATCGGAATGGGGGGGTCAAGGTGCAGCTGCTCAAGGGGGGTTCCGACGGATCCCGGTCGAGGGCCCGGAAAACGCGGGCGCTTCGTCCAGTGGGGAGAGCCACCGCCTGGACACGTCAAAGTTTGGGTTCCGGCTTTTGCATCCGGGGGAGAATGAAAGCGGAGCGATGGGAAACGTCGGAAGCGGGGCGAATTTGGACGGTCGGACGACATACGTGTGGTACGCGAGCTTTGGGAGCAACCTGTGGGAGGAGCGCTTCCTGTGCTACATCAAGGGGGGGAAGGTGAGTGCAGGGTTCGACGAGTGGCGAGAGCTATCTCTGGACGAGAACGTCGAACGAGCAGAGCGTGCGTTTGAGAGATTTAGAAAAAACCATGAAAGCGTCGCTTCAGGACTGTTGTGAAGTCTGGACAAGTGGCAAGCCCGTGCTTACAGAGTCGGAAAGATATCACCATGGCAGGGGGGAATCCTCAAAGTACGTTGCGCGGTCTTCTGATCAAGCTGGCTAACAACCATGATTTTCTGGAAAGAGTAATGAAAGAGCAAGTTACATCAAGACAAAGCTGATATTGACATTTGTTCCAACACCTGCTCCGCACCGGTGCCCACCCTGAACTCCAATACTAACCCCACCCGTTCCCGGAAGGTGGCTTATTATGCTTGGCCATAATGGCTGTCACAACCACTTCAATACCCTGTGGCTGCAGCTCAACATCATGGGTACGGCCTGCGCTGGCACGACGGACCCAGCTCCGCCGACCGCCAAAGAGACATTCCTGGTCCGCCGACGGCTCTTCTTTGGCCACAAGTCGACTGCGCGGTGGGGCGATGGCGGTGTGGCCTTCCTGCTGCCGTACAATATGCCGGGGGCGGAATCGACGGCGATCCTGCGGGCCTACCGGATCACGTGAGCGGAATCTTGCGACTGCATCTTGCGATGGGCCCTGTTTCGTCGATGGGTAAAGTCGGGACAGTTTTCAGTAGTGGAGAAGAGACGGCGTAAACTATGTGCACCCCCCCTCTTCTGTCTTCTCCTTTGATTCATGGAAGCAAGTTCTTTGGTCCGGTTTGTCTTTGATTTGCAGAGTACGGACTACCGGCAGAAGTCACGCTGTAAGCAACTTGGAAGAGAGACTGGCCGTGTATGCAGAAGTGAGTCCCCTGGTTTCCGCGGGTCGCTTTCGTCTGGACGCTGCTGTTTCTGCGTCTACGTGCTCACGAAACGTGAGTCCGTTTTCGTGTTTCCAGGCTGGAGCAGTTCAACCAAGTGGTAGCGCAGGAGAACCGGATACTTCCTTCTGACGTGGCGACACCATTCATAGCTGCAGCAGACCTGCCGGAGCTGCGCTCGGGAAACGCGTCGCCGCCCGGCCTGGCTTCCCTGCAGGTGAGGGTCACTCTGCAGAGATTGGCGGGAAAGGGAAGGGTATGAGAGGGGAAAGCGGCTGCTTCGAGCCATCCAATCATGCCTAGCGGCGGTCCCTGCAATCCAGCTGAGGATCTCGAACGGAGTGGTGATTGACAATGCGACGAGAACGCAATCAGGGAGAACCCTTCGCCCACATCTGGTTTCTAAATGTCAAGTTCACGTCGTGACAAGCGCTTGCCGAATGGTTGAATCCCTGGGAAACTCATATTGCATGTACCTTGTGCTCGCACTCTCGGGCCTGACTTTGCCTTGATGGTGCTTCAGAATGTTGATCGCTGCACTTTCTTGTTCCAGGACCGGTGGTATGGCAACATCCTCTATCTCGGAGACCATGCCGGGGAACCCGTTCTAACATTCACGTGAGCAGCGATCTCTTTCTGATCTATTCTTTTGTGGATCACCGCCCAGTTTTGTTCTTACCACCATGACCAAGTAAACGTTCGTCCGGCGCGCTCTCTCGTCCGGCGGATTGCCACTGATCCTTTGGATTCTCGCCTTTCCTCCGCCTCGTTATGACGTGCTGCAAGTCGTATGGAGGCATAGTGCCAATTCCTAGCAGAAGGGAGTGCCGACTCCCATTTAAGAGTCGTAGCCGCTCGGCAAACTACGCGGAGATTCCTGAGCCGGAGCATTGAATACGCCGCCCCATCAGTAACCTTCCTGTCCATCCCTTTCTTCACAATTCGACGAGCTGCCAGTCTTGCGGAGGCATGTCAGGGTTGCACGATGTCTCACAAAAACAAGGTCCGGTCCATTCCCGATAACGATTCGTCTCTACGTTCCACTGCAGTTGCTCGGAAGACTACGCCGGTGAGTTTCTGAACGGAGCATTTAGTACGCGGCCCCCGTCAGAAACGTACAAGCAGGCCCTCGTGAACGGCCTGACGTCAGCTGGCCTCACGCAGCAGGATGCTGAGCTATATGTCGACGTGCGCGGGAGCGTTCCCCTCACGCAAGGAACAGGATAGTAGCTTGCAAATTATGTGCAGTTCCCGGCCATTTCAGGTCCTTTGTCAAAGCCGATAGTCATTAGCTGGTCAGTGTCAACAGCAATCAAAGAGGTGATACGAGTGCACCCTGCAATCAGCCTGGAGGACAATAGACTATCATTCTTTGCAAAGCATGGTCTTTAGGGAAGGCCAGTCGAGCAATTGTAGCTGAAGTACGGTGTGATGACTTAACACTCAGAAAGAATGTTACATATGGGATCATTTAACTCGTGCAGATTCAAGGATCTACTCATTTGCAAGGAGTACGGAGCCAAAAGCATCATCCTTGACAAATTTGCAAACGAACGATTCAATGTGGGACTCCGGGAGAACTGCTTTTCACGCGTACCTTTACGAATCCATGAATGCCAGATGGTATTGACGATTGGTTAAGTGTCGGTCGAGGTTATAGCCTGCCACCATAACCTGGCCATCAATGCTGTTTCTGGGCCCGCTTATATAGTGCATTGGAGCGCAGCGCGGCCAGCTTCATGCAGAGGCCTGCCCATGGCATGAGTGCCGTGCCAACCGTCATATGCCGTGCTTCGAGCAGCTGGCAAGCTTACGGCCGTATAAGCTTGATACAGAATCGGGCTCATCATCTTAAAATTTGAATGATCATGCATGAGCGAGCCTATCTAGCTCTAAGTTGCACGTTTCCTGCAAAGGTCAGGCCAGGTATTTGCCAAGCATGTGGTATTGGATTCTGATTTTTCTTTTTAGTCATCAATAGCAACCTGGCGGCTCCGGGGTGCCGGTCGCAAACACTTCAAATCAACTGATCTTACGTGCTAAGATGGCTATCCATTTGCATGGGAACAAGATAGTTCATTTGCTCTACAGCAACCAACATGCGTACGAAAAATGCAATGCGGCACATGCACTCGAGCTAATCAGGACGGTACGGTGGGGGTACGGTGACGACCTTGCCAGCTCTACATAAGCTTACAAGTTTTTTACAGCAAGTTGCTATGTCTTTCACTTCACAGGTGCACATCGAGACCATCCTATTCAAAGTATTGGGCCTGTTCTAAAGCAGCGCAAGCGGCCGTAACGATAATAAGTATCAAATCAAACCATACTGCAGTAGAACAATGTGCTTTGTTCAAATTGGACCAAGTACCGTACTTTGACTGGCCGAGCCTACTCCAGAGTCCAAACCTCGCACTTCATCATCATTCAGCACCTTCAACGTCACCTTCAAGTTTGTGGTTTACTTTATCCCTCTCAGGTTCTTCTGTGCAGAACATGCCGGCCATAACTGTTGGCACTAAGTTGGCAGTACCCGGCCCTACTATCTAGTGAATAGTCAAGTCTTACGACCTGCTGAAGTTACTCGAACATGTGCGGCCAGCTGTTTGGACTTTGGACTCTGGCCCACTGCAGCCACTGCGCTCATGTGCAGGCTAGAGAACTCGTAATGTAACGGTTCCGACTTCTGGGTGAGGTTATTCCCCGCAAGGCAATCGGAAAAGATGATTTGGTGAGGTTCGCCGTTTCTAAGGAGTGGCACTCCGTACAAGTACGTCTCCGGCACTTCCTAAAAGCACAGCTGTACCTACGACGGTCGTTAGCATACGCGCTGCGGACTGAAGTCTGAGACAGCAGCTCAATATCGCAGTCAAGCTGCCCGAAACATACGGGGCCTGAAATCGAATCTGGTACTCTCCCTGGGGCCTGGGCCATTTACATGAAACTCAGGAAAGATAACAAGAGGTGAAGATTTGATATGCTCCGGCGAGCTATGACTAGAAACCCTAACCCTGCAAAATATACTAGGTACCTGCTCCGCGGTGAGTCCGCACCTATGCCCAGGGGCCTATTACCACCAAATTAACACTACCCGTCCCAGTGACGTGGTTACCTCATCATGACTTCAAACTTCGATGGTCCATGTGTGCAACAGCTGCCTAGGAGCCTACAGCTCTGCCTACAGCCCTCCAGGCTCCTGCTAGCTGCAGCCTGGCCGCCGCTGCATTGCGCATAGGTAGTAGCTCGGAATCATGAATGGCAAATGCCGACCGGGCGATAATGCAGAGGCGACCTGTCACCTAAATGATGCAGCGGATTTTGACGATCTCGACCCAATCATTATGCCGGTATTACGACACCTGATATTATGAGCTACGGTACGCGACGTGTACAGTCGTACAAATGTTACTACCGTATTAGGTAGTTGGTCGACGTGTACCCACAGCGACCGTAAGTTCAGGTACCTACTACGGTCGTCCGGACTCCGAAGGATTACCCGACCGGTACTAAATAGGTAGTACGTGATAGGTACTCATGTACCTCTATACAAGTACTATGAGCAGCCCGCAATAGGTAGGTACTACGCGGGTTGTACGGTAGGTGTTGTAGCATTAATTAGTATTACAGCACCTAGGAATCCTAGTACCGTAGCAGCAGCTACCTACTGACTCCGATTACACCTGTGACCTGATATGGCTTTACCGGCGCCCGGTCACCTACAGTAGTTAACGGCCGTCACGGATTGCCTTGAAGACACTTAGGTTTGCATGTGCATACCTTGTGTCAATGTCATCCTAGGTATATTGTTTAACCGACAAGCCTGCCCATGATCGCAGATGTATCTGAGCAGCTGCCCTGCTAGCATATTGGGTGCGCCTAGATACTACTTTGGACCATTTAAGTCTATGGCAACCGTTACAAGCTGCAGAACCTGCAGTAGAACGAAGTAGAATGAGTTTTCCTATTGAGTCTCTCAGCTTCAGCGGAAAGACAGGAGACACTAGACAACTTAGTTAAATGGGAGTGAGGGGCCGTTTGCCCGACCAGCAGGTTGGCGCCGGTACTGGTTCTCAGCACGTACAATCTGAGGTAGATCAGTTGAACTTGAGCAGACTCAGGGCACCGTAGGAGATCTAGGGCCGACCCTGCAGTGCACAAGCAGGTATTTAAACGTCATGAGAAAAGCTCATTCTTCAGATCCGCATTCCGCTCCTCAATTGCCAAGCACATTCCCAATCCACATTCGATCAGCCAAGCCGCCTCTCATTGCCTGACACCATGGCTTCCTCTGCAGCTCTGACCACCCGGGCTGCGCTCAGCAGCCAGATGCTCTCCGAATCCCCCAGCGCTTTCGGCGCCAAGTCTACCCCCCTGCAGCTTGCGTCCCCCATCTTTGGCCGCAAGCTGGCTGCTCCCAAGGCGCCCGCACAACAGCTGAAGGCCAGGGTAAGTCACCGAACTTTTAATGCTGGTGCTGACGTGATCCTCATGCTTTATATCTGTCAGCGTGAGATCTGCAGCTGTTCAAGACAAGATCGTTGTATTTGACTTTTGAGGAACGCTTCCCTCTGAGGGACTACCCAGATTAGTTGGGTCATTCAGAGCTGACGAAGACAGCAACAGTCATATGTCAACTGCATGTTTGTGTCAAGGTGTGCACCTGAGTACTGCTCTCAGCTCTCATGAAGTGATTGTCAGCACATAGATATATTCCCAGCTTTAGATCTGGAATCTGGTTTTGCTCAACTCTCTCATGTTTGAGAAGGTGACGTAGCTATCACTTAAGGACCTAACGCAATCCCTGTGGTCACGTTGAGATCAGCTGATCCCCAATCGTTTCCTGATGGTTCGGGAAGCCTTGGCCTCAATGACTTCTTTGGAAGTGCTCTCTCATCGTCTGTTGTCTTTGGATCAGCTGATGCATCTTCTGCATTTTTGTTCAATATCAATCAGCAAACCTCTCCCCTCTGTAAGCTTACCTATGCCACTTACTCCATCAGACGGGGGTAGCAACTTGCTATGACTCCTTCATTCTTCATCCTACGCCCGACCTGGCTATGACCAATTGAGCATGCAAAAAGTTTTCCACAACTTCAGTATGCGCTGCAAGTCCAAGCCCCCGATCCAACAGCAGCCCTTCCTCCTCTTACTGCAGTCTTCCGTTGTGACCGCCGCCGTCGAGTGGAAGAACGTCCCTGGGAAGCTCCGGACTATCAGCATTGGGGACGGGGGTGCGCTTATTGGCACAACCGTCACGAATGATATCTACCACTGGACGAACAACAATTGGGCAGTCCAGTCGACAGGAAAGTTGAAGCAGATCTCCACCGGAGCCAAGGGCCACTGGGGCGTAAGCCCCAGCGACGATGTCTGGCACTGGTGAGATGTCGTGACTCTGCAACATTAGATAGACTCGGAGCACTTATAGAATTGATCTCTGGGGGATCTCTGTAAGCTTGTGCATGAGGGCTGCCTGTCGAAAAACGTTCCAACCTGTGTTCATATCTGCAGAAGCGATGGTAACTCGTTTTGATGGACTTTTACACACTAATCACCTTAAATCGTGAATTCTTTTGCGCTTGCATGTGAGTGATCCCTACGGCGCCAGGGTTTGGCAGTCTGGCTCCTTGAGATTGATTCGGGTCCTTCTGGTAAAAGCCAATTGCACACTGCACCGGTGTTGCAACCTTGTTGCACACGTCTTTGCAGACAATAGTGCAAGCTGGTATTTCGAGTCAGGTTCTGCAGGGAAGCTATGACCAGGTGAACCATTTAGCTTCGCCAACTGATCTAGCTGTCTATTTGCAGGGATGGGACCACGTGGAAGAATGTCGCTGGCAAGCTGAAGCACGTGGCCTCCGGGAAGGAGGTGTGGGGTGTCAGCGCGGACGATCAGATCTGGAAGAGAAACAACAGTAAGCACCGTGCTGTCACTCTTCAAAAGCAGTGCCTCCTGTGACCAATCGACTTGGTTTGATTGGCAACTTGAATCGCCGTCAAGTGCCTAAAGGAGCTGAATCTCCAAGTTCGCTTTTCCAAATAGCTTCAAAAGCCCACTTGCTCATGCAGTAGCTCAAACAGCTCCGGAAATGGATCTCCACCTCCGCAATCCAAAGGTTTCAGGATGTGTTATTGTCAGGCGAGTCAGTGACATTTTCTGTTTTGAAGTCGAGCGACTCAGGAACGTACGACTGCAAACGTACTGGTATTCACTGAAGACTTTTAGCAGCGCTTGCACAAGCGCGAAACAGCTTTCGCTGCTTGACTGCGCACTGTCGTCAGGTATGAGTGTGGATTTCCGCCCATGATGCACAAAATCAACGGAATCATCGGAATTTGTGCAGAGCCAGTCACAGACACCGGACTTTGGGACGTCGTCCCCGGAAGGCTGGCGCAGATTGACACCAACGACTTTGGCGACGTGTGGGGTGTCAACGCCACCAAGCAAGTTTTCCGCCGCGTTGACAACGAGTTTGTGTACGTCCCCGGGCCTGGTGGCCAGGACATCATCAAGCACGTAAGACACTCTCATCTCATCTCACCGTATGTCCCCTTCTCTCAGCGTTTCTCGATATTCTTTGCCGGCATTAGGTTGTTTGTTTGGAGACCCGTTCTTTAATGAATGCTAGAAGTTTTCGTTCTGGATAGAGCGGAATATGGGTTGACAATGAGAGTTGAGCTCGCCCAACCTGTGACAAACGACGTAATGGGTCGACAATGAAAGTTGAGGGTCGACCAAATCTTCACGAACCATTCTTTCTCTTCTGATTCTTCCACCCACCTCGAGGGTAAAACTTGGCAGAATACGCATGCGCCTGTCGCGTGAAAGTCGTACAACCTTCCGTGTGCCTAGGAAATCGCTCGTTGCTGCCATCCTCTGCCTATTTCTGCTCTTACTGCGAAAGGTCCGACTTGAAGAGAGGATAAAGGTCCGACAAGACCTTGTATCTGGTTTGTATGGGCCCATTTACGGGTGCTCTGTAAGCTCCGATTCCTCACTTGACACCCACGCGCGAAACATATTACAGGTGACGACTGGCGTCATGGGCGTGTGGGCTGTCGACACCAACGACGTCATCTACCGCTGGGTGCTGAGCGACTCCAAGGATGGTGCCTGGCACAGGGACCCCAAGGAGGGCCGCCTCCGGAACATCGACTCCGGCTACGACTCAGTCTGGGGAACCAGTCACGAGGACAGCATCTGGAAATACACCATCACGCACCCCTAAGCCGCGCCGCAGCTTTGACAGTGATGTAAGAGCCGGAAGAGAGATTACTCTAGGCACGCTCGCGATCAGCCCGCAATGTAATACAAATCAGAGATTGAAAATAGGAGAAGAGAACTGAGCAACGTCCCAACAAAAGATTCGGATTCACATTGAATCGGACCAATTTTGAGTCGATAAAGGCCGTGGCCCTACACGTATTGCGACCAGTGGTCCAGTTCGTCACTTCATTGACACGGAAGCGCGGCTCGTCACTTCATTGACACGGAAGCGCGGCAGGTTCAATTCCATGCCATGATAAGGACATGAATTGGCAATAATGCAGAGTGATGCCCCTCTAGAGGCCTTGTGTTTTATTATCTCCCATGTTCATGTGTCTGGACTCTGTGCAACCGGTGAACTCCAATCTGCGGATTCAAAGTGGAGAGTTTGGTATACTCTGTAAACTGCCACCATCACCAGAATATCGGGGTATCAACATATCAACGCATCAGTTGCACCACTGCTGTCCAAGCCTTAGCTATTGATCATGATATCATTGCGTCGGTTTTTCTTACGATCTCGTGAAGAGAAACTGACGTGGGTCCGAAGGAGGTGTACAATCCGTTCTCAGCAAAGGCAGGAGTGGGATGCCAGCAACAGTCATGACGACATGAGAATCGTGGGATGCACATGTGTGATGACGAGAGACTATACTTGCTCCAACGAGCAGGTTCAATCCAAAACATATGGTGCACAGTCCTCCATCATCGGGCTCTGCACGTCACTTTAATTACTCTCCGGCTCGCCTGCACTTTCCGCCGACTCAGTGACCGCTCTATTTTCCAATTTAGTATCTGCTCCCTCGTAGTCGTAACGCACTGCTTTGTGTATCCTTTCATCGTCACGCAAAACGTCAGCCCCTTTGTACTTCGTCTTTCTAATAACCAATCTTCCTCCTCGTTTTCCGTCTGGAAAATTTCTTCAGCCCCGGAACCTATCAACACCGTACGCCGCTTGGCCATTCGCTTCCGCAAGCATCTCGCGCAGCTTTGCGCGCTGCGCCAGCTTCCGCATCAGCGCACTCTCCAGCGCAACCCTCAGCAGATCCTCTCTGGGGAACCCTTTAGAGGCTCCCAGCTTGCCTCGGGCCGCCAGCCGCATATCCACCACGAGAGAGACACGCACCTTCTCCGTCTTATCTGCGCCTAACCCCGGTCGACACGTGGCTGCTCTGCTGCCGCTGATCCTGATCGATGCTCTCCGTCCCCATCGGATGCCGTCAATGTGTACCAGCCTTTATCGAACAACCTTTCAAGTCTTTGACCCAGATTTCCCACAGTCCAAGAATAGGTGCAAAGCTTTCCGGAATGTGAGGCTCCGCTGGTTGATCAGAAACCAGAGGCGAAAATGTATGCATATTCAACCTCCTGGTTGACACCTTAGAAAAGCAAGACCACTAGAGTCACCACTCGAGCGCCCCGGAACGGGTGGATAAGCCACGGGTTGAAGTAGACAGACCGGTCTACCTTAGACGTGCAGAAAAACCAGCGTCTGTACTTGGCTGACGAGAGCGACAATCGCGTGCCGACCTGCAGCAACGAGTCGCAGTCCCGACTTGGCTCGCAGGTATTCCGGAATGGCGTCGGCCGCTCGCCGTGCCGGCGGACGCGGGCGGCTCTCCTTCAAAGAGGAGGACCGCAACTTGTGCTCGCCGAGGACGACTCCTTTATACTTCGCTCGTCCTTCTTATCTGGGCCCACGATGCCAAATGGCCGCGCTATGCATGGGCGACGCTCTTCCTGCGGCCCCACTTGGAAGACGTCGTGCAAACCAGGCTTCTCGCGAAGGGCTGCGGTCGCGCAACCCTTGTTCTGCGCGCAAAGCTTGCGTATCGGCGCGACGCGCCGCGTGGACGCTTCGTGAGCCCGCGAAGTCGCTTTCTCGTGGGTCTCGCAAATGTAGATTTCTGCACGGTGCAGATCCGCTTTTAATTTGCCGGCGCGAGGAGACGCCATCACACTATCTTTCTGGATGAGAAGCTGCATTTGCATTGACTTAGCTTCCTCAAAAGGGAACGCCAAGGCGAACTGTAAAGTAGACTTTGCTGCGCAGTCCAGACCCGTCTCTGGGGGACTTTGACCACAGCTCTTCGAAGAGAACGAAAGTCTCCAATAACCCTTAATCCCGTTCTCCATTACACCACCGCAAACCTGACCTTTCTGAGAGCATTTATAAATTCCAAGGACTCTAACTCCGTTTAAGGGAAAGTCACCAAACTCAGCTCCACTTACAGATCACTCCCATCGTCACCGCGGCCCGTATCCGCTGTTCTTCCCTCCCTTCCTTCCTTCGTTCCCTCCGAGTTCCTCCTGTCCTTTTCCATCTGCTCTCGACGATTCCGACTCCTTCTCCTCAGCCTTAGCTTCTGGATGACGTCACAACGGATCCAATCCGGCTGATCGCTGCCGTCAGCGCGTGCAAATGGTCCTTCATTGCGTTCGCCGTCAGTTCCATCTCGTGCACTTCCGCTCCGCGCTTCGACCCGCTTTTGTCGCTGCAACTGCTTGGATCATTGCAACCGGAAGCTCGACACTTGAGAAACGTCCAGCGTAATTGTTCCGAACCAAGTCTACAAAGGAGCACTGCAGAGAAGTGATTCGGCACAGCAAACGCAGACTTCGGACGACGGTTTGAGCATGAGTCCAAACATAAGTTTAAATGAAAAGTGCTACAGTTGCTGAACTTCGATTCAGATGATGGTACCGAACCAGTGCTCGAAGGGGACATCTGGAAGGTTTATGGTGAGCCAGAGTTCAATCGCATCGCATAACGGAGCTGCGAGGGTAGGATTGTCTGAGTCAGGATTTGGCGAGAAACGAGAATCTAGAGAGCGGAGAAAGCGAAGGTTTCCGATTGACAAAAAGTCGGCAGAAAAGAACGAGGGAAAGCCAGAGAGAACGTCAAGGAACGGACAGCGGAGATGGTTGTAAGTGACAGTATTCTCGATATTATGTTGAGTTACGGTTATGTTGTGAAAACTCATGCCCGGGGAACGGGGGGTTGGTTTGAGGGTTCAGGGTGGGTACGGGTGCGGAGCATGTGGAATTTTGGGTTCAGGTTTTTAGTTTGTTTGTGCCCGGGGAATATATTCAACTCAACATACATCTAACTCAACATGTATTCAGGACTTATGGAAAGTGACTTATTGGGAAACGTGATGCCCAAACGGCCGCAGAACTAGAGTGGGTGGAAACTTGCAAGCTTCAAGAAGCATCAGAACTGGGTACGGATTGCTTTCTCTGCTTTAGCGACTAAGGGACGATCGAGACCCGGAAGTTATCGTGAAGGCCCAGCTAGAAACGGATGTTGCTGAACAGGAAGGCGTTCATTTCTCGACGCGAGGGTCCAGTGCTGTTTGTAGATCCATAATGGAACCAGATTCCGGAATGAGCTGCTTCGCACGTTTGCATGGACGAAGACGGCCGTCAACGCGTTGACTTCAAAAACTGCAACGGAAGCGGCTCTGAAAAGAGGGCAGCATCGCTGATTCTGATAGGAGCTTTCGAGAAACGACTTGAATATCTGAGTAAGCGCATCTGCCATCTTGTCCTGAGACTGTCCTTCCTTTTCAACATTCACAAGAACTCATGATGGGAGCCGCATAGCTCACAGACTTGTCCATTGGAAGAAGATTGGAAGTTCAGCTTATTTTTCAGTGGCTTTGAGAATACTCCTGGCGCGTTGGGGCCAGCTGGCCTTAGTCGACCGCGCCTCAATCTGCGAAAACCCTATGTTTGGACTAGGATAGAGTTCCAAACCCGAACCGACGGCCATTTCAGCAGCAGTTGTTCATTTCTCCTCAGGACACCAGCAAAGAAACGAGCCTTGAAGAAGGCCCGGGTGTGAATTGAGACATCAAAAGCTTCTCCCAGGAGCTCATCCGTCGACCTGAAACGAAGGATTGGCATATACCTTGCAAGACAAGTGCGGCCTTTTTAACAACTTTTCAGCGACCAGCCACGTTCAAGCCAGTGGCGGGCTTTCATTAGCGCTGGATCTGTACGTCAGCAGCGCGGCCCGGCCGCTAGCTGTCAATGGTCGCGGCCGCGGGGCCGTGTACCGTCCGCGCGTAAACCACGTCACGTAGACCAAACCCCCCAAAACCCTGCCGGCATTTCAGGCCTGCAGAGCTTTTCGCCGCGGCGCGACGTGACCGACGTGACCGTGACGGCCGCGGGGCGGCGCGCACAAGATGGACTGCCAAGCCAGGCTTCTCGCTGTCTCAGTCTGCCCAGCCCTCAGAGATTCGGCAGAAGAAATTCCCCAGTGGCGTCTAAGCTGCTAAGCTGCATTGCATAAACATCCGAGCAATGGGCAATCAGGCCTCCCAACAGCATGCCAGCCCGGGGGATGCGGAGAGAGCCAAGCTGGAGGCTCTCTTTCAATCCAGTGGAGACCTTGTGCATTTGCAGTCAGCATTCAAAATCCTTTCAGAAAAACGCTCAGGAGCGACCAGTGGCAGCGGCAGTGCAAGACCGGTCATGCATGCAGATCTAAAGGTGAGCTCTGCTGACTTGCTGCCATCAGTGTGCATAGACCAGCAAGCTGGCCCCGCCAGCTTTTGATGACTGTGATAGCATGCCTTGTATGTCTAACGCAATTCCATCTTCAATCAATCAAGTGAAGGAAGCAAGATCATTGTGCTTATGGGAAGCTAGAGGAATCGATTCTGACAGGAAGTTAGTGTTCGCTATGTTCGTACAGATTGATTGGGCTGGACCTCAACATGCAAACTTGGAAAAAGGAGGTCAAATGTTGCCAGGAAAAGTGGGAATGTGCTACCACCACAATGCAGAAATCAGGTCGTGAGACAGGAGGTCAGGTCAGTCACCCGGTCTTTCAAGCACTCAAAAAATTTTGGCTGCCATCGCTGTCTTCAAATGGAGCTCATGTCAGTTTACCTTCCCATCATTGCAGGCCACCTTTGATCTCCACATACCAGAGGAGTGTCCGACAGCACTGCAGCATGCGCTGGAATCCCTCAACGCGCAGCTCTGTACTGAAGTCTTTGGGAACGCCCCAGACGGAGTGACCTATGCCGTGTTCTTGGGAGGAGTAGCGCAGAGCGGAAGATTGGGCAGCAAGAAAGAGCAGATTGATCTTTTCATACGGACCTTTCTTGGAAGCGAAGCTGGGGAGGGGAAACAGTGGCGGGAAGAGAGGGTTCAGTCAGGTGGTACAGCTAGCACTTCAGCCCCCAGCGAAGTATCTAGTGCAATTCACGCAAGTGAAAAGATCTCCAGGGAGCGCCTGGAGGGCATCCTTTTGGCATCATGGTACCTGACAGCTTGGAACAGGGGACAAGGAGCAGGGCCCAAGGGGAAAGCTCCAGAAAGGGGCGATGGTCCTTCAGCAAGCATTCAGTGGCCAGATGTTCGTGCGTTAGTAAACGGCGCGTGGGAGTCTGCCAGTGCTTCACCAGAAAAGGAGAGCACGCTAACGGCAGAGCAGCTAGTCAGCTGGGCTGTTGCCACAGTGCCGGGCCTGTCAAATATCTTGGAGGCTTTCCTTATGTGCAAGTGCCAAAGCTTTCTCAGTGAAAGAGGAAGCAGTGATGAACAAAATAAAGGGGCAGAACAGGATGTGAAAGCTGGCAATGAGAGCTCGTCGGAGCCTGGAGGTGACAGCGGGCTGCAGAAAGACTCAGAAGGAGATGAGGGTGGGGGTTGGAAATCGGGTATGCTGACACCCGCAGTGGCATGGAGCATGGGGCAAGCGCTCACTTCCGGGACTGCAAAGTGGGGTGTAGGGCCACGGCTGATTGACCTGGGTTGCGGCGGAGGAGACCTGACGAGGCTGATAGGACACCCACGCCTTCTGTACAGGTAGGACTTTGTGAGGAAATTGCTGCTTGGATACGTATGTTGGCTCGACTCTTGACCAACAGGAAGAGATTCTCCCTGCTGGATTACATGAGGGGATAAACGTCTCTGCATCTATCTCAGTCTGTCCGATGACGCCAGTTGGCCCTTTTGAGAAGCCATATGAACGTTCTATGTAGATATCTCTAAGTAGTGATGCTCTTGAAGCTTGAGAGCATTTTCGGTTGAGAAGCTCAAGCGTATCTTCAGATGCCGGAAGCCCAATCTTGTAAAAATGGAATCAATCTCATACCCCTCCGATGATGGTGCGAGATAATCGGTCAAAAACTCCACTCACTTGTTGTACAGGTCCTCTGAGAACGGGCGGGGCATGAACCGGTTCATGAGCCGTGTGGAAGGTTATACTGGCACTGTTCTTGTCATCATTGCAGCGCGCCCTTTTGCGGGGTAAGGTTGTCTCTGCATATCCTTCTAGGGGCCACTGAGAATCGTTTCAGCCGTTCGAAGTTGAAAGGGTGATTAGCATACCCTGTTTTACAAACGCTACGCTCGTTAACCTTCTATGCCTAGACTCTTCGTTAGACTGACCGCTCAACCAAAGCAATACTCCATCCTTATGCCAACTGTTATGGTGAAGTTGTAAGTCTTTTCTATTGCAAGACTTCTTTTGGCAGGCCTGCAAGTTGCAACCCTTCAGCTGACACTACTGTTTGCTTCCGGGGCGAGTGTCCGACCATGGCACCGACTTGAAGCTGTGTACCTAAAGCGTTTTTTAATCACCCAAAGTACTCCACAATCTCTCTGGTGTCCACAACGGGCAAGGCTTCGCAAAGTCACCGGCGTATGATAGGTTGCTTCCTCTTGTCCAAGCAAAAGCTGACGTTGGTGGCCTTAACCGTATTAGGGACTGTTTCTCACATACGCTTTGACACTGATTTGCAGTGGCGAAGGCTGGAGCATTGCAGCCCTGCTCCCGGACGGCCTGGCCAACCGGAGAGACTTCTTTGGATCGTCCAGCAGCTGCCTCTTCGCCCTCAAGCCGACCTTCAAGGTCTTTCGAGCGACCGGTAAAATCCTTGTCCTGGTTATCCTATTCCGTTCCTGGACTAGCAGAATTTTGCGGTATTCCGTCCTGCCAGATGAACCATTCTACATTACTCCGCGCCTGGCCGTTTTTGTTCCACAAAGTAAATCTACACGAAGCACTTCCAAGACGAGCGACTTCCCTCGTCTTCCACGGAATGACCCGTTGTTAAGCGCAATTTCCATTTTGGTTCGAGGCTCTGATTCAGGGCAACGAGAGCGTCGCCTTTTTCTTAGATGGCTGTGCAAAAAAGAGGTTGGCGTTCTTTTTTCGGTCGCAGAGTTCCAGTCTGCACTTTGTCTTAGTGTCCTCGACGCTACCCGCTTGTCCTGTGTTCGAAAACATGCTGTCCTTCACGCACTCCTCAAGCCTCAAGCTCCTTAATTCTCCTCCGCACACTGCCGCACGATAGCACGCGTCTATTACACTCGCAGAGCATCCCTTGAGATTCGATCTTTGTATCTGTCTTCGAAGTTGCTCGAAAGCGTGACGGAAGCATGACGTCACCATCAATGTACCCCCCTTTCTCTTTTTGCACAGGTCGTGAATCCAACGTCGTCTTTTGTCACGCGAAGGTAGCAGGCCAGGGGTACCAGACCAGCCCGCTACCGGAAGGCTTGGGACTTGGGGGCTCGCTCGGAAAGGAACGGGTCTGGCTGGACGATAACGCCACCCCAGGGAAAGTGACCGTCAGGCACCACGCAGTCGACAAGACCTTTCAACCGGGTGCCCTTGTGCCTGACCTGGTCAGTGCGTTCGAACTGGGAGGCCGTTTACCTGGCGCTTGACGTCTGTTCTTTACCGGGCAGGCGGTGTTCGGATCCAATCTATGGATCTAACGAGCAGTGGCTCTTCAGGGCGATCGTTGTGTCGAGCTCAGAGACAAATAGCATGCGCCCCAGGGCCCGCGAGCTGCAATCAGTGCTCGAATAGATTCGTGCGTCCTCAAGTCGGTCGATAGCCGGGTTACTGTTCTCTACTTACGTGCGAAGTGCATTGTCATGGAGTTGGACTTGCACTCAAGGTGCCGAGGTTCGAGGACAGGCTCCTTCTCAGGCACGTTGAGGAAGTGAAGATTCGCACAATGCGATCTCGGGTCTTTCAAAATCCCGTTTGTTACCGAAGTTCTGATTGAAAGAGATCACAAGGATTTTAGGCAAGGTCCGGCGCTGCACAGAAAGAATCCATCGATACGGGTCAATCCGAGACGTATACTTCTCAACGAATCGGTTTGCGATGACCTTGCAGGGCTATGGTGGCGTGGAAGCGAGAGTGGAGGACGTGGAGGTGTGGGGCCTGGGAGGTTCGCAGGCGGACGACAAGCAGCGTGCGTATTTGGAGCGGGAGCAGCGGTTCCAGGAACAGAGGCGCAAGGTGAACTCCAAGCACCAGGATTATGAAACTTCACGACCAAAAGGATAGTGTGACTTATGCGCTCAGTTGAGAACTGCAGTCGATTCGCAGTCAGGTCCTTTGAGATTCGATGACCGTTCAGGAGCAGGAATGAAAAGTCCTTCTTAAAGCAAGCGGAGTGGTGCAGACCACGTGAGATGCTTCGATGCCATGCGGCGCGCTCTCTATGCTCAGAGTGGAATCTTCTTATCGAGAGTATTCTGTGTGGTCCACTACATGAGGACTGCTTTTATCATGTGCAGATCGACATGAAGAAATTCGCGGAAAGCTGGCAAGACTCCCCGGACAGATTAATTCTCGAGTGGGGCGGAGCTCGGACCTAAGATTTTTCCTTCAAGGTAACTCTAACCTCGGTTTTGCTGAGGAGGTCGTCAAATAAAGAAGCCCAATTGCTGGTAAATACCTATATGTAAATTAAGAGAGCTGCGACTTTCGAGGTTATCGGATACTTTGTGGATTCCAACTCCGTGTATCGTGAATCAAGAGCAAGACAACTCGTAGTTGAAACGCGGCATGCTTATTGCGTTACTCTGTCTTGTAGGCGCGTGTCCAAAGTAGCACAACTTGTCAAAGATTGACCATGAAGTACACGTTGCTAATTCTTGGTTGGCGGCGAATTTTTGCCGATTTGCTTCTGCTTGTGTATACCAACATGGACGGCTTGGATGGCACGCCCCGTGATGTGGTATACAAGATAATAATGCCATGACCGCGTGTACGTGTGCTGATTGAAACGTACACATGTTAACGACTCATGGAACCATCTCGATTATGTTCCAGCTCAAGCTCCATGAGTCATAACATGTCGCATGGAATCGTCGTTGAAAGCTCGACTCGAAGATCGACAATCACTTCACAGCTACCATGAGTACTGAATAAGACATGCTTGACTATGTCATGCTGTCTAGCGAAGTTGAAGCATAAGATTGTCTCGGCAAGCGGCAAGCACTTCTAGCGATTGCTGGAATCAATGCTGCTTCATGGTGAAACTTCTGACGCCTCAGTCTCCGAATGATGCATATAGACAATCCTGCATTGCACATGCCTGTGAGCTACTAAGTCCTTGAATTCGATAGACATAGATGCTTGCAGTGCAGCCGTTGTACACAAGCACGCCCAGTTGTCGATTGACTGTATACCCTGCAATATACATTCTTTGCCCTTTCTGGCAATCCAGGTCTAGAAGCAGTTTGCAAGCCTGCAATGGCTTGTCCCATACTGCATACTCTGCAAACTATATCCTTGGCCGGCTCTTTGTGCCTGTACAACTGATGAAGCTTGCTATCATACACGATTGCTCTCTTTAGCGATGATATTAGGGGCCAACCAACTCACGTCTCCTTATGTCCTATTTTTAATGCCCGGCACCTTAGCCCGCTGGGTAAGTCACTTGCACGTGCGTACTCTTCCCCAACTCTGGCAATGGAACGCTCACTCGTATGCTCGAAACTTTCTCGGGCGATTTGCCGCCACTTGTTGACAACTGCGGCACCGCAAATGCCAGAGCCACCAAGGAAATTCGGAGCCATTGAAGCTCTTGAAAAGTTGGCTTCTTTGTGGGAAGATTGGCTGGCTCGTACTGCAGGTCTTCGCCTGCCCCCCCCACCATATCTATCTCCGGCAACGCACTTTCGTCAGCTACTTCGAGACTCAGGTCCTGCAAAACAAGACAAGACAGCTTTTCACTCCTCACTGTGGTTGGAACACTACAATCCTGCCACACTACTTCAGCTCAGCACTTCAAGTTGAGCTGAACTCATACTTTTGGATAAACAGAAAACACAATGATCTGTATAGGCTGAGCTTGCCCTTGGACTGGCGCCCTCGGAACGCCTCGTCGGTAGACAACCGCAGTACCTAGCTATGACAGCTCCTCGAATCACTTGGTTCAAGAAGAGCTTTACTGATGCAGAACCACGTCAGCTTGAAGACGGCTGGGATCAAAGCCTTGCAAGAGCCAATCAAAGCTAGCGGTCAAGAAAGGGAAAGGCGGACTTACTTGTATCATCTTCAGGTCACCCAGGCTGACTACGTCGCGGTGCGAATACGCTAGCCTGATGTGGCTAGCGTGTGTTGTATTATCCTCGGCGTTCTCAGGCCCCCCCCTCAGGTGATGCCACCAGTGTGCGTCTGACACCGACCTGAACGCCTGTAATTCTGGTTCAAAGCCCTGTTGGCTCCCGCCCGAGAGACTGGCACACGAGAAAGGTGGCTTCTGCCCCTCCCAGCATATATCGCTTGTGGTTACAGAAACTATAAACGGGTCTTCTGGAATGATCTTCCAGGGATTGGCCCGGTACAGACTTGCGGCTGTGCTGTACACATTTTGCACTAGCTCTGCAGACACACCTTCTGAGGATAGTAGAGTGGGGTCCAAGCAACACTCTTCGCCCATGCCGCACTGGTCCTGCAAGTTCTGCCACTTCCGGACGAGAGTGAACATCTTGCCCTTTTTTCAGATGATATGGAACGGTGTTTATGAGCAATCAGGCAATTGAAGTGGGCTTGTTGTTTAGCCAAGTTAAAGAGCACAAATGTGCGCCGTTTGTACAGATGCCCCTCTGGATTAGACAGGCTTTCCTTTTTGGAGTCCTTCTCAATCCCCTTGCTTACGAGCTTTGCCTCTCCTATATGCATTCCAGCTCGCTACGCTTGCAGCTTGCACCATTGGCCATGGGCGCTCTCCCCTCCTCACTCAGTCACTGCCTGCGCTTGACTCGACATATGTTTTGGGCCAGAATGGCAGATTTGTAGTCTATAAGAAAACCCCAGCTGCCAACTTATACCTCCCCATTATATCACCAACGAAAGGAATTAATTGCCTGCGACACCTGGGTTCGCTTCAGGATTGATCTATTTCTATTACAAATCAAGAAGTATATATTCTCGTCCTATTCCTTTTCGTTTCGCTCCACATTTGCGGGTATGGGTCTTTTCATGGGTCTTTCATGCTCTCATGCAGCTCTAGAGACTAGAGTCTGGGGATGCAGATCAGTGTGATTTCGTAGCAAACCAAATGAAGTTGCTTAGATAGCTTTAAATTAGTACTTAGCCTGTGTTGAAATTTGGGGCGCATCTAGAAAGTATGGGACAGGGAAAGAAAACTAGAGCAACGGCATCCTGGGCGGACGCAGCATATTGGGGTGACGAAGACGAGGGCAAGAGCGGAGGCTTTGGTCGAACCACTGAGGTGTCACAATCATCTGAGAATGTTGCCAAGCCCACGAACAAAAAAAGTAAGGATAAGAAGAAAGGGCGGGAGCTTGTGGACAAGCGGCTCAGCGTTGGTGGTTTCCAGCTGAGAAGAGAAGAGGCAGATGGTGCGGTGGCGTCGACGAGTAAAGAGGCGCCAGGTGGAGTTGAGGAGCAGCTCTGGAATGCTGTGCAAAAAGGCAAGGGGAAGATCTATCGCAGGGCGGAGGAAAAAGTAAAAGTGGGCACAGCGATGTCACCGGCGCTTGTGGAGATGTTTGCGGGGAGCTTCAGCCTCGACGTAGTAGAGACGGTGAGCCCGCAAGAGGCGCTTTATCCATTAAAGTCAGGAAACTATCAATTGCAATTGAGCTGCTTGTTGCATGGAAAATTTGCGCCCCTTTGACCGCTGTTTAAAAGGGACCAGAAAATGTTGGGCTGGTGAATCGATTGACCGATGTTAGTCGCTCTTCTGACAAGCAGTCTTAGCCGACCACTTGCTCTCTAGGTCTCAAATGCTTCTTCGAAAGTTCACGATTTGAATCAATCTCATGCACGCAGGTATTTGAGTCCACAGGACACGACACGGAAGCGACCGTGAAAGCCCTTCTGGGCATGGCCACAGATGCACAGCCAGCGAATCTGCCTCCGGTAGCGGATACAAGCGGAGACGGGGCAAGTAGTAGCAGAGCCCCTGAAGCGTCCGGGGGGCCATTGGTGGAGTCCCCTCCTACGTGGGACAGCCTCCCAGAAGAGTGCAAGCAGCTGGTTTTGGAGCGCCTAAGCCCGTTGGATGCCGCTCGGGCTGCGCGGGTTAGTGGACACTCACATGTCTGGGCTTGAATAGTTGACATCTTCCATTCTCCTGTGCTTGACTTGATCCGCCAGTATACATACTGAGCATCATAACTGGTTCTGGAGTGCCTTACTCGTTTCATTCAGAGTAACTTCGTTCTGCGGTCTTAGCAAACAAAAAGTTGGGCTAAATGCTTGCAATATGAAAGCCTAAATCCGAATTTAGAGACAAGTCGAAGAACAGCATGGCGAAAGCAGAACGTTCTAGCCACTGCACTGCAGCTCGTGTTTGCATAGTCTAGGACCTGAATGGACATTGCCAGCTTAACAATCTGCAAAGCACCGTGTAAACTCAACCTGAGGTTCGAACTTTTCTTCATAGGTTTTCTCATTTCGTTTTCCGCTTTTCCCTCAGGTCTGTCGGGATTTTGCAGCCTTCGTGCGGACGCTCCGCGCGAAGACCACCGCTCTCGCCATTCCTGCAGCCCTCACCAACATCGAGCACATTATGTCATTCCTGCGCGCATTCCCCAACTTTACTTCCCTCAGCTTCCGAAAATGCCGAAACACCCTCCCTCCCCCCGTGCGGTGGAGCATCTTCCACCGACTTCACGTGCAAAACGACCGGCCCGAGGGCGCGAAACCGATTCGCTCAATCGACTTCGGAGGGATCACAAACGTTGACTCGTTCGACGTACACGTGCTGTGCCAGAACCGGGACTTGTCACACCTAGACCTGTCGAATACGAACATAGATGACGCGGCTCTGAAGGGCTTAGCGCGATTTCCAAGTCTTCTTCCCCCCCTGTCCTTCCCCTCTTCCCAGTCGGCCCGAGAAGACACTCTTGGACTGAGGAGCTTAAACCTTGCGGGCTGTTTGTGGGTTACGGACGCGGGGCTTGAGCCGGTGGTAACAAGGCCCGAAACGAAACGGACGCTTGACGTTTTGGACATCTCGAAATGCATTTCGGTCACCCGGGGGGCCGTGACGCATGCGGCGGTGCGAGTGCTGACAGCCGTGGGGGTCACGTGGGAGCGTTTCGTGGCCACGCATGGGCCGGAGAAACGTCTGCAGGTGGAGCATCTCAACCTGTTACCGTTCGTTTGAGCCAGTGACTCTGCTGAGATACGCACTGCATCCTTCCAATAAAAAGGAGTCAATGTTTCTAAACGGACTGTCTGGTTCTGGTCGTATGAGCAAGGGTGTGCGCCAGCCGGCATGCGTTGGAGAATCTCGCAGAAACTATCAAAGCTAGGATCAGCTTCTGGACAAATTAAGACTTCGTATCAAGCTTCTCACGTTTATCCTTGTGTTCCGATTGAGGAGCAACCCTTGCAGACGTCGTCTGCATCGGTTGCTCAGCCCCTGAGAAACCCATCAGGACATAGGTTCCTTGGTGCTCTTTCAAAGCCAGTTTGATTGCATTTCAAGGTCACTCAATGGATTGTTCCTGCTTTAGGAGCTCAACCTGGCCCAGTCCACCAAGCTCGCCGAAGTCAGCATCTCATCCTCGCACCTCGTCTCCCTCAACCTCTCCGGTTGCTCCGCCCTGACCAAGCTCGACCTGCGGTGCCCGAACCTAGAAACGCTGAAGCTGGCTCAGTGCACCGCTCTCGAGGAGTTTGGGGAGATAGTGTGTCCTGCATTGAAGAAGCTGAGCGTTCTCCAATGCCGACAGCTGACGTCCGAAGCGCTCTCGGACGTCCTGGCGGGTGAGCGGCTCTGTTCGGACAACCATGGTTGTTGACGTACGATCACTTTGGATTGCGGCAGCGAGACTTCTCTCTGACGTCCGCTTAGATACGTGTTCGACGCTTTTTTGGACGTTAGCTTTCGTGAACGTCAGTTTGCTTGCTGGACGATAGAAGAAGAAGCGCTTTCTAGCAGCATTTGCAGCTTCAAGGTCTCCTTTTGTGCTGCTGTTCTAATTGAAGGAAAGAAGGGACCGCTTACGCACCACTTCTGCGTAACTTCACTTCTCTTTCTTCAGGCAAAGCTTTTGGACGCTATTCCTGTTACGGCTCAAGTTTCGGACAGCTAGCAGGTCACTTGGGGTTCCAGCTACTTTTCTCAAACTTCATCATCTATAAACAACCTACGTTCATTAAAGCAAGCCTTCATGAATCTGAAGAACACGCCTCCCTTATATGTAGGTGCTCCCCTGCTGGAAGAGCTCAATTGCAGCGGCTGCGCTGCACTCTTCCGCCTCGACCTGGCCGCCAACAGCGTGCTGACGAAGCTCGACGTCAGCGGGTGCAACCGCCTGGGCCGTTTGACCATAATGTCCCCCGCTCTAGTTGTTCTGAACGCCCGGGGTTGCAGCCAGCTGGCGGAGCTCAGGGCCGACTCGGAACAAGTGGAGGAACTGCTGCTGAACAACTGCAGAGCACTGCGAGAACTTGTAAGTGCCTTTTGTTTGTTGGTACGGACGCACGAGATGAGAACTTTGATCGTGATCCGTTGGGCTTAGAGTTCGCCTTTGAGCTGGCAGGTCAAGTTGAGCAGGACTGACGAAGAAGGCACTTCGGACGATGCACCATCTGAAGCGCCCAGGAAGGGCCGTTCTAAGTATAGGCGACGAATATTTAGCCGTACAATTATCGTGCCGAATCATTTTCTGCTGTCAAGGTTTGTTTAAATTACTGTCCTCGTCGTGGACCAGCGGACCAGCAAGGCGCAGCCCGTCCTGACTTCGAAGAATCATCAAATTGCGTCTTCTCTCAGCTTCTGTTGCAAGTCTGGACACTGCGAGCTCAACATGGATTTGTCGCGCTGGTTCTGGTTGTTGCAATCCCTAGACAAAATTCGTACGCGTTTTGTTCATACGCCTTCTTGTTTGTCCTACAACTCTTACTCTTTTCCGTGACAGCATCTGCGCGTGCTTGCTGCGTTATCCACCCGTCGCGAAGTAGGCATGGAGGCGCAGCGCTTGAAGATAGACGCGCGCGGCTGCGACTCGTTACCTGCACCGGTCCTTCAATGGCTGATTGACATTAGCAGGAAGAAAAGCGCATGATGCAGTTGATTTAGTGTTTATGAAACGTGAGGTGCGTTGCCTCTTGACGGAAAGGAGCGTAGTGAAAGCGTGCTTTAGAGGTTTCTAGTCATCAAGTTGCGTCGCGTCCCGGAGTCCCGGCTGCTCAATCTTTCTTTGAGGAGCTTTTCCTGAGCGCAGTAACATATCTGTCCTGGGTTTGGACCTCATGGTCACAGATTTGTCGGATAGATTTGTACAGTCTTTGCAGTCAAGAGTCCGAGACTCCAGAGGATTCAGGGTGCGAAAGTCAGTTTCTGGCAAGCAAGAACTGTTGCGCCCTGTCGATTCAGTGATCAAGTACGGTTATGTTGGTACCACAGTGCATAGTTTGATACTTTGCAGACGAGAAGCTTGTAAGCAACCAGTCGCACATGGCCTTATAACTGCAGAAGCAACTCAATGCAGCGCTATAAAACCATCAATGATTGGCACAAGATTTGTCCTACTGTAGTGTCTATGTGATACATCTTAGAGGTGCGCGCCTTTCCCCTTTTTATAATAGCTGAGGGAAGATCGAACGCATATGCACCGCCAATTCGCTCTCGGGCTAATTGCATGGGCTCAGACGGTGTTGCATATATGCACCTTCCATTTGAATGGCCTTTGAACAGATTCTCAAAATGGTGTTCCGCGCCGCCACCTACATCTCGAATCTGAAATCTAAGCAATCTATGGCTGGATTGCACCGACTCCTTTGCTGCCATATCCGAGTTCCAACCGGGTTACGGTTGAGATCGACTGCAAGACTCAAGAAAGAAAGAGAACCGTGAATTACTCGAGAGGCGCTTGCGCATGGGGCCCATGTTGTACGGTTTGGTGGGGCCGTTTGTCACAGACCCGGGTTGTCAGTAACGGGTTCCTGCCGGTGCAAGAACCGTTGTTGATAATACTTTGCACGAGACTGCGGAGCACACTGCACCGACGGCGGTTCCCCCCACGTTGAGCCCCGGCATTTCATCCTGGACTTTTAACCAAGCGCTTACCCACACATCCCAAAGTTTCAGTTTGCACTGCGAGAGGGGTGCGTGTGGAACTTGAAGAGTGGACAGGCGCCAACGTTGCTGAAGCTAATGAGCTCCCAGTCTGACTATTCGGAGACCGTCTAATCCAACCAGAACATTTCATCCACTTTCAGGCCAAAACAAAGATTCTAAGAGCACTCTCAGAAAGTGAGTGTGCGCTGTGTAAGCACGGGTGGAGCGCAACCATAAAGCTGGGCGCCAAAGACTGTTACAGAAGCTCTTCAACTTCCAGAGAGGAAAGGCGTTTCGCTCCCATTGCTGATATTTGACATTTCTGGGGGCTTCTTAGGGTCTGTGGCCGCATCAAACTTTTGCTGCGATGGCGACTTTTGGGGCAGCAGTGACCCCTCCTTACAACCCAAACAAAGATATTGAGGTGAGATGCTAGCCTTAATTCAACCAGCTTTTGAGAGCGCTCAGCAGACAGCGCCAGTCCACAATGCCTTTCAGAGCAAGCCTAATGTCGGAACCCACACGCCCTCTCAAATTCTTGCCGACCAGCTAGTGGTGCGAAGCTTGCTGTGTTTTTAGCAATAAACGGCTTGGCAACTCCTGTCGTGCCCATTTTGTGTGGATGTTGTGGCTGGCTGATGTGGGCACCACTTGATAGCTGCTCTTTGCTCCGTCAATTTGGTCTGTGCATGGTTAATGACTATCTTCATTGCTCAAACAGGTGCAACAACCCCCCAATGATGGCATCACTAGTTTGGGCTTCAGCCCAAAAGCCAACTACCTTGTAGCAACATCCTGGGACACTGAGGTGAGGCTGCAGTTGAAATTGATGCCCGGAAGATTCACGATTAAGCCTTTTTCATGACTTTTCCAACAACGTGAACGCCTGAATTGATCGCTGAGATTTCTCACGTTAATCAGAGCCGTCGCCAGTCACAGTTGAGAAACGCAAATTAACTGCGTCTAAGACATTCTCAATGTCCAGGTCCGCTGTTACGAAGTCCAGTCGACCGGCGCGACAAACCCAAAAGCTGGAACAAAGGCCGATCAACCGGTGAGTGAGCATCCAGCGTCTGCACCACCTCTCTATCGACTTCCTTTGTTGCTCACTTCCTTTATAGCGAGAAGCATGGGCAGAATGTGTCTAGTCACCTTACGGTGCATATTTGAAAGTTTGATCCGGCAGGAAACTCTGTGAACGTGTGTGGTGAATGACTGGGATGCGCTCCTTTTGACTGCTTGTCTAGCACCAGGTGGGCTGCACTCTTCGTTTTTGAGAAACATATCCAAACCGATCAACAAATATGTTTCCTCATCCACCCGCTGTTCCCCTACAGAGTGTTCGTTTTCTGCCCCCTGCAGGTGCTATGCAGCGCATGGAAGGACGACGGGGCGTCTGTTTTCTTTGGGGGGTGCGACAAGCAGGCCAAGCTGTGGAATCTTGGGTCGGGGGCGCCCCCCCAAACGGTGGCCATGCACGATGAGCCCATAAAGGAGCTGGCGTGGATACCCGAAATGAACATGCTGGCCACAGGGAGCTGGGACAAAACCGTCAGGTGAGCGAGCGCACGCGGCGACCACTCCAGGGCTGATTTGTCTGCTGCTGAGGCGAGAAGGAAACATGCAGAATATTTTGGCACATTACTCTAGAAGCCTGAAAGGGCGTCTGCATGAAATGCTCAGGGGTGAGGTTGCTATGTCTGCTTTGGCTTCCTTCTCACGATGTTTGGAGGCTGCCACCCAGGTAGAAACTTTTCCTTATAGATTTGCTGCTAATCTTTGTTCGGGGTTGCGGCGTTCCTTTTCAATAGCCCTCTCATTGCTGATGCACCCCAACTTACAACAAAGGTTTTCTGGCGGCTACGCAGTAATATGTTTCACGGGCCAAAGTGGGCGTTCAACATGCCTTTCATCCCGTGTTGTGAAATCAAACTGAATTGTGACTGTCGAAATGTGACGCCGTGGTGTTTACGGGCAATAAGTGTCTCGCTTAGACGCCCACGCCAAGTAGAGCGCAGTTCTTTCGCAACATCCTCAGCGACTTGGCTGAATAATACAAGAACTTCTCTGTCTTCTCATGATTCAGGTACTGGGACCTTCGGCAGAACCAGCCGGTGCACACCCAGAAGCTGCCGGAGCGGGTATATGCTATGAGCGTGAAGCACCCGCTTATGGTGGTGGGCACGGCGGACCGCAACATCATCGTCTTCAACCTTCAAAATCCGGGGGCCGAGTTTAAACGGATCCAGTCGCCCCTTAAGTTCCAAACGAGGTGTATAGCAACGTTCCCAGATAAACAGGTGAGTGTCATGCGGTTCTTTTCGGCAAGTCTTTGTTTTTCAGAGAAGTCTCAATACCTGGTGAAACAACTATAAGGTGTAAAACTTCCTTTTTGCAGATACTTATTTGACCCGCGGAAAGAGGAAAATTCAGTGGTCAGAGTTTCTCATCCGTGGGCTTCTGTTGTTGACCGCATCTTTGCACTCCTTTTCCAACAAAGTATTGACTGCCTGAGTCGCATCCATTTTCAAATCTTTGATTCGCAATCGTCTTTCCGTCCTCGTTGCAGGGCTATCTGGTGGGCTCAATAGAGGGACGGGTAGCAGTCCAACACTTGGACGACTCCCAGAGCTCCAAGAACTTCACTTTCAAGTGCCACCGCGACAACAACGAGGTCTACTCCGTCAACTCCATCCAGTTTCACCCGGTGAGGCCTCCTTTAGAGACGACTTCCCGACGGACCCTGCTCTTCTCGTTATGCACAAGCCGGCGGAGGTCTTGACATCTCACAAACCGAGGTTACGTTAAATATGGTGGTTATCGGCTCTGCCATGTCTGCAGGGACGTCCATACGTGAAAACATTTGTCATGCTGAAAGTGCAATTACCTGTACCATTGTCCATTTGAAGCTTGCTGAAGTCGTCGGGCTTTTGCTGCGTGCGTTTGGTGATCGTTTTCCCCGTCACTTGAGGCTCATCACCTGTTCACAGCGACAGAGAGCGATGAGAGATCTGTTCTCTTTGTCGGCTCTGCCTGAAGGTCTTTCGTGGTGGTTGTCTTTGTCAAATAACGTCGATAATGGCGGCCAAAAGCTTGCAAACTCTCTACTTACTCAGATCTGTATACGCCTCTGTCTGGATACGGGACAGATCCTTCCGCATACCCTATATTACAAACAACAGGCTTGCGAATGACATGCGAGAGACACCCAAAGAAACCCGATACTAAACTTACTTTCATTATACCAGGTGCACGGCACATTCACAACTGCCGGATCGGACGGCGCGTACAACTTTTGGGACAAGGACAGCAAACAGCGGCTCAAGGCGATGACGCGGTCCAGCCAGCCTATCCCGTGCAGCGCCTTCAACCACGACGGCACAATCTTTGCGTACGCCTCTAGTTACGACTGGAGCAAGGGCGCGGAGAACCACAACCCCGCCACCACCAAGAACCACATTCTGATGCACCCCACGCAGGTGCGCCCGCGGACTTTTGCTTTTGGTATTGGGTTTTGATATGTGGTTTGTGGTTTTGGTTTGCATCCGCCAGGTGTCTGCACACACGCGAGCCCGTTTCCTTTCCAAAACTTATCAGAATCTGCTTCATTTCTCGAACTTTGCTTTCTGAATGCCTAAAATTCCTGTGTCAGAATGGATCTAAGCTTTTGTGGCCTCCCTAGCGTGGTTCTACGTTCACCTTTGGGTCAGTCTGCTCTCGCTTCGCCGAGCATGCGGCAATCTCATTCAAGTTTCTTTGATCTCGGTGGCTGACCGTGGAGGGATTAAACAGAAGAATACAATAGTAAGCCGAGACATTGGGAGGGTAACCGCACTGGGACGGTTATGGCTACTTTGGTCAGTGTGGGTATGGGTGCGGAGCAGGTATAAATTTTGGGTTAGGGTTTTTAGTTCTGGTCGGAGCAGATTTCTATCTTGGATCATTAGTATCTTCCTTCAGATTCATGAGTATGTAAGGCGGGGCGAACGTGAATTACTTTCTCATGATGGGACCAACATTGACAACTGTCTTTCATCTTTTGTGCCAGGAAGCCGAAGTGAAGCCGAGACCCAAAGCTGCAAAGCGATAAAACCGAACTGAGGTCCTGCTTGCGTATTCTGCAAGCCCCCCCGGACCTTCTAGGAGTTTTAATAGCAAAGTCTTGTGCGGGTAGAATCGCACAGGCTAAGTTTGCTTGTCTGCCCAGCAGGCCGTGCGTAAGTGACGGCAAGTGCAGACAGGTGGCCGGAGATGTCAAGCAATGCCACTTTCTGGTAGGATGAGAGATCATGAGTCGTAGATGTCGAATACTAGGCTGTTATGGTCTGATTGAGTTCGTACAACCTGACTGAAGAATTGTACTTTTCCTGATGTCTCTTTCGTTTCGTTCTGAATGTAGAAGGTAGACTGCGCTGGACTCTGTCTACAGTGCCAAAACAAATGAGGGCGGGCGTAGTTGGAATGTTACACATACGGGGCAACCTCACCTCTCGCTCAGATGTGTGATCCGTGCAAGAAATCTGCTTTTGGCACGTTTTTGTGCAGTCGGTCTGCGCATCTACTCGACATGGGGTCGCATGCACTAACATGCTTAGTGCTTTTGATGGGTAAACAGGCCCTTGCACGGACGATGATGGTGCGCATGTACCTATAGACAGCGCCTCCACCATACGCGTTAAACCTGGCATGCAAGTACACGAGTCACACACTTGTACTTGCAAACGCGCCATCATTGAGCTTATCGTACATGACTGGCTCGCCTCGAAGAGGCGGTGGGGGCTTGCCTCTTATAACGCTGATGCGGGGCTCAATATACATTATCGATGGTCAGTGCTCGTAAGATAATTGCAGTGTCATGTGCACTGCTCTCGGTGCAAAAAAATGAGGTTCGCAAACATTACAGCGTTACATACAGAGGTTTGGGCGCGGCAGCGCTAGGGCGCGTTCGACTTCGAAGCACATGCTTTCCACGCAGTCGCACGGGGCATGGCGATCGAAAACAAAGTGCCCAAAGGTTTGCCAAGATTTTCCCCTTCACTGTACGTTTTATGAGCACTCAGGCCCGCACCGCAACAAGAGCGCGACGTCGTACAGCGTCGCCTGAACCGCAATCCAGGAACTCAATACCGGATAAACCTCTTTTTACTAAGAGTAAAGAGGCAAGCCAATATGTACATGTGTAACCAAGCCGCCACCATGCACTTCGACTTGGCACGTTGCGAGCTGTTCGGTTGCATGGGCCCACAGCAATCGGCACTGACTAACTGTGCCGAATGATTGCTGTGGACCTCGTGCCAAATTAGGTATATGTCAGGATGCGCACGCGTGGGTCAGACGCTGTTTGCTTTGCAGTGGTTAAGGTACCTGCATCATGCAAATTGTAGACAATACCGAGCAATCATTGCAGGCCGCCGGCTACCAATCATGCAATCTCAAGGAGTCCTTGTCGATCAAATTGTATATCCCATAGGACTGTGTTTTGTACAGTACCTATCTCGAGTAAGCAGTTATGCTGAGCAGATTCCGCATCTCGAGGCACGGATCGCAGCCCCTAAATCCTAGCTAGCCACCAGATCCGGATTTTTTGACAGTAAGGAAGCAATCGTGTTCAAGAGAAGCTTTCAGCTGTTACTGTGACATATTCCACTGGCGAGGGCAGCTCGCCTCGCTTGGCGCTCCCACTCCGCTCTATCTTGGCGGAACAAAGCCGCTGCCTCATTGTTTACTACGTTCTCTAGGTCCACATCCCAAAGCAATTGTTGTACGCTCTTCAAGACGAAGCTCAGCCCCTGGTATGGATCCCACTGCCGTCCCCTCTGCCCTTTTCCGTCATATGCACCGCTGCCGCCCTCTCTAGTTCCCGAGCACGCATCCCCCGATTCGGACTCCGCATTCAGACTCGCAACGGACAGAAGCCGTTCCGCGGCAACAACGATCTCGTCGGCCGTGCGGCTCTCCGCCCCTCCTAGTTCTTCACCAGCTGACGCAGACACTACCTCACCGCTCCGGCTTTCCCCATCTTTTCCCAGTTCTTTTGCCCCTCCCTTCCTTGTACTCACCAGCTCTTCCCGGGTCGGGCTCGACCCCGGCTTCGCACTCCGTGAAGCTACAAAGTCTAGGTACGGGACTCCATGTTGATCGACGTTAGGGTGAAATATCTCGGTCAAGAAGCGCACACTGTCGGGGGGCCTCCGAGGATATTCGGGAGGCACGTGAATTTCGACCGGGAAGAAGCGACCCTCCCAGGGAGTGCCCTGGGGACCGGTTAGGACAGCGTGGCAGACGAATAGGTCGTCCTCCTGCATGACCGTGGAAGCGCCTCGAGTGTCTGATTTGCTGCTCAACCCACCCGCCAATTTCGGCTTTCGCTGTGGTGATCTGGAATCGAAGAATCTCTGGATGAACAATTACCTTTTCGACTCTTGAGTTCTTGAATTTGTAACATACCGAGTGCATTCTGAGGGTTGAAACCTGCTCTTTCACTCGCCCCGTGTTTAAGCACTGGTTTCGAAACCGCCGACTAAGGTGTACAGACGAGGCAAGAGGACGAACTCAACGAGCCAAGTTACTAGAGAATCTCTCGACACGCAGGACGCCTTCAAGGAAGTAGCGGTGATGAGGCGTTATGACAACCAGAGCGAAGACGTGTCAAGCGAAAGAGGAAGCTTACGTTTGGCAGAGAGACTCGGATGCCTGGGAGCGGTTTCGCCGTGAGCAGCCGGTATTCTGCCGCGAGCCGCACCATTGTGGCGGCGAGCATCGCAATCTCGGGCTGCCGCGATGCCGCTGCCGCGTAGTGGTGCATGGGGCAAGGCTGGATGGAGGAGAGGAGAAGGTTAGAGATTGCCATGCATATGTTGCATAAATGAGAGACTGTCACACAAATGCACGGGTTTCTGTGCATCGGACTGGCAGCAATCAAAAGCTTCATGAAAAGAAAAAGGCCTCCGACAACGTAACTAAGCATGGACAACAGCTCAGGATCATCCAGAACTTCGCGCGACTTGAGCGCAGGCTTTGGCATGCGTTTCAAGAGCGATAGATCACAGATCAAGGATACAAGGTACTTGCTCCAGTTGACGGTTATCACAGACTTGAACTCCGGGGCCCCATCAAGAATAGGAGCAGACGAAGCAACGTGGCGGAGAGCTAGACATCCGTTTGCCTCTGTTCAGGCCCGCTTTTCAGCATTGCGCACGGCTATACTTGATACGGAGCAGACCCAAGCGGCCTCCAACAAATCGATAAAACATACAACGAAGTTGAGGACTCCTGGGGATTCGTGCAACCAACCTTCGCAGCCGCTTCAGTTGCGCCTCACCTTGGCCAGTATTTGCAGCGCAGCATCCGCCACCGCGACGCCTTCCAGTTTCCGCGTAATCTGCTTCGCCAGCGATACCCACACCACGCGCCCCCGCTCGTCCTTCAAATACTGCCCACTGTGCACCAGCACATCGCCCGACACTTTTTTCATAAGCTGGCCCCCTGGCTTCGGCACGGTCGCCAGAGCGCTTCCGTTCCCTTCCGAATCCGCCGGAATACCGCCCTCACCGGACGCTTGTGACTGCAACGGGATCCTTGTCCGTGTGCTGAGAGAACGAGAGATGGCCTGCGCCCGCAGGATCGGGTCCTCCCCTTCCCGAACTTTTAGCCTTCCCTCGTCTCCCCCGGGCTTCCACCAGGGGGATCCCCCTTTGAGCCCCGCCGGCAGATCCACTTTCACCGCCAGAGCTGCCCGGCGCATCCGGACGGCGCCCCGAATCGTGTGCGAAGCGACTTTCCACCTTCTCTGAGCTGTGTCATGTGAGGGGGGTTCGGCGGACAACCGTCGGGCAGTCCGCTTAACCACCGGATCCGCGAAGGGCCCTTCAGAAGCGCGCCGTTTCGCCCCTTCTCCGGACGGCGACTTTGAGTTTCGGACAGCATCACCGGATGCAAGACCAAGCCCCGTGTCCGATTTCGGCGTACGAATGGTTGGGCTTGCGGAATTGTGGTCAATTTGTGTGGAGCCATTAAGAGCGGCTAGAGGGTTAAGTTCTGACAGAGGGTTAAGGACCGAGCCCGGCTTTGGGGTTCTGGGGCTCCGGTTGGCCGGTCGGGGACTCCCCCCCGGCCCCGTTTCTTGGTGCGCCGCGCTCGCTTGGGACCCGGTTTGAATCCTCCCGAGCGGTTTGCTGTGGTACACGTGCGGGTCGACAGAGATGCTGCCCTCGACTGAGGAGGCAGCCACGTGGCTGCTGAGGTTGTTGTGCCGTACCGTGGAGTACGTTTCGGTGTCATGCTTCGGAGGGGGCCAGGATACCGGGGTGGAATCGCTATACGACGTGCCTGAGCGGGGCAGCTGGTTAAGAAACGGGTTAGTCGCACCAACCGCGGGGTCAAACGGGTCGAACGGGCTCGCCGCGGCGCCTTGCTCGGCAGGGGCGTGGAGGGGGTTTGCGAAGAACGCCGGTTGGAAGGGAGGGGGCGCGGGGGCCTCGAAAACGTCCCCGTTCTGTTGACTTTTCTCGTACTCAAAGGCATGACTGCGCCCGTTTGCATGGGAGGGGTTTTGGGCTTCGTAGGGGGCGAAAGAAAGGGCGATCGAAGAAGCCGGGGGGGGCTGCAGCGGAGCTGACGCCCAGTCCTGGTTGCCCTCTTCGTGGTGGTTTTGGTCCAAGGCCCCCGAGTCGAGCATGCGCGCGAGCATGTGGCCCTGCAGCTGCACCACCTGTTGCCGGATCTGCACACGACGAGCGGGGCGGCGCGGTCAGGCGCCTCCTGACGTTCGAAAGCGACAGCGGCTCCCCAACGGTAAGGGCAATCTTCAAATCTTCAACTTACTGAGCCTGGTCGTATGAAGCGCAATCAGGCTCCACCGATCGCTGTCACTACAGTGGTCTCAATGCATTTGGGGCAGACCGCAGGGCAAGAAGGAGCTTGTAATGAGCACGAGTAAAGACCATTCGCAAGACCTTTGCCGTCAAAACAATAACACAGAATCCTTTTGGCAAGGTCTCCTAAGCAGAGCAAGGTCTCCAAAGCAGAGGTTTTTAAAGTCACGAAGCGTTGAAACTGTTCAATTGCAAGCCGTCTCCGCCTGACAAGAAGAGCTCGTGCACTTTGCTCACACACACGCTTCCATCACCCACTTCTTCCTGCACATGTCTGCTTACCTGTTCTACCAGCCTCTGCACAAAGACGGGCCGCGGCACCGGCACCCCCCTGGCGCGCGCCCACAGCAGCGCGCGGTGCTCCGGCGGCACCGCAAACGGGTCGTGCATGTCGAATGACTTCGTGCGCGTCATGCGCGGGGCGCGCGGGCCCTCGTCCTGGACGGGCCACTCCACGGGGGCCTGGCTGGCGCTCCACACCAACGGCACGAAGTGGTTGTGCTCGTGACTGGAATAAAAAGAGGGATTTTTTGGTTTTGTAGATCTGTCTCCTGGCAGGGAAACAAAACGGGGAATGTTATGGGACTGCGAGTTTTGGAGGTATTAAGTGAGCTCAGTCGCATTCCTGAGGGATCAAGTTGCATCTGCGGAGGACTGGTGAGACTTTCACAGAGGGAAATGAAGCGTCGCTAAGGAAAAAAGCATGCGGGCAGTTGCTAAGTTGTATATTAATGCGTTGTAGCTGGGAAGAGTAATGGGGACTTTTTGGGTTGCGGGTTCTGGAGCCTTTCAAAGTGTGGGTTCGATTGCATCTCTGTGACTGCCCTGCAGCTGAGGAGAAGTGGTGAGGGACTGACGGATGGGATGAGCGGTATGGCAGAGAGCGCAGATGAACATGCAAACGGAGCTCCTCCCTTTCAGGGTAGACATCGGGCACAGATTCGACATTGAGAAGGCCACCCCTCAGGGGTTCCGCAAATTACCTTGATGGAAAACGTTGCTCAACAGCATGTTCGAACTTTGGAAACGAATCATGAACGGGTGCAAGTCACTCCTAGAACAACGAAAAGGTACTCAAGAAGAGCCGCTGCTGAGCTGGGCTCAACCCAGTTTGCAAGAAGTTTCTGCCCTTCTTTGACTTCCATTCGTTTGAAGCTATTTTGAACTCCGCTTCGAGAAGCCCTTCAATGATCTGATTGACCAAAAAGCGTCTTTCCAATCTGAAAGGGGTATTAAATCCTCACCTGGACCACGCAACGGCGAGCGGTCGCGGGTACCAGCTATCGACGTCGAAGCGGGTCGGCCCAAACATGCCGGCCATGCCATAGTAACCGCAACCAAAGTCGAGCACGTCGCGGTGGGACGCATATAAGATGACGGGCCGCCGGATGACGTGTGCCAGCGCCACAATGTGCAGATTGGACAGAAAGCGGTACGGCTGACGGACTTGCTCCAGCGCCTCCGCAACCTCTGCTCGGGAAAGCTTGGACTCGTACCTGCAAGCGATGCACAGCAGTTGAAAATGAAAAGGGTCGCTCTGGTGCATCAGAAGAGCGTACTGGGCAGACGGACTATCCAAGGCAGAGTACATCAATGCTATTTTGACGTTGTGTTAGATCTAACAAGAAGTCTTGTGTAGATATCGATACCTGCAACTGGCTTCAGTATCTATGAAATCTTTGACAGCGCTTATCACATGATATTAAGCCAAAAAAGGAAGACCTATGGCTAGCATTTGTGGGTCATTCTAGCAGCAAGGACCACAACGCCAGCTGTTCTTACCATTCGTGGTGGTCCTGCAGTTCCTCGCACACCTTGTGGCGCAGCAGGTCCGAGAACAGCTCCACTCCCCAGATGCCACGGCTGGCGGCGTGCAGCAAACAGTTGCCGTCGCCCGTGGTATGCAGCGGGACCACCGTTGCACCCTGCAGCAAAGAGTAGCTTCTTCGCCGTGTCGATAACGTGGAAGAATAAAGCAACAAAGGGAAAGAAGCCAGAAACCGATCGTACCGCCCGGTTTAGGTGACGGTTGAACCCGTAGTTTGTGAAAAGCCCACGCTTTCGTCCTAGTCCTTCATCTTGCTATTACGACTGGAAGCCGGGACCGCCAGCCTGCAAATTCCTCGTCTCGATATCACAACAAAAAGTCAGGAACGACCACTTTGGAACTGGACAATCGTAAAACTATTTTCATGGATGCTGTCTGCCCAAGCTGACCGTGGTCTCACCAGGTCAATCCGCATGCTCTCCAGGACACTGGCCAGGTAGTCGGACGCCCTTTCATCCAGATCATCAGCGTACGGCAGCACGTATGTGTAGTGAGTTTCGGGGAGGTAGGGGAAGAGCTCCCGCACGACCGGGGCTAAGAGAAGGAGGTCTGTCCTCAGGAGCTTGTCACGTTCATGATAGCTCATGTCCTGTGAAACAAAGGATTGGTGTTTACCCTGCCGTTGATGTGGTGATGAGGCTTTGTTTCAAATCTTTTAAAAGTTCTGAGAATTCTTTTGTTAAGAAGTCGGCTGACTATTGCTCAACTGCAGCTTGAAAAGAGAGGTTGAGCGCTTGCGGGCTGTGCCTTGAGTGCTCTTTAACTGCTTCAGTGCAGTGCCAATGGTGTTTGATGCAATGCTGTGGAGCCTGTCCTCTCATCTCACCGAAGAGTTGGGGTCAGAGCATGTTGGCAGACAAATGTCACTTGAGACAGCTTCAGGAGGGCAAGCTCTGAGGTCCAGTGGCCTGAGGATTGGATCCAAGAACTTTCTGCGAGCTTGACCAATCAGCAGACAGACAAAGTCTGCGGCCTTAACAAATGGGCACCAGTAAAGTGTAAGCGCAACTACAGTTTCAGCTTCAAAGTTGGTTCTTGAACTGATATTAAAAGGTAGGGCATGGCTAATTTCTCAAACCCCTGGCAGCTTTCGCTCTGTAGTAGACAGCCCTTGTGCCTAAAGCGCCTCATTGTTTGTTATGGCAAGGGGGTCGCTCCTCCAAACCCTAATCTCCATTTATCCTGCAACAAAACTCACCCTCAGCGTGTCTTGCAGGTCATCCACAGCGGACGCGTGCCGCTCAACCGTCCCCCCGTTCCTCCCATCTGGGCCACTCCTCCTACGCAGGAGGCCAGTGGTGGAGCCATACCCCCCCAGGCGCCCCTCCTCTCTGCCGCCCGCATCGTAGATCAGCTCAGAGAAGCTCTGCAGCTCGCGGCTGTACTTCTTGCCGCTGGGGGGAAAGCTGCTGGGAGTGCCGGGACCAAAGCAGCTGCAGCAAGCCATCGAGCTCCTGAGCTCTAACTCCGGCCCAGGCCTTCGATAAGCGGCTTATGCCTAGTGGTGGAATGGCATCCTTTGCGCTGGGTGAATGAAAGAATGCCCAGATCTTAGAGTGCTGCTGCAAGCAGAAGAATGAAGGGACCACCGTGCCAGCGAGCTGCCAGTGCAGGGTTACTCTTGAGCTGGCATTCAGAAAAGAATGGAACATCTCTCTTGAGTCTTGGGCCCTGCTGTGTCAGAGTACGGCAGCTGCCTCGAGGCTGCACAATGCAATCCATCGGACGGCTCTCGTTGCGGGGGAGTGCCCATTTGGACCTCAGTCAGCGTCCAGATGACCACTTTTGCGGCGATGGATCGTCCGCAGGTGTCCGCCGACTGAACTGAGATTCAGGCCAACAGGTCTACTCAAAATCCAGAGCACAGCTAGGCCCAGGGGCACAGAGATGAAGTGCTGAGAAGTTCTGTGCTTTTTCCAGCATTCTAGTGAAGTGCGCCCAGCCAGAGCTTATCTCGTTTTGTCCTCCCCATCTTCTCCTGCTTTCCACCACGCTACGTTTTCAAGCAGCAGCAACTGATCGCCCCCCTGCATACTCCAAAAAAGTATTGGCAGGCACCCGTTTTTGAGGCTAAAATGCAGGCCAGCATTTCAGCATGTGTCCTTCCTAGTGTTGGAAGTCTGCTTGATGGGTCCATCAACAAGACCCCCAGGTTCGGTCAGCGCTTTAGCCCTGCAAGCGGGCTGGAGAGATCTTCTACAGCATGCGCCTCTCTGCATCTTCGAAATCCGTCAGTGCTTAACATGCAAGCAGATTGTAGCAGGTTGAGGTCCTTGCATGGTGCAAGTACGTACTTTGGTCCACCGGCTGGTAAAGGTGTGTACATAAATAGAACCTTGCCTATTGGCAGCCACATTCTTTCAGCGTCACGGGATGATTGCGAGGTTGGTACGGCGTTGCTCCGGTCTTCACAAAATAGGTCGTTCGTGCAGTTAAAGCAGGGTTTTCTTGTCAGTGCTGGCGACAATGTAAATAAGCGAGCTTCACGTGCCTTCAAGTGTTGTGCATTAGGTGAGGGGGTAGACGAGGTAGCCTCATCAGAGGGCAGTGCATTGAGCGAGCAGGGCAAGGAGAAGGAGAAGATTATAACTGAGGGATGGCTGGAAGGAAGCGCTTTTCAGGTAACAGCCGTTTCTCCCCCCCAAGTTGAACCTCCTACTTTTGCTAAAAAGGTTCTGACTTTTTGCTGCAGTCTGCCAGGTTGCAGAATAGTGCCACAAATGCGTGTTTCAATCAGAATCCCCATAACTTACTTCAGTAACCATGTCTAGCTTTGGGGGTATTAGGGTTTAGAAGCGAGTTTCCTGTCTGCTTCCAAGCTCTTGATTCATCAACAGAATGCCATGTGACTGGGCTCCACATGCGTGTTCCCCTTGCCTGTTGCAAGTAGAGCCCCTCCTTAGAATGGTTTACCACCTATCGAACGCTTTTCGAATGATTGTGGTTATACCCGACAAATTGTTTCTCATGCAACCAAAGGGAAAAGTGAGGGCCGTAAAGTCAAGATCAAAGGAAATCCCAATACCTCCTTTCTATTGCAGATTGCATTCGTGTCCCTTTGCCTGGCCACCGCACTGGTGCCAGTGGCCCCCAAGTTTGAGTTCTCCGGGCAGCTCTACATGACCATCATCGCATCGCTGACCATCTATGTTGGCAGCCACAGAAGGTGGGCCAAACAACTCCCATTGAAATCATGTGGGGAGGCACGAGGAATGCAGTGTTTCACAAGCGTGTCCGCTGTGGTCATTCACTGTCGTATTCGTAATCTGCAATTACTTTGATCTTAGTCACATAAGATCTACAATCAGCTATGTCAGATCTGTGGAACCGCAGGCATAGAACTGCAAGAAAGCGCTCACCCTGCCCTGCTTTCTCCCCTGCCTGCAGTCTGAAGGGCCAGCTCCCGAGCAAGATGACGTTAAAAAACAGCTTTGCGGTACCGTTCTTCTCATCGGCGGTGCTGTTTGGGTTCTGGTGTCTACTCAAATACTTCCCGGACCTGGACCTAAAAGTGGTTCTTAAGAGCTACCTGTTTCTCGTGGGGACGATCGCGGTTGGGAGCAACGTTGGCGAGCCGCTCGCACGACTCTTGCAACCACTAGCCGCCATCAAGACGAGCATAAGTGAGGCATCAGACTCGTGCCCGTTTTATCAATCCCCCAGAGGATCCGATCATGAAGTAGCGCTGGTTCTTTGCTGGGATTCTTAACGGCAGTCGGGGTTTACTGTGAGGAGGAGCAGTGGAGAGAGGCCCAAGGCTTCGATAGCGGAGACTCTGGGATCTTAGATAAGTCAAAGCACAGGCCAACTAAATTCAAATCAGGTCCTGTATTGCCAGGCGTCAATTTCATGTCAGGTCTGCGTTCGATGAGAGCCATCTTTTGACAGCGCTTCTGACTTCCCCCGTCCCTTGCCAGCATCCGACACGTGGCCGCTGCAAACGAAAGATCCGAAAAAGCGAGGTCTACCCTTTCATCTTGTTGTCAAGGTCTAACCATTCATTTTTTGTCCAGAGCTCAGAGTACTGAAGGCTGAGCTGTTTGTTCTTTCCCCTGTTGCCAGCCTTCCCAAAGTGGCTGATCCAAGACCAAGGCGAGGCCGTGACCTCAGATGTCCGAGCGACGGACTTTCTAGCAGCGGCGATTGGGATTGTAATCTCGGTCATCAACGTGTTTCCGGACGCGCCGTACAGTGTCAACAACTTCATAGCCATATGCTTGGTCTCTGAGCTCCTGCAGACACTCTCCCTCGGAAGGTAAGCTTCAGGGAAAACGGACTTTTGTTTGATGGGGATCGTAGCTCGAAGTTCCATAATCTGGATCTCGACTCAAAGGACTGCCTGCACAGGCTGCACAGGCACGACTCGAAGGCTGTTTTGATTTGCAAAGAAGCTTCGTTTCTAGGTTGTCAATAGTCAGGGGTCTTGACAAAGTGACATTTCTGTTCTCGTTCGATCCTGTCGGGAATCAGGCGGGCCTTGCACATCGCAATCAGCATTTTCATCTCGACTCCTTAGAACATTGCTACTGAAGCAGTATTTTTAGAGGGTGCACATAGACTCGCCCGTTCTTAAACTTTTCCCGCGCCACCTTTCTGCAGTTTCGTGACGGCGGCCGCATTGCTGGCCGGCCTCCTATGTTACGACGTGTTTTGGGTGTTCGGTTCGCCGTCAGTGATCGGCGACAATGTCATGGTGACGGTGAGCTCTTGAATTCGAAAGCTTCCAGCTTTCAGAATCGAACCATGCATCTTCGAGAAGGCAATGACCAACGGAGACATCGCTTGTGACGTGAAAAGCAGTTGCAGTCCCATTCCGTGGAGCAGTCTGCCAGCTGCTCTTAATGTCGAATTTGCAAAGCCCTGCGTCAGCAAAGGAAGCGAAGCCATTCAGAACTTGAAACGTTGACCAGTGCGAAAGAAAGAACTGCATCTATGGCTAAGCGAACTCAGATTGAGCGGATGCTGAAAAACACACTTGTGTCCGAGGACAGCGTTGAGTGAACTCAAGGCGAGACGGTCATTTTCACTCGCACCTCGCAGGCGGTCTTTAGAGAGAACTGCTCAAAGGGGTTTCTTTGACCTTCTCTTGACTGCTTCCTGCGTTCACCGCGCACTTCGCTCTCATGAAGAAAGATCCAACGATCGGCCCTAGTACAATTTGTGCTTTCCGAATCTCTAGAAAATAACCATTGAAGCCCTACTGTCACCGGCTATAGTTTTGAAGCTTCCGCGCACCTGGCAGTGAAGCGCCTTGATGCAGATCGATGCGTGTACTTTTGTTTCTCTCCGAATCTGTTTCTTGTTTGATAGGGCTACGTATGGCACAGTCGCTCTAGAGCGTCACCGCTGTCCTAGGTTGACGACTTTGCTGACATCTGATGCCGCTTCTTTTCCGACAAAGTCTCTCGTCCGTCACTGTCTCTCTTCTGCTTCGGGTACCACTCTTCCCGGCACCTCAGCTCGGGGGCCTTAAATGCAGGGACAACATGTTGTTTTCGACGGGGTTTTCATTACGTTCCGTAAAGGCTGGGAGTACAGTGCGTCGTCGAAATCCCGTAAAGTTCGCACCTAAAGCAACGCAGACTGGCGCTGCAACATGTTAATTTTGCATCTAACGGGCCCGAGCTTTGACCACCCTACCTCGACGCGAACTTTGACGGGGCCCCTTTCTTGGTGCAGGTCGCGACATCCAAGTCGTTCCTGAGCAGCCCCATGATGCTCCAATTCCCGGTGCTCAACCCCGGGCCCTCGGGGCGCGGCTTTACCATCCTCGGCCTGGGCGACATAACAGTGCCCGGCCTGCTTATCGCGCTCGCCCTTCGCTTCGACCGGTATCGAAATTCGAACTCAAACGAGGGGACCGGTGAGGCTAGTACGAGCAACCGGGAGGGGGCCTCCGGGTGGGAGTGGCTCGACAGCATTGACGATAAGACCTACTTCCGGACGTGCCTCGCTGCGTATTGCGTGGGACTCGGCGTAACTTTTGGTGAGAAGGCGTTGTACCCTTGTTGGCTGCGGTTTGCTTCTTTCCTGTCGCTCGACATCGAGTCTTTGATCTGGTGTTCTGATGACATCGATGTTGACACGTGGGGATGATCGGATACGAGTGGCTAAGTGAAAGAGTGCGGTTGTAGCTGTCACCTGTTGGATGGCATCTCAGTCGACATTGTTTGCGCCTTGTACCGGCGGACGTCCGTGGCATGGCTTGCTCCCTTTCGAAGCGCACTTTGTCAGAATGCTCATTCAGCTGCCACGGTCACCTTTTTGTTCAAGAGATTGATTGCCGTTTTCTCGCTCTGCTTGCAGTTGCCAACAGCTTCTCCGGTGCTGCCCAGCCCGCCCTGCTGTACCTGGTTCCGGCGGTGCTCTGCGGAGGATCACTTGCGGCCGTTCAGCGGGGCGAGTTCCGCGCGGTTCTGGATTATAAAGATCGAGCAGGGATGGAGGAGGCTGTTCCAGAGCCCATTGAAGTTGTGGACTCGGACAAGCTCCTAAAATGAAGAGGTCGTTGGCTTTGGTGTTTCCAAATTGGAAATCAGAGGATACGGTGGGCCCGACTCGATTCTGCATGAAGCGTACGAGTTAGGACACCTTGGCTTGATATAAAGCTATGCTTCAGCGGGTTCGAATTGATGTTCGATCACAGCGACGAGTATGTATAGCTATGGATCGAAGGACGGACCGACTTAGCAAAAATGGTCTATGCAGATCGTACGTGCACCAACACCCCCTGCCAGCATACCATTCGACCATGTAGGCACTGGTACAGCGAGGCGAGCCTAGTTGACGAATGATCAGCCTCGTGTCTTGACACCAGATTGCAGCAAACAAGTTGCTTGTAATTCGATCGAGGCCTGATCATGGACGAAGCGAATCTTGGCACGGGCCGCATGCAACTGTATGTGCGTGTCTCCTTATATACCACTTATAAGATGGTGGCCCATGGTTCATAGCTACTTAATGCAAATTTTTGCAATCACGTCAAATAAAGGTACATTGAAGCACATAGCCGGATCGAAAATTGACGCGATATGTGCCATGTCGGCTCGCGGGCCGCGTACTTATCGCAACGATCCATGCAGCTAGTAAATGTCGTCTTTATGGACGTACTAACAGCTGCGTTATAGACTTGAGGAAGTTTGGTTTGATTGAGTTTGGGACATACGGAGCATGCAGCTGATCGAGTAGCTGTTGTAACTCGCAAACTCTGCACTGTAACTATTCTACGCGATCCTGCGGCCGACTTCCCCCATCTGCTCCCATAGTTTGACGGCCTGATATCTAAGAGGAACACCTTGCATACGAACACATGTCCTGTCGCTGAGCGGGCTTTGCTGGCGATGGTTCTCACTCAACTGTGAAAGTTGTCTAATTGGCCGCCTGGACGAGGACACCTGTATATGCATTTTGGTCGCATCGAATCTAACCTACTCAAAGCAGGAAGATCAATATTGATTGCGAAACCCAGAAGGAACGGTAAAACACTGCAGCTCTCTGCAATTGGAGGGAAACACAACGTACGAGCTAGACGGCCCAATGCAGGCTATCGGTTCGTTTTTAATCAATAGCGGACGCTGCCTGCGTCACAGACTTTCGCTGCCCGCGCTATCTCAACCATATCGCGCTGATCGCGGTCTATCTAGAATGCTTTGGACCTGCTAGCCTGGCCCCTGAAACGGAAGTCAAATATTGGTCCTGACAGGCGCGGCCATGTAAGAACCACCGCTACTCAGTACGCGCAAACCGGTACGCACCATCAACACGGCCTTATTGATAATGCTACGAGGCAGACTGTACCTAATGCAATCAACACGAGGGATCCCCCACAGAGACGCGGCGCGCGCTTTCTGCTCGTGCAACACCTGAAAGCGCCGCGCTGTGCCGGCGTTTAAGCCTGTGCCAGCTGTCTAAGCCTAGGACCCACTATACCTAATAATCAATTCTGTCCGTACCCAAACTTAACAGACTTCGCATTAAATGCTTGATGCAAGTGCTCGGGTGAGCATGCTATTCGTCGGCAGCCTTGTCGCCGTTCCACGAGCTCCGTTGCCAGTGGGGGGGCTCTTTCCGGACCTTGGTCACGGGGCTGTTGGGCAGCGAACTCACGGGCGAGTCGTTGCCGTCAATCGCCCACGGCCTGCACCATCCGCGCAATCTTAGCCGTTGCAAGATCGTTGAGAATGTTGGGCTTCAACCAGATTCCGTGGATGAGCCGCCATTCGTGCCTGAATCTTCCCTTCGCGAGACTTTATCTCGTGAAAACCAGGCACCCAGAGGAGAGCTAGACAACGCATATGCGATTTCCTTGTTTGACGCTCATACTTGTGAGAAAAGTTTCAGAAGACGGAAAGGATCACAAAGAAGAAGCATCTTGAAAACAGTGACCTCACTGCTGAAAGCATCATGTTCTCGGGAGATGAGGGAGGCTCGGAAACAGGAGGAGCGAGAGGGCCGCTCACTTTTCTGCCTGCTCGAGCGCCTTGTCAAAGGCAGAGAACTGACTGTTGCCGCGTTGCGTGTTAATCTGGGTGGGCGTGGAGGGCTGGAACTTGGGCGTCATGTCCAGGTTGGCCGTCTGCAACAAGCCAGAAGACACGTGTCACAAAAAGGGGACACCTCAAGTATGATGGGCTTCGATGACTATAAGAACGCGCCCTTTGGCAGGTACAGGAAATAGCAGACTTGACCTAATCCTTGCTTAGGGTGACCAAATGTACTCCACCCTGAGTTGAATGGGAATCTGGAGACCAGAAAAAGGATCTTTGACGACCTCAGGAACAGAAGCCCGCTTACCAAGTATCCACGTCAAACTGAAGGCAAAAGCTTGTGGCGCAAAGTGCGACCGCAACTTTTAAGAGAGGGTCCGAGAAGAAGCGTTAAATATTGGAGCAGAGACTCTCAAGGTGTACGAGGAAAAGAAAAAACGGGTATCCCTCGTTCTGCGCTCACCTTGACTCGGCCGAGCGCGCTCTTGCGCGCCTTTTGGCTGCCGAGTGGGCTGCCGAGGGGGCTGCTGGGTCCGCTGCTGAGAGGGCTCCCCGGCTGGCTGCCGCCGCTGTCGCGGCTAGCGTCCTCGGACTCGATGCTGATGCTCAAAACGGACGGCTTCGTCGACCGGCCATTCAACGACGTCGTCCCTGCACGCAAAGAAACCGCACACGTTTGCGACTGGGGCAATCTTCTTGTCAACAGATCCTTTGTGGGATATCATAGAACTGTCGTTGACCAGATGTCTACGGCTGTCTTTCCCTGTTCCAAAAGCACTTCCGCGGATGACTTGATCGGCATGCCCGTCGATACGTTCCCTCGCTGAACGAATAGTACTGTTCGTTGTGGCCCTAAAGTTATGCTCAGTCGCATTTGACACAGTTGCGACGAAAGAAGTGGCGGGCGGAATATTCGCAGGATTTGTCGCAATCTCCTCTAGTAAAGAGCCCGTTTGCTCACCAACTGACTCCTTGGCAAAGCGCGACACCGAGTGCGCCGCGGAGGGCGTGCTCGGGCTGGTGGGTGCGCTCGCAGCCGCGGACGCGGCCGCGGCGGTCGGGCTGGAGGGCTGGCTGGACGGTGGGCTGCTCGCAATAGGGTCCAGCACGAGCGGCCGCGGCGGCGGCGCGGCGGGCGCCGCGCTCTTGGAGTGCTTCAAGATCCACGGGTGGTGCAGCAACTCCTCTGCGGAACGGCGCAGCTCGGGCTTCTTCTGCAATGTCTGGAGGACGAAGGCGGGAGGCGAGTGTTAGTTTAGTGTGAGCATGAAGGTAGACGGTTGCAGACGACTCAACAGAACTTCGAGCGTGCTGGTGCTCGACTCGGGTTGGACTTTTTGGTTGTGCAAAGATGATATTACACGCAGGTGTCGGTCTTGGAGAGTAGGTTCTCTAGACCCGTTTTCTGAGAGGTTCTGTTTTTCCACATTCAGATTGGCAAAAACAGCGGTCGCGTTTCTCCTTTTCAATGTCATTCAGCTCTTAATCTGGTTGAAGTCATCCCTTCCAAGAAGTTGTACAGTCGGAAAAGGGTCATGTCAGAGCGAGCGCCTCTTACGATCTTGATGAAGTCGAGCCACTCCTTGCTGGCCCCCGGCGGGAAGGCCTTGCCCTTGATGGGCACCTCGTGGTACAGGATCAGCTCGCGCGTCTCTTTGCCGTGCTTCGCCGCGTCGAACGGGGCCTCGCCCGCCGTCACCTCATACGCCAGCACGCCGCATGCCCTGCAAAGAGACGAAGGCTTACTGGACGATTCTTCATCGAAGCTGTCTGAATAGTTCGGAGAATTGAAGCAGTCGAGATTCTTCACCGCTCCTGAGCACAACTATTAGAGTTCTGCTTGAATTCTTCCTGCGGCGAGTGTCTCCTGCACCTGCGGCAAAGTCTGGTTCTAACAGATGCTATGAGGAACTCCGGGGCTTCTTGTGCTTTACTTGAGACACAAGATTAGCCTATGATATCGAAGAGGTCACCCTAAACTGTGATACAAAGCAGAGCGCTCAGACGGACCGCAAAAAGGCACGCTCAAAGGGCGACAAAAAGGCGCCGCGCCGAACCTCACCAGATGTCCACCATTTCGTCGTACTTGGCGCTCGGGTCGGAGCTGCCGAACTGTTCGTACTGCCACGACTTGAGGAAGATCTCGGGCGCCATGTAGTCCAGCGTGCCGATGCGGCTCTTGGGCCGCTCCTTGCTCTGGTCGATCGCCAGCCCGAAGTCGCCCAGCTTCACGTTGCCCTCCGAGTCTAAAAACAAGTTCTCCGGCTTGATGTCCCTGCAGTTGTATGTTCTGATGCTTTACGACTTGTGTCGTAGCTGTCCGCCTTCGTGTTGAGGGGTGGTTTTCACCTTGCGTTACTGAAGAGGAAAAGGACTCTTCTGCTTAACGGCCAGTCTGTCGTCGCATTATTTTACGATCTTTCTTTATCAATAGTTTTGAAACCAAATGGTCAATCCGTGGGAAGAGAAGCGCCTCGTTTGCTCCGCGAAGCCGCAGCCATTCTGCTCAATGTAGACGTCATTTCCTTCATGTCAACGTCATCCCCTACATCTAGACGTCATCCCTGTTCAAGCGCACTAGACTCAGCATGCTCTAAACCTGAAGTTGTAACTGATGCAACTTCACGTTCCCAAGTTGACTGGGGTCCATCCACGCGCGCGCGCGCTCACCTGTGCACGACCCCGAGCGCGTGGCTGGCCTTGAGCGCGGAGAGCAGCGGGACCATGACCATTTGGACGGCGCGCTCTTCGGACAGCTTCCCGACGCCGTACTCGCCGACCAGCATCTCCATCAGATCGCCACGGCTGCACAGCTCCATCACGATGTAGATGAACGTCGCGTCCTCGAAGGCCCCGTAGAATTGGCAGATCGACGGGTGCCTGCGGGTGGGAGGCGGGAAATGACTGAGTAACTCCTAAGCAGACCTCGGAACTCGCTGCCACGCAAACGGACGTTCGAGAATAGGCGAAGCAACGTGCGGATGCCGCAGGGAAAGACGGAAGGCTCGGTTTCCAGGAATGCAGGCCCTAACAACAAAGTAACCGTTAAAGGAGGGAAGGAAGTCGGAAAATTCCCAAGCAAGGCGCCAGACTCTGTGAACAAATGACTAGATGCAAACTCTCTCGAGGTTACACAACTTGGCGAAGTGCTCCCCTTGCCGACTCCTCTGATTCAACCCTCTCGATTGCCACACACTCGTTGAATTGCAGCTCGTCATATGCCAGACAACGACCTCCGCCAGTTGGGTTGGCAGGGAAGACGCTGGCGCTCACTTGATGGGCTTGAGCAGGGTGGCCTCGCGTTTAATGTGTGTCTGGCTGTTGGGCGTCAGCTGCTTCTTGTCATACGCCTTGATGGCCACCTTCATCTTGGTCTTGGTGCACACCGCAGACAGGATGATGCAGTTTCTGCACCACATTCCCACGATGACGTCAGCAAAACTAACTCTAAGGTCGTGCTTCTGCTTGGCGATTGGATCCACGCCATAGAGTTGGCGTTGTCGAGAACTGACCCTAGCGGCCTCTGGGCAATTGTGCATTTTGCGTTTGCTATCCATGTCTCAGTTGAAAGGCATCAGGTTTGATGCTTTAGACGTGATGTCACTTGAACAGAAAAAAAAATAACTTGTACGTACCGGCCTCGCCCAATCTCCTTTCTGCTCGCGAATTCGGTGATGCTGTGCCATGACCCACTTGCACAGTCGCCCAGCATACCCCCCTGCAGCAATTGTGCAACGTGCACAAGTAAGAAACGAACTGGGCAGCTTGCCAGCAGGATTTCGTGCTACCCAGCTTCCAACGTTGAGGTACAGGTCTCATCTAGAAAAGCAGGGTTAGATCCATGAGATGGAGGGCACGTTTCGCCTGCTCACTACTGCTATGATCACGCTCCATCTAGACAGGTTCATTTCAAGATCCCTCTTCCTTCCCTAGATCTATGACCCTATCTTTTTGCACGGAAGATACTGGGTTATGACGTCTAATGCCGGCTCAGAAGGTTTGCAAGACATTGCGAGCCTGGACAACTCACAGATGCTCCTGAGGTCATAGACTTGGTGCTCCTCAATTGCTGCTTGGCTGCCTGCTTGGCTGGCGCTTGCTTGTCTGCCAACCCGCCCGCGGTGGACGTGAAACTGCCTGCCCGAATGTCAGCCACTCCGCTGCACATCGGTCAGACAGGACGTCCCACCCTCAATATCCATTCATAGAGAGGCAGAACGAGAGACTCAGTGGGTCAAAGTTCTCTCTGCCCGTTGGAGGCACGTAGCATTCTCGCCGCGAGTTGCTGAAACAAGTATTGTGCTTTGTATAACTACGGCTTTGGGAATGCAGGGTGCGCTCAGTATATCCCCAATATTTGGATGTCCTCTCCAATCACATGCTCGCATGCATGTCTGTTGTGAAGTGCCTATTGCCTGCTATGGGTTGCGCCCCCGTGGCATTGCCTCACCTGACTGAATCCTTCTTGGATCCCTTTGGCGACGCCTTTTGCTCTAGGGGGGGAAGGGCCTGGCTGCTTGTGGCAGCTGCCCCTGCCCCTCTCTTGACCAGTCGTGCCAACCAGCCCGCCTTGGATCGGGGAGACGCGTCTAATGCCTCGGCCATAGTGATTCCACATCAAGCACGTTTTGCACGACCAAAGAAGCAACGTTCGTTCACACTTTTGACATCAGCCTTCTGGCATTGTGCGACATTCCCGCTTCAAAGGCCCCTGCGGGGAGGGCCTTTGCGGAACGTTACGCCAGATCGGATCACTGCGCCAACGGAGTGCAGATGTTCCCATCAATGCCGTGCCGCTTAGGCAAAGCCCAACCACCATACAGTCATCTCGTCACCAGATATTCAAGGAACAGCCCCTTGTGCTCTTGGTTTTGTTTGCTCCAGCAGTAGGGGAGACGCACGAACAACCCAACCTTCGACACCTTCCCAAGAAGGCGCAATCATCACGCCAACGAGATATCATATGGTTTGGCCCAATGGATTGCTCGGCATTACGGCAACAGGCTGGTTGGGCGATGAAAAGCGCTTTACGAATATCAGGACTAAGCCATGTCAACACCAGCCGTGCCAGTACTTGCTTTTCCATGTGATAATTGATTCCAAAAAGGACAAAATCATAATGAGAGGTAGGTCGATCTGCGAGTGTACCTACTTCCACAGGCATCGCTGCCGGCAGCTGCGTTGGGCTGCCACGACGATTGGCCAATGCACTTTGGACAGCTGGAGCCACGCACGCTTTTTTCACTGCCGAACTTTCGAATCGGTCTCAGGCATTTGACGGGCTGCTCAGTGCTCTGAGCCTGAGCGTACATATGCTCCACAACCCAAGTACGGTACGGTATTTCGCTTAATGATACTGGGCTAGTTCAGTACACTTTATGCAATTAGGTAGAAGCTTTGGGAGTCTGCAACAGCGGTGACCAGAGCTGACCAGCCCGGAAACTGCGCTGACCATTGCCTGGCAAGGCGCAGCGGCGCATGGTTACTACATCTTTAAGGTACTCTCTTTCAGTACGGTAGCCTCTTCAGGGTTCCTATGACTGTTGCTGCTTCATACTCTTATTAGTCCTAGGCTGGGCTGATACCTTCCATACTGGCTGCAGTAGGTATAAAGGTCGGAAGGGGCTCCATCAAACAACCGACTTCAGCAATCGCGCCCGAGAGTTTTCAGAATGTCCGAATCGACGGTTGAAGCCTGTATTGAAAAGTTCACGGGAACTAACGAATTTCAGCTCCCACGCGCGCGCAGTGTTGCCCTCGCCAGACTACGCCGCCCACCCGGGCCCACCCGGCCCTGCATGCGTGATCGTGGCGGCCCGGTTCAAAATGCAGCCTACCTGGCTAGGTAACCAGGGTAGGTACTAGGCACAGCCAGAAGGCCCGGGGCCAACACTTAGGAGCCCCGGAGGACCGTACCGGCCGTTCTTATGGCAAAAGATGCCCGGAGTGAGAGCTCTGCGCATGCGACGTCATAATAGAGGAGTACGGTCTCGTCCTCCATAGGTATTAAAGGACCCACCTCAGTGGGCCAGAGGCTAGCGCCGGAGGACAAGTTCTCAGACACTCAAGGTGGTTCTGGTATGGTTATGAATGCCATTCACTGTTAGTCCAAGACCACTAGAGAAAACGGACATTTGTTGCATGTGCGTTTTCTGCTAGAGTATTTGATTGAGTGCTCTTCGATCTTGTTAAAGGATTACCGGTACTTTCAGCAATGCTGTTCATCTTAGCTCGAAAGAATACAAAACAAAACGTGGCCTCCAAAAAGCCTGGATTGGCCTGGAGGGATCAATGTCCTGACTTTGGAGGCTTACTTTTAGTACGAGGATCTGGCCGCTTTGAGGTGCAAGCTCGACCTAGGACCTGGACCATCAATTGTTTCTCAGTCATTTAAGTAATGACGGCAACTAAGCGAGGCACAGGGGTTGGGCCTCCGACGTCGCCACAAATGCTCCCGTTTGGCGCGCTCCCATTGCTGTAATTGATCTTCCAACTCGATGAAGCGACAAATTCGAGGCATAGTGTGTCACCCGTCCGTGTACGCTACTTGGGATGGTGTCCATCAGCCATCGCCATGGAAAGTTATCAGTATGTTTGACTGAGCCCGTGCACCCGCAAACTTCCAGATGATCGGAGAATGGTAGAGACTAGAGTCACTCAGAGGCACCACGTCCGAATGTCGGATCACTTGCGAAAACGCGATCATCGAGTTTGTGGTGGTGGCTTCCAGTATATCCTTCGATTCCGTATGCAATGTTAGAAACAGCTGTTTGCGTCCCTTGCCATCGCGGCATCGATCGAAAGTGACTTGCGAGTCCGGTTCCTGATCCTGAAAGCCTGCGGCAGTGTCACGTCAACTCGGAGATTGCAGCCGTGCGAGTGCAGGATTGGATGACGCAGCCTTTCAGGATCTGGAACCAGACTTGCACCAGACTTGCGAGTTCATGATCGGGGACTGAAAACTTTTGATCGACGCCGCGATGGCAATTTTGACGCAAACAGCTGTAGGTACTATCAAACCCAAGATACTCACGTATTTACATTCCTGCATTCGATGGTGCGCACAAACAACGAAGGCCAGCCTTGCCCAAACGAGCATTCATTACAGCGCAGCTTACATGCATGATCAAGTTAATCGTTTCCAGATTGCTTAAGATGGATGGAGAACCTTGCACGTCTTTAAAGCTCCCCTCGTTTAGTCTGCTTTTCATCCAAGTTCGCCAGACTCAATCTTCTCAACAAGGTCAACTCGTGTCTTCCGTTTCCAGTTGTTCATTGTCGCAACGAGGTTGACAATGGCCACGATCTGTGCCTTGCTATACTCTGGGTGCGTTCTCGCCCAATGTAGGAACTCGGTTTCAGGAACGTAGAACGCCTGCAATCGAGAAGAAGCACACACGTATTGGCCTTTTTCACTTTTGTGCCGTGGCTGAAAGAGGGCTGATTGGATGTCAAAACGGAGTAATCTTGTGCAAAACAAACAGAACAAGAGCGGTTTGCAGCGACAAATTCAACATGCATGTGTGTATGAGGATCCTAAGATCTTTCCGAAGGCCTCACCTTGATATAATTATCTACTATTTGCATGTTGGGTTTCGTTTTGGTCGGAGACAGGTTTTGGAGCCCGTTGAGGAGCACTTGCAGGTCCAGGGACATCAACGCCCGCCCCTCGTTGGTGCACCGCTTCACCCGGCTGAAGCCTTCGACCAGCGCTTCCCCGATCCCGTCCGTGGCATACTCGAAGAGCAGCTCTTGCACCTGAGAACCAGGAGCGAAAGTGTCGCGGACAGTGTTCTGGGCCCACGGAAAATCACCGTCACAGCGCCACAAGCGAAAGCATTTCACTAAGAAATTTTTCGGAGGTCACTTGATGACGCAATTCCAGGTCCGCTTTTCTAAGCCACGACGTGATCTGCAAAGCGGACGTGGTGTCCGGGATCAGACTTTGAAGACAAAGCACGTGTAGTGACTGAAGGTAGGGAAGAATCAGCCGCTATTCTGCATACTCACGATTCTTGGAGCACTTGCCGTCGCTCGCGGCCCTCACCTCTTTTGAGACCTTGGCTTGCGGGATCTTGATGGTGAGCTGCCGGTAGTCCGACAGGATCTGGTCCACGTGCGCATTGTGCTCCATGCCAAGCTCCTTCAACTCCCACCGCGCGTTCGCAATCTTGTCCGTGTACCTGCCAGTCAACAAAAAGGACATCAGCCTCTTGCTCAAGATATGACTCCTGGGCCCATGGGCAATCGACACTGGGTCGTCGCCTATGGCACGCGAATGTTCAAGCAGCGAGGTTCTGAACCCGGCCTGCTGTTAGCAGATTCGTGAGCTTCTACTGCAGATTGGCTAGTGACGCAATGCAAACATCTTCAAACTTCTGAGACTGCTAAACTTTGAACTGTAATGACAGAAGCAAGCAGCGGCAGGGCTGTTAAGAAAAGCAGAAAACGATCCTTCACCGCGCGATCAGAATGCCGATCCTCATCCAGCTCCTTTTCGCTAAGCTTGACAGGAGGCCGAACACGACATCGAACAACTGGTCGCATCGTCCCCGAACTCATAAGCAGGAAGACAATTTACGTCACCAGCAATTCACCACCAAAGCAATGCTTGTGCTTACGCTTGCACATTGAGCAGCAGCCGCGCTAGCGTCTTGTAGATGTGCTCCCGCAGGTCCGGGACCGCGTCAATGGTGCGCGCATAGAAGTGCTCTGTCGTGCCTGCGGACGACTGTGGGAGGAGAGCCTGGAAGCGGCCCCGGGACCGCCGGAACTGCTCCGCCAGAAACAGCACGGACTCGACCGCTACAACACGCTCCTGCACAAAAGAGAGCGAACTTCCATCACCTTGAAGCTGTGACGAAATGTTTGAGAGGTTCCATATTTAGTGACGGCTGCTGAGATCCCAGTCGCTATGATGGACGGGCCTTGAAGGACGCCTGTGCAGACGGGAGCTTTGCTTACGCCCTAGAATTGTTAACTTCTTACACAAATGTCGAGCTAGACCCTTTGCCTCAAGCGGCCGAGAACGAAGATCGCCAACGGTGGGCCACGGAGTCTTTAACCCCTTTCCCGCAAAGAATGGCCCGACCGCAGAATGACAACATCCGTGCCAGCTTTGTTTTGCGGCGTCCCCTCACCTGCATAAGAATGAAGTTTAATACTTATAAGGATCTAAGAGCTATAAACACGGCCGGCGAAAGGGTGGGGTTGGTATGGTGGTTCGGGTGCAGAGCGCGTCATATTTGTTGGTTAGGGTTTTTGGTTAGGTTGTTGCCCCAGGTACTTCCTTATAGGTATCAGTTCCTTATAGGTGTTGAATCCGATAGGTATCTGACCTGCAGGCTGAACTTGGTCCCGGTGGGCGCTGCCGCGAGGTCCGCGAGGAGCGATCCGGGCGCGCCGCTGGTCACTGCTGCCACAGCCGCTGCTGCTGCAGAAGACGCAGACGCCGCCGCCGTCTTGGAGCGGAACTCCTCCAGGCCCTGGGCGATGCGCACCAGGGTGGACCGCAGCCGGGGGGTCAACACTGCGCGGAAGAACCGGATGACTTCAGCAAAGGAATAAGAGCACGGCTTCTGAGCGACGGCGCATTGCTTGAATCTTAGTCAGCGGATGACGCCCGCGGTGATCGAAAAGCGGACCAGGGTGGACCGCGGCCGCGGGGTCAACACTGCGGGGTAAAAGCGGACGTCGTCAAGAAGGATCAAGAGCACGGCTTCTGATGAGACGGGGGATCCCTTGAAACTCGGTGAATAGTGTCAGCGGCCAGTCGAGAGCGAATACAAGACACCAGTGGCGCTGACAATGTGCGCACCAAGGTGGACCCAGCCGCAGGGTCAACACTGCGGACAACACCGAATGACGTCAGCAAAGGAACAAGAGCACGCCTTCTGAAAGCCTGGGGATTGCTTGAAACTGAGGGAGTTTTGTCAGCGGCCAGTCCAAAAAGGATGGAAACGCCGGCGGTAATCAAAAAGTGAACCAGGGTGGACCGCAGCCATGAGGTCAACACTGCGGACGACACCGAATGACGTCAGCAAAGGAACAAGAGCACAGCTGCTGAAGTGACAGGGGAGCGCTTAACTGAGTAACTTGCGTCAGTGGCCACTTGAGACCGGATGGAAACGCCAGCGGCGCTTCAAAAAGCGCATCAGGGTGGTCCGCTAAACACTGCTGACGACAGCGACATTCGTCATGGAACAGATGAAAGCCCGGCAGAAGAAGCTCGATCACGGCCTTTGATGACTGGGGATCTACTAAGTCCCGATAGCTTTTGTCCGCGGCCTGCGAAGGTCAATTGCAAACGCCAAAAGACGTTCGCAGATCCCGGGCGAGCCGTGGAAGCTTGTAAGAGTCTCCATACCCATGAAGAGAACAGCTGCTGAGAATCCGCAACGAAACTCATGAAAGCTGACATAGGTCCCCACCGAAAATCTGACTGAGTAACGCAGCGCTGACGAGAACTTACAAGAGGATGATTCGCCGGCCTTCTGCGTCTGGAACGCCTCCCTCTGCCCGAAGAGCCGGAACAAGGTGAATATGTACAGCTCGAACAGCTGGCACATGCCCTTGAAAACCTCCACCGAGATGGGCTGTAGGATCTGCATCAGCCGAGCATACTTATCCATGTACCTGCAAGAAACAATCTTGAGGGTTACATCCAGCCCGTTTGCCTCATCCAATCCCATCCGCGTGCAACACCATTCTTGCACACAAGAGCACGTGTTGCCTGATCTATGGATTCCTAAATTAACGCTCAAAAACTCTTGCATTCCATTTGATGAGAGGCTCCTTTGAAAAGTGCACAGTCTTTGCAGTCTCTTTGCATTCTTGGATTGTTGCTTCTGTGTGGAATTCTGGGGTCCAGAAGCTCGACATGCAACCAGACTTTCCTCTCATACCCAGACAATAAGAAGCGTTTTTGTGTCGCTGTTTATATTTTAGGATCTACCGTCATTTGACCTCGTTTTCCGTGTAGGTCAGTGAAAACAAAACATACAAAGCAGACGTTAGGCCAGCAAGGACGATCCCTTGCAAACGCCGAAACCAAGACCTGGGCTCCCCCTGGAGGCAACCATCCCGCAACTCAAAAATGTGTCAAAGTCTTGCCTGGGGCGCTGACCTTTTATTTCACAATCAGGATTCAGAGCGGGGGTACCCACATCCGCACAAGTTCGCCTGTTCAATTGGAGAAGCACAAGCACCCTGTGAGAAGCAGACTCTAACCCACCGCAACACGCTAATGGAGCTCCCCGTCAAGCAGGGCCCCTCCTCCCCGTCATCCGATATTCGCCGCCCCGGCTTCCCCGGTCCCGACGACCGCCGGGCCGCACGCGCGGACGGCCGCTGCGAGTCCTCGTCGATGTAATCCGCCAGCAGCTCCTCGTTCACGTCCTCATCTTCGTCGTCCGTATGAGCAGGGGACGCGGCGCCGGGCGCGGCAGACGCGTGCTGGCTGCTCACTGCAGATGACAAATGTTCCTTTTCAACAGTTCGTCTTCGCAAATTTCTTTCTTGAGACTGAATCGCTCTTTCTTCGAGACTAGGGGCGTATCGCTGCGCTCAGAAACAACCCAGGGGAAGCGCCAGATGTATGCTGACTGCTCCCTGCAGAGAACAAGTGGTTCTTCAGGTCAGTCTGTGTCGAAGACTCTGTGGAGTCGCTCTGTCTTTTGAAACTGGGGGCGTATCGCCGTGCTTAGAAGCGATCGGGGAAGCAGCAGACGCGTGCTGACTGCTAACTGCAGAGGGCAAGTGTTCCTTTGGGTCGGTCTAATCTCGCAATTTGTTTCTCGTAGGCGCGGATCGCTGTTTCTTCACATTGGGGGCGAACTTCGAGGTCAGAAAGGGATGGCCGCCTTTAGAAACAACAAAGAAGAAGTACGTGTCAAGGCAAGGGTTGAACTCCTACGCGCAGCGCTGGCCTATTCTCGTGTACGACTCCGCCCTCGGAGCATTTGCCTGGAGACTGAGGTGCAAAGACGAGCCGAGCCAGAAGGAAGCGGCAAACCTCACCTGCTGCGTCCCCGTTCGACAGCCGTGGCGTCAGCGCCGCAGCCGCGCTCCGCTCCAACTGTGCGCCCCCTATCGAGCCATCTCGCCTGATGACCGCAAACGGGTTCCCCGCAACCATCCACTCAGCGAACGTGCGCACGTGACCGTTTTCCGCAGGATTGCCTCCGGCCTCGGAGGCTGTGGCGTTTCCGTGCGGCGGCGAGTCTGTTTTGCTGTGGTCAGTAGAAAAGGAGCCGGGTGCGGGCGGGGCCTGGCCGCCACCCCCGGTGAGGCCAGCCAGGCTGACGGCTTTCAGGGCCGACTGGGGGAGGCGGTTCCACTGCTCCTTCTCGAGGACCATGCGCAGGACCTGGGGGGCAAAACATGTGTGGGTAAAGGCATCCTGGAATGCTTCAAGTGAAGAAGAGCCATCGAGACCACTCAGTCCTCCAAAGTGTAGCTGTGATGCCACATTCCTCGAACACAAAATGCATCTGAGAAAGCAGATTCGAAAGACCAAAAGCGGCCAGATGGTCACGTTTCAGCTCGCATGAGTGAGGAGAGGCGTGCACGGGAATTCCAACGAGCGCTGCATCCGTGAGCAAGCAACGTTAGTTCAATAACTGCCAGCTTGTACAAGAGCGAAGCGGCTGAAGGCAGATCAAGACCGCACACGGTTCGAGGCTCAATCCTGACCTCAAGGTTTTGCCGGTGGAACGTTTTGAAGTACTTTTCGCTCTGCTTCGACACCCTCGCTCGCAACCCGTGTGCTTCCGTCCCGCTGAAGGCCTCGCCCGCGAGAATGAATTTGTTGGTCCAGTCCAGGCTTTGCAAGAAATGGTGTGGCGTGGAGCTGCACACCGCGTCCGCTGACAGCAGCGCCGCCACGCGCCGGGCGGCCAGCTCCCATACCTGGAAATGCTTGCAGATAGTTATGGATGGATCGTGTATCATCTACTTGCGGCAATAAAACCGGCCCGACGTTAAACAGTAATTGGGCACTGTAGAGAAGCAAAGGTCAAGACGGATGCGCCTTTTAAGATCTACTCATGAGAGGATTTCGTCAAAAGAGAGCCTCTGTTGCATGTCTGTGTCACTTAACGGATATCCAGGCTTGTTCGAACCTAACAAATGGCCCTCACCGTTTTCCTGCCCCGCTCCAGTGCCTTCCTGACCCCCTCCGTCGTCTGTCGTCGCAGCTGGTTCGGCACCCCCCCCGTAACCGCAGGCAACGCCGCATGCCCGTCTGCGTCGGTCACCCCGTTCGCTTCCTCCAGCGAGCCCGCACTCCCCGACCGCTTTGCCAACGTCGAGTTTTCTCCCAGGATGCTTCCATGCCTCGACGGGGAGTCTGGCCGGCCTGAGTGAAGATCGTCAAGATGGCCCGAAGACTGGCTGGTGGACGCCTCTTTGCCCCGGTTTTGTCTTTCCGGGTCTGAGGGGGGACTGGAGGGATGCTCCCGTGGGGGCGAGAGGGTGCCGGCACTGCCCTGGCGCCGGTGGCCCTTGCCGTTGAGAAGCGAAGGACGGCCGTCTGCTTGTTCGACAAGCTGCAATAAAGAGGCAACCTTGAGCGACTCGATAGGATTGCCAAGGCGTCCTAAGACCCCATTGGTATATTACGGAAATGTATAAGTAGCGACCATACGGCTTGCCTCATTTGTGAATGTGGCGAAGACGTCTTTCAACGTCCAAAACCAGACCGCTTTCTTAAGCTGGATTAGGAAGCCTTGTAGAAGCACTGATTGACTTCAGCACTCATGGTACGACGGGTATGCCTCACCTTGGGGTGTTGCCAAGTAATCATCTGTTGGTACGTGCACAGCAGGTCGTACAGGACTTCCAGCGTTTTCTGGAGGCACGACCGGAACTGGGGCTCGGTCAATTGGGCGCTGAGGTCATTGTAAGGGAGCCTGTAAAGTCCGACGACGCAAAGTAAGCACCACGCCAAAGAGGGAGCATACAATCTGCTTCCCTTACAATCACTCTGTGTACTTTTAGTGGGGCAATGACGGCCCTACCACGATGCTTGGCAGACGGCAAACCACGTCATTTTTCGAAGCTCGAGACTAAAATCTCGGAATTTTCACTTCCGGTTCACTTCCGGCAACGAGCACGAGAACACGGATCGAGACATGTCCCCAGGCGGCGCACCTGGCTTTCTTGGCGATAGATGCAGGATCCTCCGGTTCCTGATTGGGGTCCGGCAGGAAGACGTAGCTCTTGAGCACGTCGTGCGTGATTGACACGATGTGCTGGGCGAAGTATGTCTGGATCTTGTCTGACAAGGTCGTCGGGTCGTCCATGACCGCATACGCATCCACAACCTGCACGGAGTTCGGAGAACTCAGCTCACTACGCTCAAAATGCGCGTTGTGAACGTGTACATCTGTGCAGAACAAATCTGTAGATCAAGTCGTCTACTAGAAAACCTTTTCGACCGGCCTTGTCCGAAGTGCTGTGGAAACGTACCTTGGCATACGCTTTGGTGTCAAAGCTCTTGCACGCCTCCATAAGCGCGGCGTCCACCTTCTCCACCGTGATCTTCAAGGCGTCCTCGATGCTGTCCGTCATGTCCTGGATCGCAGTGAGTTCCTGCAGCAGTCAGACTTCGAAGTCAGATACACGAATCTCAACTTTCTAAAATCTCGACCTTCTAGAGGTATAAAAGGGTACGCGTCCAGAAGTACCTCGTTGATCGAAACCACTTACAAAGCAGTTGAAGTCGCAAGTAGCTTGTATCATCAAAACGAACCGAACCAGGAAGTTCTCCCCGCCCTCGACGTGTCATTGGCAAGGAGTGTGACCGTACCTTGCAGGCATCGATCACAACCAGGCACTCCGAGCACATGCGCAGTGCTTTTGCGTAGTTCCCCTCGTCGATCGTGCCCTGCAGCCTGGCCTTGATGTCGGTGATGCTCTGCATGCGCAGCAGGATGGGCAGCATGTCCAGCAGGATCTGCTTCCGCTTCACGTTGGCCGTCACCACCAGGTCCGAGTTCACCTCCTTCATCGCCGACGACAGCGAGCGCCGCCCGTTCTGCAGCGCACAAACAGGAATGGACTTCAAAACTGCCCTGCATTCAGCAGACGAGAATGAATCTCGACACCTGGCATTGAAGGGTACTCGCGCCCATGAACTAATACGTCTGAGAACAAATGGGGGCATTGGTGGGGCTGTATCCCAAAATATTGAAGCTTGGGGATTGAGCAGCTATCCTCTAACCTTGCTGATGATCTTTGCGACCTGCAAGTCGCGTTCCAGCTCGCCCACTAGAGACATCCCTTGCACCATCTCGTCATGGTGCCTCATCACCTGCAAAAAGATCTCAAGGTGTCTGATCGCAATGATATGAATCAGGCCCGGTTGCAACTTCCTGAGATCTTCTCAGCAATCTGGACATGCTGCATCAATGATTGGAATGTGCATATGCACCTTCTGAGGCAGAACGGAACTACTGACCTGCTTCGACAGGTGCTCATTGACCACGTCTAATTGATCCATCCGCTTCTTGACTCGCTCTCGGAAGTAGCCTGAATCAGGCCCTTCCGACGGCAACTCTTGCAGGAGTGCAAGAATTGGGTCAAAGTCCTGCATTAAGCGCAGAACAGGTGCGTTAATCTTCTAGCGGACGGAATCCTATAAACCCACCCGTCAGCAGCCGCTGGTTCCTAACCGCAAGAGTTTGGGCATATTCCTTTCCAAGAACGTTGAGTGGCGTCTGGTACGATGAACTGTAGCCAAGCACCAGCTGCCTAACACACCACTATTGGGGCGGGTTTCGAAAGTGAAAGTAGTACCTGATCTTGTTTGACGCACCTTTTCATAGAAGTTAGCATCCAGCTCCTCCGGTTTATGCCCCCTAGGACGAGCTCCTGCTGCCGCAGCCATGTCTGGCTTGGAAGAATACTCTGAAGGAGGCTCAGTCAGTGCGAGCTTCTCATGGGGGGGTGTGGCCATGACCCTCTCTGCCAACGCAGCAGCAGCGAGCGCGCTTTTTGGGACCTGGGCAATCAGCCGATGCGTGTCAGGACTTTGGCCAGCTGTCAAGTCCAGATGACAGCTGTACAAAGTCAGTCAAGCGCAAAGCCTGCATTTGAAGTCTTGCTGATTCTGACTTGCCAAACCACAGACACAAAAGATGACATGAGCCTCTTGGTCGATAGAGGGTGACTTAGGTGAGCTTGACGCTATCAGTACAGGTCCACCGCCGATTGCTTTCTGTACACAAACCATGCTACAAACCCTAAAATAGGAATACTTCGGAAGATCCCTCAACCTCCGAAACCCCCTCAGAGGATCTCAACAACCATGGTTGCAAGCTCATCACGTGAACCAGCTGTTGACCTGCAAGCTTGGCACATTCTGAAAGTTGCTGCACTTATTCACCAGTACACAAACGTCATGGTAGATGGAAAAACCTGGTTTGACAAGTCAACTGTTTGGAGCTCTTACCTTGGGTCTTCCATGAGGGAGACCTACTGAAGTGACTTGCTGAAAGAACTTCTTCCCAACGTCTTTAAGATTGACATCCATGGATGCTGCTTCAGCGGGCAGAACCAAAGAGAGAGCTCTTGCTGCGCCACTTAAATACGCTAGCGGCGCCAAAACAAACCCTAGATCTCGATCCCCATCCAGCTCAATTGCCTTGCAGCTGCAAACAATTGCAACCTGGAACACTAATGGGCCTCACAATTAGCTGAACGAGGTCAATGTTGTTCCGCTTTGCTCAAACAATGTTCGGGCAATGTCCTATGCAGATTAGGGGCCTACTTAATGCACGCGGTTCCAGGGTTTCAATGGTTCACTCGGACACCATTGGTGGGAGGACGGTTCCATAAGATTATCAAATCAGGCGTTCAGGGCATCCTCTGCTTGAAATGCAAACTGACCGCTCCCTGCATGAGCCGCCCTGATCAGAGTCAGAGAGACTCAGAGTCAGAGAGTGACCTTTGCGAGATGAGTGGCCAGCTTCACGAGAGATCAGCTGGTAAGGAAAACCCGCTAATAGTAATAGGTACCATTCTAAACCGCTCGGTTAACCTCGCTGCCGTTCAACATGCCTACTTGCGCGCTAGCACGCGGCGCACACTTTCATTCATTCTTCTTGAAGTTGAAGATTCGCAGGAAGCTGGCCCAGCGCCAAAAGCCGCACTGCAGGAGTGTTGCTGGTGGAAATCAAGGGCGCTATTCTAGCTGGTCCCTGACGTTCTTACCTGGATTGTCTGATTGGGAGCCAATCCGAACATTCATAGAGCTGACAGCATTTGCTGCATCCCCACCGTTCAGCAGACACCGGATGCATTTGCAGTAGACTTCCAAACGGATGGGAAACTTTCCGATGGAGAACCACTGCTTCGAAGTTGTGGATATCCCAGGGAAGGGACGAGGCCTCGTAGCAGCCCGCCAAATCTTAGGTCAGCGAGCATTCACTTGTAGTGGCAACTTCTGAAGCCTCTCCATCACTGTCGGATGATTTGTTTGGAAAACCTGAGTATAGGCATGCAAAATTCAATGCCACGAGCCAGTGTGCTGAAGTGTCCTATGAATGCGGCATCTTGCTCAAGTAGGAATCTTGCACTAGTATTGAGTATCATCGAGTATCTTTGAGCATGGGTGGCAACCAGTGCCCCTGCTTTTACACCACCATTTTTATCGGAGAGGTTCACCGCCAGTTCACTGTGTAGATGGTCAATAGAAGTTTCGAGGAACTCCTGGAAAAGATGTGAACGCTGATGGTTCGCTAAAGCAACACAACTACCAAGACACTTTCACCAGCATATTGATGCGCTCAGGATCCAATATTTTTCTCCTTGGGAGCCTTCTGAATGGTCTCTGCAATTTGAAGGCAATGAAGGTACGGATTGCTTGCCTAGAAGATATACAAAGAGTCGCGCTTGTAGTCAGGCATCTGATGACCCGGGCCATCTTTTCTTGTCAATGTCAGGCGGTGAGACTGTGCTGTGTGACCCCCCTCTCCTGCTGGTGGTGGACGAACAAGCCAAAGCCTACTGCTGCTCCCACTGCTTTAGGATGTCCACGAGCGTCAGGCTTGACCGGGCACCTGAGGCGCAGCTGCCTCGGGAGACCGTCGGAAATGAACAGTTAGAAACTGGGCATGGTGGTCCTGAGACGGGCGCAGAAACTTCGGGATTAGCAATTGATGAAAATGATGTGTCGTTCAATGATTTGGGGGAGCCGTTCCAAGTTCACTGCGAAAGCTGCAGCGAGGTCTGGTTCTGTGGCACAGAGTGTAGGCAGAAAGCAAGCGCGTCTGGTCATTCGCCTCTTGTCTGCCGGATCCTTTCGAAGTTGGGAGGCTCGACCCTTAGCAGCGATGAGAAGAATCAAGCCCGCTTTCTGGCGGCAGCGGTCGATCTCAAAGCTTCAACACAGCCTGTGGTCGAGCTTGAGAACAAACCAGAAGGGGGTGATACGAAGGTCGCAAGCAGTAGTGGGGTAAACACAAAGCGGGCTAATCCTGACACACCTATTAGACAGCCGTTTGATGCATTACTTCGTCTTGATGGGGAGCCGTCAGAGACAGGAAGTGGCTCCGGGGCATTGTACGCGTTCTTGAAGGAGGCGGTTGCAGAAAGGGGGGAAAAGGTAGAAGCTTTCGACCAGGAGACGGTGTCCCTCTTGTTGTGCAAAGACCAGCGCAACAGTTACGGGATCATGGCGCCCAACGGCCCAGAGGGCGAACGGCGCCTCCGAGCGAGCGGCACATACATGAGAGCAGCGCTAATCAACCACAACTGTCTGCCTAATGTGGCGCGGTAAGCCTCAGTATCCTGCCTCTTTCTGAATTTGGCTTGATGTGCGACACCAAGTGTCGTTTGAAAGCCCAAAAGCATACTTTTAAGACCTCAATCATGGTGGTGAACAGTTCACCTTTCGACATGCATATAAGAAACCTGACCTTTTCGGCTGGAGCTCTTTCGAAGGCCGGATTGTGGCTTCCTTTCACCAAGACATGAATGGCGCAGATCAACCTTTGTGTCTGAGAAATCGTGAAATTGTGAGAAGGGCAAGCAGAGGTGAAGAGATGCTTTTAAGAGGGGCAGTCGTCCTGTGCGCTGAGTCACGAAGTCAATCTTTGTCATGGTTTTTGGTCGCCTGGCACTTGTACGTTACTGCAGAACAGGGTGCCGCAAGGCCGCAAGGAACAGTAACCGACGCCTTTGAAATTTTTATCTGGTAATGATAGTCGGCAGAGGTGCTACTCTCGAAGGTTAAAAATTGGAGTGTTTTTGATATAGCGTTTCGTTTGGCTTGTTGGGTATTTGGAAAAAGTCTTCGACAACTCCGCAGCAAAGATAGGTGTTTCAGCATTGACGGATTCGTTTGGCATTTCCCCTTCTGTGGCAACCAGTTGAATAGAATCCCACGGAGTTGAAGCGTCAAACTGGCGGCCAAATTCCTGATGGCCCTGCCTCACATTTTGCTTGTCGAATGCAGGTTTGACTACTTTGACAAGCCCGGTGACCGCAACACGGACGTCTTCCTCCGCGCTCTGCACGACATCCCCGCGGGAGAAGAGATTTGCCAGAGCTACTTCCCTGTCTCGTGGCCGTACGAGCTGCGGCAAGAGCGGCTCGCGGAGGAGTACGGGTTTACGTGCACGTGCCAGCGGTGCCTGACGGAGCAGGCGTGGTCGGACGAGGACGAAGACGGGGAAGGGGACGATGAGGAAACGGAGGGGGGAGATGCGGGTGTAACGGAGTTGGAAATCGTTGGGACGGGGTTGTCGAAGGGGAAGGCCAAAGTTGTGGAAGCGGAAGGACGGGGCGAGTCCAGCGAAGAACCGGAGAGAAGAGCGTTGGGGGACGTTGGAATTGGTAGCGAGAGCGAGGAAGGAGGGCCTTTGGGAGGTGAGACTGCGGGGCAAGATGACTTCCAGCACGCAATTTTCTTTGTTAAGTACTTGTGTCCGGACGAGGATTGCGGTGGCACAATGGCGCCACTTGAAGGTAGATGGACCGGAGTCCAAAGCGGGAAGGGCAAGTACGACCCTGCTGAAGCAATGGAGTGCAACATGTGCGGGAAGATCAGGACAGATGCCGAGTTTGAAAGCGAATTAGCATTACTTGAAGACGAACAAGCCGCAGAGCTATCATAGCTGACTGCGTAACAGTTCTGGCTTCCTCGAAAGGAAAGGGGCAGCTTGGTAAAACCGATTTGCTGTACCTGTTCTTGTGCTGCCACATCTTTCACATTAAGCTGCAAATTGGGCGGCTCCATTGTATGCAGTGCACGCTTGCTCATTTTGTTACGGGCACGAATCGTGCTGGGCGCCCTTGTAGCTCCAAATAGTGGAATTTCGCCGGGCTTGCAGGGCAACGATTTCAAAGACCGTTGATTTTTCATGTAGCATATTTGGACGATTCTTCAGCTTGCGCTAATTGCCGTTTCACTATGATATGTATCAGTGCGGTCTTGCAAGTGTCATGCCTGCATATTTA